TGCCTTCTATTTGCCTTTTGATATGCAACTAGGCGTTTAAACATTCCGCTACCATTGATGTATTCTTAGCACTTCCACCCTCGAAACAGTACTTCATTTCCGTTGTCCGGGCATTTCCCATTCCCCACCCTCGCCTTGTTTTTTTTATGAACTAAAGGTTTGCATTTTCCGACATGAAATTTCAACAGGAGCGTCAAAATTGCGAAATATTTATTTTGAAATTTTTAGCTCTAATAATTTAGAAGTTAATGGGCGGGATTGACCTCTTTTTCCGAGTACTGTAGTAATATTTACGATACAAAATTTCGAAATTAATTGGTGTAATCGAAAATTTCAGAGAAATCTCAACTCCGACGCCTGTACGGAGGCAGGGTCTTGTACATAAATTAGGCGTACAAGCCAATAGAATATGAGGAATATGGGGATTAGACAACAGATTATTTACCGGGCATGCCCAATGACTTGGCTTAAATGCCTGCGGCAAGGTGTGTTTTCTTTGAAAAAACGCGGAATTTTGAGGATGACATAGAGAAAGAGCAACGGGTCCAATGAGGATTCCGCAGGCTTGTTTTGGAGTCTGAAGGCCAATGGCTTGATTTTAGGAGAATTTGGAGTAGCTTTTTTCGGATTTTTTTTGTTTTTTTATGAATGAGCTGAACCATTTGGTATAAAAAATATTATTAGGTTGAGTAAAAAGTTATGACCATAATTTTCTGATAATTTTCGGGGCACTTCCGAGGTTTTAGCAATAGAAAATCTCGGCTGTGCCGTAGGGCTTAGCAACATACCCCAAATGAAGCTTCGATAAGCCCTCTATTAGTCTATAAGTATGTTAAAATGAAAAGGGATCTGAGGTAGAAAAATAATCGACTTCAAACTTCTCGAAGAAAATGGTCATAACTTTGTATCCAACCTAATCATTCTTGAAAAAGTATTTTTCCCATATCGCAGAACTATCGCAAAAACCGTGCCTTGTCTTGGGTCTCTTCACTTTGTGTACTCCTTCGTAAAAATAGTAGTTAAGACCGTTGAACATCAAAGCTAAGATATCGAGAGATCATGTAGCGTTTTTCCACTATTTTCGACAACATGACAGTCTGTCGGGAAAATAATGACCGCAATGTCGCATCGTATCACCACCGAGAAAATGAATCGTCTCTTTCTTCTTCTCGATGATGAACAAAATCAAACCTTTCACTTCAGCGACGCATCGGCGCAGCCAAATTGTGCTCATTATTTTTCCGACAAACTGAATTTTTTTTGTGCTCATTGTTTTCCCGACAGACAAAACTTTCGATTTCCGAATCCAAAGATCTATTATTGCGTTCGCCGAAACGATTATTTATCCGCCAAATCCTCGAAATCCTCGCGTGTTGTAGCGGGGCGCGCCTGTCCATTGTCGTGCCGAAAGTTATTGTGGACCGGAAGAGGAAAATAAGCACTTTTGCCTTCGGGGGGTTTTCCCCCCTTCGTCGTTCTTCTCCTCGTTTCTTTATCTTCCACCAGAAAGCAGAATAAGCAAAACCCCCCGCCGGCGCAGTGGGGGCCGCTCTGATTCTCCCACACAACACGGCGGGAGAGGAGGAGCACGACAGGGCGGCGCATTTGAACGAAAAATGCCGACGGGGGCTCCGTGCCAACAAAAATAATACCCTTCCGGCAGGGTAGAGTGGGGGTGGAACACCCGGCCCCCGACCAGACTGATGCCAGTGATGACTAAAGAAGGGTTTTGGAGTGATGGAACGGCGCGCGGTGTAATCCCGGGTTGTGCGAGAACGGAACGTGCCGTTTTACAATGTGTCATGTTCAGGATTTGGGGGTTGATGGCAGTATTTTTTGGGGGAAATCAAGGAGGGGAATGGAGGATTTTCTTGCAAGAATTGTTCTTTGATCAGCCAGATTCCCCGTTATTTCGCGGCTTCGGGGCTGTCAAAGTATGACGATCTTTGTCAACAAGACAAAAATTTTTTGACGGTATCTTTGACAAACTTTTTTTTTTATGGCCAAGAAATGTCATAAAAATCTCGCAGCCGGTGTAAATAAGGCTATAATTTGACATGTATAAGTCAGTAAAATGTCCCAAATTTTGAGCAACTTTCAGACCAAAAATCACGTTATTTTTTGCATAGCGCGAGATCAGAAATTAGAAACTCAATCAGACAAAAAAATTTTTTTTTGCCTTTTTTTCTATGTTGATTACTACTTTTCAGATTTCTTATGCCTAAATTTTTAATATACCCTTTAAAAGTGCACATCTCAAATATGAATTTTTCACAAGCGCCCATCCAAAAATCCGTCGTCCACAACCTCAGCACGTTCCAGTAATCAAATTTCTGCGCCGTCAAACACTGCTAAACCTTTTCGAAAACCCCTCGAACCGGCCAATTTTCCCAACGTGACGCCGCGAATTTGCATCTTGTTTGCATCACAAACACTTGCCGACCTGCGCTGACGTGCCGGAACGGCATTTTTTCGGATTAAAAAATTTTTTTGTCCCAATCCTTTGACGTTTGAATTTTCGGACCAACCGAAAAACAAGGGAGAAGATTGGGCTTATCGCTGCGGACAGCATGTTCGCTGAGAGACATCCCTGACGTTTTATGACAAGCTCTTCGTCTAGATTTTTGATTTTTGCGTTTGAAATAAGGCAAAAAATTTTGTGGATTTCTGCGGCAAAATAATAATAATTTTTTTTTTGCGTTTGCAGTATACGTAACCAATGATTACGCTGCCGGATTGCTGTGCCGGTCCTATATTTGAGGCAGGCGTAGACTCCGGCTTTGTTTTTTGTTTTATGGGTTTTTGGTTAGTGGCGTCACCAAAATGTGATAAACATTTTTCCTTTAGCTACCGAATTTCTTAGTGTGGTTTAGCGAAATTTTGCATCTTTTTTGTAAAATGGTAATATATTTACTTTGCTGATCCAACAATTTTAAGACTTTGATTTTGGCAATCGGATTGATTTTGGAAACGTATTGTTCGGAAAAGGCAAAAAAAATATTCCTTTTTTTGTTTGCAACTTAGATTCTGCCAATAGGGGAAGTATTCCATGTGCAATGATCAGAGTTTGATACTAGTCGCGCCATAAAGTCCTGACACATTTTGTCGCGGGTGTCGCGCGAGAAAAGTGGCAAGTTCGCGCGAAAGTGCATGTCGCTAGTGCAAAAACGGGGAGTTGCCGCGACGGGTCCGAAAGAAAAACAAAATGCACTGTGCAAATGTGTCAGGACTTTATGTCGCGACTAGTAGAACTTTCCTCAAATTTAGAACCAGATCTTCTATATACATAGCATAAAACATATGTATGTGAGACTTCTAGCCGCGCTTTACATAAAAAGTTACGCCTTTTAAGTTTTGGGATGACAATTTTCATGCGTATTTCTACCGCAAAGCAAAATATTAGATCCATATATGATCACGGTTCTGAAAAGTATACTAATTTTAACACATTGTTGCTAAAAAATAATTTTTTTGCGACCACCTCTCCTCAGTTTATGTACATGTTCTATTGCCTATAAAGTAGCTCAATATCCCATCGAAGTCATCGATCTCAAAAATCTTTTTTTTTATTCAATTTTTCTTGCCATGGCTTCTTCCCCAGGTCTTATCCAACTCGTCTCTACTTCGCACTTTATTTAATCATTCACTATCTCTCCCCAGCCTTATCTGCCATCATGTTTATTTGGCGTGGCGCGACCAGACGGCCCCGAAGAGATACATCGTATATGCACGAACAATTTGTTTGCATGCTTAATTCAATTTAATTTCCCGCAATATTTCAGTGGATTAATCACTCTGAAGAAGGCAATAAAGGAAGAGTTTTATGGTTAGGAAGATTAGATTGAGAAACACCATGAATTTAGCCGGCGCCGTCTTGTAAAAAACGCCAATTGGATTTGTTGATAAAGGTAGGTCGAAGAGGGAGGAAGATTACATAATTTCTTGGAAATGGGGTTAGTTTACTGTAATAGGATTTGAAAGGGCGAAAGGAGCTTTGAATTAGAGTTAATTGGATGGCATGTTAATAAATATTTTGTACAGTAAATTTTTTATCAACTGTTTCTTTTCGACTTTTGGGGGTAAAAAAAGCTAATTTTCATAGCAACATATGTTCTTGGGAAATGTACTACAGCGCTTAAAATTGGTGTGATGACCAAAAAAGCGATCAAAAATCTCCGCCGATTACACCTATATTTTGCGGCGGCGGAGAAAAATCTTTCTTGGGAAAAAAGCCGCCCATGTTCTTCTTTCCACTGCAAAAAGAACTTTTTTGATATCTTTGTTGAGCGCTGAGAAATCGACAAATTATCTTACGGGAAATTTCTCTGCACACTCTGTGAAGTTCCAAGAAAAAATCAAGTTTTTCATATGGAGAACAATAAATTTATGGGCAAAAACTCCCCTCATTTTTCTTATTCCGTTTCAAAAAATTACTCAATAGACCCATTTTGAATAGCACAAGCTAAAACTTTCCAGTTATGAGTTGCGGACCTTTCCGATCCTCCACCTTTTTCATTTTTGATTGTTGGATAAATTTCAATTCATTTTGATAATCGGAAAAATTCTTTTTTGGCATTTTATTTCTACATACTATGTCACTTCAAAAACATGTTGTAGTTATGTAAGCCTCAGCTTTTTTTATTGGACTCTCTTAAATTTTCTCTTTCAATCACCTTGAATGACACTTTCTGTGAGGCCTGAATACTCCACCCTCTCAATTTTATTTTTATGAATGCTTGAAAATAATTACCCCATGGAGAAGAAATTCTAATAACTCCAAGAAATTCTCAAGACTATAGAGAAAATTAATCAAATATTTATTTGAAAAGGGTTCAAAGAGGATGATAAAGACGTTGAATACAATTTTCACAGTAGCCAACATTTTTGATGACTTCAAAGCGTTCTCTGATTTTTGTGGTTTTTAAAATAAATTTCAATTATTTTTAGACTTGGACACACACTGAATCTTGGCCGGAAAACAGGATTTTAATTGGCAAAGCATGGATGTGGCCAGTAGTTCGGAGCCGGCCAACAAACTGACCCCGTCCACCTCGCTGCCCACGGGCACCGGCAACGACAGACAGGTCCTAGCCAACAGCAAGTCCGCCGAATTACGACCATGCAGTAATGGTAAGGAAACGTCATCTTGTTATCATATGAATTTATCGACTACTTCTGAACTAAATATTATATTAGACATTTTCGCGAAGAAAAAATTATTCAGAAAAGTTTGGTAGATTAAAGGGTTTAAGCTTCTAAAAGTGCGTTGTTATGACTTGTAAGATAATTAGAGGTTCGGCGGGACAGCCCATTCTAGTAAATGAAACTTCTCGTATGTTCCAATGAATTAACTCTTCAATTTTCGAAAAATGTTGCGTAGATTGGTCGGTCCAAAGTCTATTCCCCAAAAAATTTAACACGCCCTTATAAGTCGCAGCAGAAACTGTCAACGATTTTTTTGCGATAGTTGGCGTAAAATGAGGAGAGATACAAAAAAACTTTTTTATGGGGATCCTTCAAGTTCTCCTCAAAAAAAAACACCTATTGTTTTCAAAGACAGTAGGATTTTTCTACCCAAAAATTTAGGTTGTCTTGTTAGAGTACCCCCAAAAAATTGTTTGTCTTGGCAGCAACAGAATTATGTAAAAATCTTGTTTTTACCGAAATATCCCCTTGGGGTTCATGGGTTGGTTTTTGATATAATTTTTTTTGTAATTCCTTTGTGATAATCCTTGGCGGAAATGCTGATGACCTTGACATCACCATGCCAAGATTTATTTTTAAATAAATTTGGCCACGTTGGACTTCTATTTGCGTTTATGCCCTTTGGTGCCATGTTTTCGAATTTCCAGTTGATAGAAACGTGGCAAAATTGGCATAGTTAGGAGGTAACCGCTGTGCTGCACTTTTATTCAGAAGCTTAATTTTTACTTTTACTGCCCACAAGTTTAATTTTCGGTCGTTGATTTTCAGAGAATTCAGATTTTTAGCAAAATTTTCAGCTTTTGTATCTTCCAGATTCTAGTTCTATTCATGGTAGATTTTTTGCCCTCTGAGATCACCATTTATCGCCGTTTTGCTTAACCAAAAAAGGGATTAGGAATCTGGTCGAGCATAGAATTTCATATTTTGTTTTTTTTTTTTCTTGTCCTTTGGCCCGCGTTTTACTACCACTAATAACGAAAAAGTTCTCGGCCCTACGGAATAGTCTCACCCATTTGGAGCGGAATGGCGGTTGTTGCGGGGAAAGGATGGCTTATGCATTGATGTGAGGTTGAATGACGGACGGGTCGGGGATGTAGACATGTTTTGGTTGTTGGAGATGGAACGGCGGTGGTCTTGCAGAATTTTTAAGATTTTATTGTGCTTTGTGGGAGTGATGTGATTGAAAATCAACCATAGGTTTTTGGGATTTCTCTTGGCAAAGTGTCAATGAAAACTTTATTTTTCCCGGAGATAAAAATTGTTTTTCGACTGGCCGACTCTCCTCATTCTGCCTGCCTTCTCGGAAAAAATTTGGTGAATATCTGAGCAGCTACTTCAAGACATGAGCAGAACTTTGCAGAGACCTATTTGAGGCTAATACTGAATTAAAAATCATACTCAAAGTTATAAGGTAACCTCTGATTTATACTTTTTACGGAAAAAAATCAGAACAAACAATACATTTCTGAAAAAATGTAATCACTATAGCTTTTATTGCTCTTATTTTACCACTTGACTTTCCCATCTTTGGCATTCCTACTCCTTCTGCAAGACCATAAACTTTTTTGTTCACGCAAGAAATTCAGGAAATTTTCCGTGACCCCATGGGAAATCGGGCCCTGAATTGTTTCAAATATGTCTTATACGGCGCTTCAATAAATATTTTTCGATATCTTGAGGAACGTCGTTCAAAAAAGACTTCCGGAGATTTGGATGGAGAGATATTGGAATTGTTGAACTTGAGCATCATAATTTTGATTCATAAAGGAACCTAATAATATAATATCACGTATTTTACAATAGTTTATGCTCAACGATTTTTGGACGGATATTTTTTTTGCTTCCAATTTTCTTTGTTGCCATGTTTTATTGTCTACAAAAACCCTTTTTTTAGACCTCTCCTTCAAGCCGGACCCCGTGAAGCCCAAGCGAATCTCCCTTCCGCCAGATTCGGCCGACCCTCCGCCGGACGACCGAAAGAAGAGCCGCGCGACCTCGGAGTCTGGCGAACTCACCAACAACAACACGTTGCTGGAGCGGAACAACAACGAGATGAATCGAGGCGAAGATGAGACGGTCCCGCTGTTGCAGAAACCTTCGGTCAGCTCGATGAATGAGTCCGTTACAAGGCCAGCGTCCAGCTCCTCGAACACCAGTGCTTGTGGGTTGAATTTGAAGTGATTTGGGGTGGGAAATGAGGATGATATTGCATAGAATACATCAGATTTTTTGATTAGGTCAAAGATAAAGTCAGCTCCAAAAAATCTTGTTTTTCAGCTGGGAAAAATGCTGAATTTTTGAAATACCTATTGTTGTTGCCGACACGGTCCGCATTTTTGATGTCCTTGGATAGTAAGCCAGAGAATACCAGAAGAAAAATACTGCTTTCGGGTTTTCGTTTAAAAACTTGAATATTTGAGCAGTCTATGCCTCAGTAGACCCAAAATCCGTGCAATAAACACATATGACATAAAGAAATATTGTCTCCTAAATCGGAACATCGTATCCGACAACGATTTCATTAAAATCTAACAATCTTTCTTGCAATTTTCCTAACTTCTCTTCAATCTTTTTCTTCTAACTCTCGTTCTCTACTAACACCTTATAGCCGGTTCTCTCTTACTCACTGACATTTATTATCCCCCTTGTTTTACAGTATTTATTTCAGTGCGAAACTCGGCGGTGAATACGCCAACTCCCCCACCGTCCGGTGGCCAACCAGTGAAACGGGTCGGAATAAACGAACCGCCAATAGCGGGAGTGGCTTCCGCTCTGCCCAACCGGTTTGCCCATCATAAACGGCTAAAGGTAAGGGGATTTAGATGAGATTTAGAGAACAGGGAGGGAAGGGTACCGGGTCTCAAAGCTGTTTTTTAAAGTTTATAGAGCCTACAGGCACTTAGAAATTTACTAACATAAAACAGCTTTTTAATGACATGACCACTATCGAAAACGCCTTGTTTCCCCACCAAAAAACAGTATTTTGTATCTCGTTTTTTTCAGAAATACGCTTCCGAGACGAGTTTCGGCCTATCGCCCGGCGTTCCAATTGTCCCCCGTCCCGTCGGCCGAGTCGAACCTCTGGAACCGGCGCCCGCCGGCTCCCAACAGTCCAGTCGCAACAATTCCGACTCCGGCGGACATGACGTCCGAGGGCCGGGCCGTGTTTTCCACGTGCGAACGACGGGTCCCAACTATCAGCAGGCCAGTCGAACCGCCGGCAATGGGAGCACCGTCGCGAACAAGGTCCATCGACGTCGGCAAGACTCCGATGACGCATCGGGAAGTGTTGGCTCTGAGACCACAGTGGCCAGCGGCACAATAACGCCTGTTTCGCGGCGGATGTTGCGCTTCAAATTGCGGCGGCCGAAAAGCACAGGCAGCATGGGGAATCAGGGGCAGGGAGATACGTTGGGACAAGGCGATACCTACCATTCCACTGGCAATCCATACGATCCCAGCTTTACTTCGGCAACAATTCATTCGTTGGAGTCCAATCAACAGCATGTTTATCAGGATGAGGAGAGAAGAGCGTCGAATTTCTACATCTTCGATGATGATAGTACTCATGAATTCGATGACGAAGTTCAAGGTCGGTTAAATTTTCAAGGGTTTCAGGCCTAGGGGATGGTAATTCATGTGCTCCAAGGAATGACTATATGTAAATTTTTATATTATTTATAGTAGTAAATGTACATATATGATCGGCAAGAAAAACGAAGTTTTCCACCAGAATTTTACTTCTTCATCTCTGAAACATACACAATACTTTTTCCCAGGCTCATCGCCAATTATGACTCCAAAAAAAATAAGAAAGTCTAGCGTATGTCTCACATTGCACTTGGCCATGTTTACACAGCCAACTCTTCCTTTACCTAGCAGCCTCTTCAGACGACGTTCCGTGCCGTTCTCACGAAACTTTTCAAAAAAAATTTTCCTTATTCGATTCTTGGTCCAACGTCGGTTTCCGCTGAATAATCAAGTTGGTACTGGCGAATCACGTCATTTTCTCTTGGCAAAGATTTGACAGCTAAATCTAGTAATCCGTGGCGACTCTCTGGCTTCGAAACGCTTTGTCGTGATCTCTCGCTCTCTCTTTCGTTTATTTTTGTTATTTTTCGTTAATGAAACAGGCCCCTCATTTCATCAAACCGAATTTCAAACCAAACACGTTCGGAATCCCACAAATATCGCACCAACGAAATACCCTCATCCGGTATTTCATTAGGGTTGACAGATTTGTCATTGTAATCCATTATGGGCTGCAGCTTAATCCGGGCAAACTTTTCTGGCACACCAAAACTGTGGCGAAGACATGTAGATTTATCACGAGGAACAGACGTGCCGATGGTCATTTGGGGGCTCTGTTTGCATTCAGCGCCGATTTCTCACGATTCTTTTGTTGGGCGTGCAACTACAGCGATGAATAGTGGCCGAGCGTGTAAATTATTCATTGTTTTTGCGGGATTGGCTCGGATTTTGGGTCAAGCGGAGGTTATGGAGCTACGGATGAAATTTGTGTTGTTGTAGGGTCGCATCATAGGGCATGTAGTATCAGCTAGAGCCGAAGGTTGATCTCCCGGGATCCTCTGCTAATCTCAAAATCCCCTCCCGCCGTCTAAAGTAACATCTCCAAAACATGACCTTTGGAATTAATCTGGGAGCCCGCCTAATACCATTAGTACTCTCCTCAACGAGCACCAACAACATAAACCCGGGCCGAACATGATGAGCGCGCGCCGGTTTCTTCGGCGGGGGATGAAATGCATATAAAAAGAAGGCTGGCCAGGCTTTAATTTTTTCTCATTTTCGTGCCGACTCGGATTGCCATTCCCGAGGAAACGGGGAATAAATCCCGAGAGCTGCTCGTTGCACATATTCCGGGTATTTGCGCTTTCTGTCACAGCACTTCTGGTCCTCATATTTATTTTAATTTTGGGCAAGTGGGGGAGAGCATTTCAAGAGGCCCATCGCATAGTATAAGGGGGCTGTCGGAGGTGTTTTTTACGACATTCTTTGCTCAAATTTGTTCTACGGGGTTTTTATGGATAGCCTGGAAAATCTGGCAGCTTGATGCACAATCCTTGGCGTTTCGTTTAGGACTGGTATGGACGATGTTCGGGGAAAATAAATTTCGTTCTTTGCAAGAAGTACAGGCGGAGAGACTTGACTGCAAAAACATTGTTGTCTTGTGATTTAAGCGCCATTTTTGTTGCTTCTATGGCCTGTAAGGAGTGCTGCTACGACTAGTAGCTGCTTTAATATAGTTATTTTTACAACGTATCACGCTTATCATACCATAACTTCTCCCCTGCTCCCTTGGCCACACGTCAAAAACCGCCAGTTCATGGCTCCCATCTGTCTTGATGGATAATGTGATTTTATGCGTTCTGATCGCATAAACTTTTTAACAGACCCCTGATTCTCCTCGTAACAATCACTCACCGCATGCAGGGCGATCAGACGTTCATGTGTGGCCTTTTGAATTTTATTACCGCCAACTTTTATTCAAGCGGTTTGCTGAACTCCGGAATTTTTAATCATTCTTCCAGCTAAAATTTAAGACCAAAAACTTACCTACAACTTAACTTCTAAATTTAAAAATTTGTCATCTTCTATTAAAAAAAGTTTCAAGTTTACTATAAAAATTTCCGTCTCGCGCGATATTGCCTATGCTAACATGAGGTTTTTGTCAGGGGAATAAAATTAAATTCAGAAGATTTTATTTTGATTTTTGGTTGATAGCATTTGCCCAAAACGGATTAGGGAAGGCCATTTGGGAGGGGAGAACTCGTTTAGGCACAGAAAAGGAACGGAGGCCAAGTCAGAATCGAAATTTTTTTAGGAAATCTTGCGTCTTGAAAAGAAGTTTTTTCGTAACGTATTTTACACGCGAAATTTGTCTGTTTAACCTTTGTTTTTTATAGTTTCCAGTAGAATATAGCCAAATTCTTCAAAAAAATTTGAGATTTAGAACTTAACTTTTTTAAATATAATAAAAATTTTGAAAGACTACTTGAATTTTTGCAGGAAAAAATTCCCTTGCATGTAATTTGTTTACATTTCTCGGTAATGACGAAAATTCGAGAAACTCCTTGCAAGGAGAAGTTTGATCCACGAAAGCCCAAAACACGCGGGACTTTCTTAATCCCCATTTCCATTTGCTCGAAATTGTCTCCAGTTTGCGACATTACCACAAAACGAAACGTTTTACCCGTTTTAGGACTTTTTTCTGGCTCCCATTTTTATGTGATTCGTCAAAAGAGGGAGAGGGAGGATGGGACTTTTAGGATGCCATTTTTGGAATTGACAAACTCGTGGGCAGTGGGGTGGTCAAGTAGTAGATTTTTTGGACTTTTTTCAAAGTTTTCGGGACCTTGCTTTCTAATGCTGGGCGTGTGATTCTTCAATTTCCTTCAAATTTGTAATTGGTCACACATAAATTATTGACGGTTTGCTGGCGCAGCCAAAATAGTCCATAATATTTTTATGGAATATTTTATGCGGCTCGGCTGATGAAAAACGCTTTTTCAGCACCTCCTTTTCGAACATTTATTTTTACCATTCAATTTCTAGTGTGGACAAGAACATGTAAAGAGATGGATACCCAAAAAAAAAGGTTGTAGGAAACGCGTACAAGGCCTGGCAAAGCCGCTAGTTGGTTGGAGAACGCTCAGCGGAGACTTGGCGAAGGCTCGGCGGAGACTTGGCGGAGACTTTGAAAATTTCCATTTTTTGCTAACCTTAGCTATTACAAATCTCAATTTTCTTCACCCTGAATTTTTGTGACATGTAAAAGGCCAAAATTTGCGGCAAAAAATGAAGATCCGTAACTTTTATCTGGATATTATTGATGTGAGTACATGGAAAATGTCTCAAATGAAGTGATAAGCGCTAATCTGTCTTGCTATCTTTTTCATCTAGTAGAAGGCGGAAACTTCCTCCTTGTCTAATGTGATTTCCGGCACGTGCGGATTAGGATACCATATCATGAAAGGAGACATGAAGATCATAGTAAACGAAGTAATCTTTTGAAGTCGTATCATTTTGTTCTCTGAAATTATTTTTCCTCAATTTCAATCCTCGGCAAGACGGTTTTAGCTGCCTTGAATCTTATTTCCTTTTCCATATTTAATAAGTTCTTAAGGGCTTTGCAATTACGATGTGGAGCAGTTGTTCTTATTACTTTTTGGGAATAGCCAATGATCCGCGGGCAATTGCTACGCAGGGTTTTGGGGAACTGCGCCTGTTCTCACTGTTTATAAATAATGCTCGAGGCGAGTTTTGGCCCTTATTTTGTTACATGCCTATTTTTTTTACAAGTTTGGTGGATAGTGTTACAGAATTTCTGTGGATAGCTCTAACATTTACTGCCCCGTAAGAGTCATATTTTACATCTAAGGCTTACAAATGGGCAGCAAAAAAGAAGGGGTATACCATCTACAATTTGCTGATTTTCTTCAAATGTTTGAAAATTGGGGTTCCCTTGCTATGAAAATTTTGGTAAAAAGAAAACCTCTGCTGTTTCTGCAAAGCGCCAGCTCTTAGAAAAGCCTTTGTGGGCTTCAGCAATGGTCGGCAGCAAAATGCATCAAAAATTTGCCTTGTCCAAAAAATGGGTTCTGTCGCGCGCCAAATCTCCGGCCGCGGCTAGCCATCGCAAAGCAATGAGAGGGCGATTCCAAGTAGCGACGATCGCCCGCTATTTCCCCGAGAGACTAATAAGCTTAGAATTTCATAACAGTAAAGGATTTCTATTCTAATCATGCTTCAAATTTCGCCTAGATATTAAAAAAACAGCATTAAAGGGTGTTTTCCTTGTTCATCCTTTCAGGCTTATGTCTCAAGCTGTCTTATTTGTTATTCATTTTTTGTCGTTATTTTGAGCCCGCTTTGTTTTCACTTACCCCCATGAGAGTTGTGCGTGGCGGTTCAAAAAAAAATGCCCTTTTTCATTGGCGTTGCTTATTTTTAGCCGCGACATATAACACACCTCAATCGGAATTATTCTACTATTTCTATTTTTCCGTCTGTCGTCATAGAGAGTTTTCCATATATCTGACGAATATTGTCTACCTACAACTTATTGTTTACACTAGTATCTGCTTCATGCTGGAACTCGGTTCAGGTCTCCAGAATTCTTGGGTTATTTTGCGTGAGTGCCCGACTTCCGGCCGCTCTCCGGATCAATGTTTTTCTGTCCGCAGGAAATGGTTTCGCCTTTTTCGGAGGGCTCCGCTTTCGTATCATCCTAGAAACATATTCGGTTTCAGATTGTGTCGGGTCCTACGGTGGATTATTGGGTTATTGATCCAGGTCTTGCGTTGAGACCCGCTTATTTAGTTTAGGTTGAAAACGAGATTTTTTCGTGGGTTTCGTCTGTGTAAGGTATGTTTTTGTAAAGCGTGGGCCCTCAGTTAGTCCCTGGTCTTTTACGACTGACCGTTATGACGCCATTGCAGCGAAGAAGAACTTATTTTAAACCCCGGTTCAACTGCCCAAATCTCGAAAAGCCTCCGGGTTTTTTTCTGCCCATCCCAAGGAACTTCCGCCTTCCACGCCGTGCTGGTTTGTTTTGTTGGACCGAAATTTATTTATAAAATAATTTCTAAAGACGCCAGAGGCCTTTCAACAAAATCAATCGACCGTCTCGTTTCTCAAGCAAATAAGGCACGATTTTTGTGACCTTTTGCGGAGACGGCTTCACGTTTTTCACGTTCTTCTGCACGCCCACGTAGAGGAATTACGGGAGGATTGGGGGAGGGGATTCGAGAAGATCAGAGGTCGTATTTGCAACGTGTTAGATCCTGTTAGGAAATGCTGATTTTCAAGCGTCATACGGAGGGTTGCGGTCCACCTGTACTAGCCATATCCGGTCGTGTTTGCAAAGTTTATGTTGCTAAAAATCTTTCGCTGCCACCTATATGGTTCGCTTGACATTGTCCCATCCCTTGACACCTTTACAGCCGCAAACATTACGTGAAGATACAACAGAGATTTCCCAAAATTTGTCCCTTTCCCCTCCTTGTTTCCCCTCTCATCGTGCTCGAGAATCGGCGGCGTTCTCGACGCCGCCGCCGACGAATCTGCATGCAAAAAAGCGAATATGGAGAAAATAAAGCGGCCGCGGGGGGACGGGATTCTCTTAATTCAATTTTGAAGCGAGGACTGCCGGCCAAAGCGATTCGCTTTGCCGGGGGCGATGGCGCTGTTCATCATCACAGGAGACGAAGTAAGAAGAAGAACGAAGACGTTGGGGGGAAATTGGGGATGCGAGACGCAGCGACAAGTGCAAGCTCTTCGAGGGGTCCGTGATTCGTTGAGGAGGTGGATTTTTGTTTCAATCCCTGTTTGAGAAACCATATGCATTTCATTTTGACATTTTTTGGGTTCGATTAGACTTTGGTGGCCTACCGGTGACATACATTTTGTTTTTTTACTTAAGCATGCACCGGTAATTCCCTTGTCATGCAGGTCCAGCGGGCGTTTTATTATTCGCGTTTTCATAGCCTACAAGTTTGAGAAATTCGAAGCCGTAAGTCATGGCCACCGGAAGGAACTCATAACTGCGATTGTTCCAGAGTATTTTCGTATTCCACAAGTGAAGGTTTACGAGTGGAACTTTTCTCCGTCAAAATTTATACTTGGGATTAGCATTTGGCAAGGGTTTGATGGGGCATTCGCTTTTATGGGGTTGGCGGAGGGCGTCTTCAACTGTTATTGTCGTTACTTAGTCTGAGGAAGTTGAAGGGAGAATTGCTGAAACTTGGAGGCAAATGTTTTCTGGACGCTATAGGAGTTTTAAATGTAGTTGACGTATATGCTTATTACAGGCTTCGATTTTCCATAAAAGGTCCGCCAAGAGGGTGATAAGATACATCAAACTATGGAAGCCCACTAAAAGACAAGCCCCAACATTTTAACTTGTGATTGTACTGTCCTTATCGCCCAACAAATTCCTTAGTCTTTAGCCGAAACTCTTTAACAAGGCCCTTGAGTCCGTCGTTTTTTGTCCTTGCAATTAAAACAGGGGATGTTCAATTCAGTCTTAAACTTGCCATTCTTTTCGCTTCATAAAAGTTTTTGGGAGCATGTCCAGAAAAAGGCATTCATCATTCTCTGTAGGTTTTATGTGAGGCTTCTGAACGTGCATGTGGTTTTTTTTGACGGCGGCTTTTCTCTTTTCGAAAATGACTTTTACAAGTCTTCGCGGTGATGTTGGTGAGCCCGACTTGTTGAACGTGAATTTGCGGGGCTTTAGTTTTGACAGCAACCTTAAAACAGTCGTTAGGCGGCAGACAATCTCATGATACATCTTGCAACTTTGTTTAAGGTGGCTCTTATTGCCCAAAGCATCTATTTTTGGCCCGAAATCCCGCTTTTTATCCCATACATATTTCCCCGATACCATCTTTCCGTTCTTTTGTTATATTCTGCCTCTTTTTTGTTCACGTCACTCGTCGTCTCCTTTTTATGATGAACCGGGTTTTGGTTTTTTTTCTGACCGTTCCATCTTTCTCGAATCCCGCGAATCTCGGCCTTTCTGGACATCTTCAGCGCTAATTCTCCGGCATCATTCGAAGGGGTTTTCGGCGTCTTTCTTGGGCCGGAAATGTTGAAAGGGAAGTTCAAAGGGGCTTCAGAGTTTTTTGTTGTATTTAGTTTGAAAGAATTTTGTGTTGACTTTGAAGTCGGGTCAATGATAAGGTGACTAAAACCCGAAATCTGCTGGTAGCAAAATCCACGTCAGCTTTGAACCCTGACCTCCCCGTTCTGTCTAAAGTGCATTCCGCGTGACAATAAGGCAGAAGAATTGTTGATTTACGAGGACAAGCTTAGACTTGCGTTAGGTTATTCTGTAATTCTGTTTTTCTCGCGTCTAATCCTTCAAAGGGTCCACCAGAACATCCGTAGGCTACATTTTGAAATACCTTTTGGATCGGGTTTCGTCTGCTGAAATGTGTGGTCGAACTTTTTTGGGATTGATTTCAAGGCACGGGTTGTAAATACCAAGCCATTTAGTGGTTGATATAAATGACAAAAAAGGGCATTCTTGAGATCACACAGTACAGCATAGCTCTATGTTCAATAAAGCGAAGATTCTCAACGGTATAACGAAGATTTCTCAACCTATAACAAAGATTCTCAACGGTCCAGCACGCCAATTTTAGGCCAAAACAAACCTAGATACAAGGAACTACTGTAATATTCCTTGTACTGATTTTCCTAAACTTTGTTGTGTATTTATTATCCGATCCGTCCACACATCGCTTCTCGTGTTTGTCAGAATTATTTGCGGAATACCGGAGTAGCTTGGGAATGGGGTAAAGTTTAAAGCGCTTCAAACACCATGGGTTTGTTTCGGGTGTAGCGGATGTTCTCCCTTCTCATTTTTTGCAAGCCACGCATCATTAACTGAGCACTTGGGGTTTCCAGAGAACATACTAAGTAATTTGGAGAAAGCCTTCGAGCTTTACATACATCTTTTAAAGCAATGTTCTGAAATTTATGATGATTTCTCGCGATTTTCGATTTTGTAATGCTCTGAGAAAGGTAGTAACTAATTACAGCTCAAGATCTTCCTGCCTTTGTCTCTTTAACCTACCCTCCAATCCATTTCAACTTTCTGGCAACAGGGATGACCTGATTGTGTAGCAAATGCAGGTCGACCCAGGTTCAGCCAGTGGCGACCCTCCCAATCATGTTGCGTCTTCCTCCAAGGATCTTCCTGTAATCATCACCAGCGAGAATCTCGGCTCTCCGTCATGGCCCAACACGGCGTTGACCGTCTCTACCCCAAGGAATCACAAAGATCTGGTTGAAACGAACTCCAATGGCAGTGTTCATTCGGCCGTCTCGTTGCCACCTTTGGCGCCCACAACTCCTCCTCAGTTGGCTGGAAGTCCAACTTCTGCGGCGGCGATTGGCTCAAGCTCGGGGTCGCAAAGAGAGCGGCAAATCTCTCCGAAGCTCGACCGACAACTTCATGGATACGGCTCTTCAGCGACGTTGCTCTCAACCACTCAGCGAGCCAATCATCTGAATACCGGGCCAACCCCAAGCCGAAATCCTTCGGTCAAGTCTAACTCTGGTTTCGTCACCGGCGATTCTGGAGCTGCCGCGAGAATCAAAAGTCTGCGACGTCGAATTTCCCACACATTGCTTTTTGTACCGGAGCAACGACGAGTTTCAACGGCATCCGGAGTAAGCGTCACGTCTTGTCCGACAACTGAGGATGGTCTGGACTCGGATGAGGGAATAAGTACAGGCGGGACTTCCCAGCAAATCTCCTTTTCACAACCGACCAAGCGAAGATATACTCCGGCTGCACAGAGAGATCAGTTTGTCCGTCAACCGTTGATCAACGACAACAACAACTCCGGTTCGTCCCTGTCGATCAACGTCTCTCAACCGGTTAGACGGCAGTCAATCCAACCTGGCGCCCCGATAATTGGATTCCCTGCGAAACGGAGTATTCAGAGGACTTGTGGCCATCAACCGTTTGGCCGACGATCAAGCCAGCCTGAGATGAATATTGCGGCGAAATTAGCGATGCTTGGACTTGCTCAAGCACCGCCGAATCAATCGCAAACAGTGACCGGTGTAAGCTTGGCGACGCCGGACTCTCGACCCGAAGTTTCGTTGGCAAAACGGGTTTCATGGATGAGCATGAAGAGCCTGAATGATCCAATGGATCCATTTAACGATATTCGAAAGGAACGGGAGAATGCGATCAATAATAACCGCGATTCGCGGACCAACAGTCAAATGGGAAGTGTGGTGCAACTGAATGATACGTTTGAGCTGGAGTCGGACACACCACCTATCGACACGATGAGTTGGAGCAATTTGGGTAAAGAATGCCAAAAAATCAAAATAATTTAACTCTTACTTGTCAAAACAAAAATTGTGGAGCACATGAACTGCCAAAACCAATCAAGATTTTAAGCCAGTTGACGGTTCTAATTAGCCTTTTTTTAGACGAATTCGACAATGTGACGTTGATGTATTCGAAGCATGAAAAGATCCCAATGAAGGATTTTGGCAGTGAAATTCGAGCCACCATGGATATTGATCATCTCTTGAACAAAGCTGTTTTGTTATTGGACCTTCAAGAGACATCGCTGGAAGAGATCTTTGCAAAGTAAGCTTTTAACTTTGGTGCCTTCGGTAAAGCACTTGCTAATGATTTTTTAAAGGCTAAACTGTTTGAAAACCTAAGGCGTTGAAAATTTCTCTCAAAAACGTTTATGGTCCAACATGAAGCATTTGTATTTTTTATGCTAACGATTGCTCTTTCAGGATAATCCACGAAATGGACATTCAGGAGCCCGAGTTCACAAGCGAACAAGTGCGGTCGGTCCTATTCACTCAAGATGCTGGGAATCAATGTGAGTTTTCACTATTTTCCGGAAAAAACATCCAAGAAAATTTGGTTTGGTAAAGATTTTTTTCGGCAAAAAATGCCACATTTTTGCCAAATTTCTGCCTAAGAATCTCGCTGGTTTCTGCAACGCCCGAGTTAGAAACCTCGCAACTATTCTAGAAAAAATTTGATTAAATTTGCGCCTAGTTTCAACAAAATCGAAGCGTTGCGCTTGGAACACATGCCAGTATAATTTTCAGTAAAATCACATTTCTAAAATGCTCGATTTTCAGTCCACATCCTCAGTCGGACTGTTCAGAGTATCTGTACGACAGGAACTGTTGGCGGGACCTTCGACTATGATCAAACGTGGATTTGCGCTCTTTGCATGCTGAATACGGTGCAGCATCGGCATGTGGCCATTGCAAGATTGTCGCATCCAACAAACTTGGGAAGGACTATGCAGGACCTCAGATTCATCATCATTGTGATTGCACCTTCAAGGGCGGTGAGTTATGGCAGTCTCTTTGATCGTCGGGAAATTCGAGGATTAGAGTGGGTGACCTGATCCAGTAACAAAAAACGTACCATTTTGCATCCGGGAAGTATCAAAAATCCAGCAAAATACCTCCCTCTCCATGTGAAAAAACTCAGATTTCAAAAGCTCGCTCGCTCTTTTTGTGATGAAAAAGGGCGCGCCCTTCAAAACGCAGTTTTTTCACTTGGAGAGGGAAGCATTTTGCCACATTTTTGACACTTCTCGGAGGCAAAATGGCACGTTTTTTGCCACCGGATCAGGTCACTGTAGAGTCAAAAAGTGAACACGATCAAGAAAAATTGCCTAAACGCTCATTTACCACGATAAAACTTGGTCTAATGTAAGGCATAAGAGCCCTGAAAAGTACTAGAAAATTTTTTTCAACCTGTATTTTAATTAAATTAATCCGAGAAACTTCAATAATTGCCAACAATTTCCTAAAATTATGTTGTCTATGGCAAGGCTGACCCAAAATCCGCGATTTTCCGGGTTATTTTTGAAGATTAACTTGGAATTCCGCATTAAAAAGCCACTTGAAAGGCTCTTACTTATCAATGCTAATTTTCAGAAAGGCACAAAGACCGCGTTGGAGACGACCAGGACATTCGCCACGTTGTTCGCTGATATGGACATCAGGCAAAAGTTAGTTATGGCCCAGACGGTCGAGGTCTTCCGAGCGACACTTCTCGATGCCGCCAAAGAACTGGCGTTGGAACAGTCGCAGTGGAGAGAAAGAAAGGCCTCGATTCATTTGAGCGAAGCTAAAGAACAAGTCGTAAGTTGAACTACGTTTATAACTAGAAATGGAGCCTTCTCAAATATTGGTAATATTACATTAAAAACATCGTTTTCAGTTTGGTACTGGTCCCTGGTATCCACTGCGCGGGTTGTTTGCCGACATTCGACGGCGAAAGGCGTCGTACATCTCGGATTATCTTGATGGTAAGTGAAAATGACAAATAATTTTGGGAATTGATGTTGCAAACTTTTACGACTGAAAAATAAGTCAGCCTCGACGATTTTAGCTATTCTTTGTGTTGGTTTTCTTTGTTTTGCATGTTTTCATCACAATTATTGGTTATTTTCAGGTGTCCGCGGCCACAGGACGATCCAGAAACTCTTTTCAACAATCATTTTCCTATACTTTGCCTGTTTGCTTCCGGCCATTGCCTTTGGCGTCCTAAATGATGACAATACCAGTGGAGGAATAAGTGAGAACCTTTTTATTAATAAATTTTTTTTTTCAAACCGTATTTTACCACTCATTTTCTAGTATCAGAGGCTCTTTCAGTGAGGGACCTGATCCAGTGGCAAAAAAGTACCATTTTGTATCCGGGAAGTATCAAAAATGTGGCAAAATACCTCCCTCTCCGAGTGAAAAAACTGCGATTTCGAAAGCGCGCCCTCTCTTTTTGTGAAGGAAAGGGCCTTGAAGAGGGAAGCATCTTGCCATATTTTTGATACTTCCCGGATGCAAAATGGCACGTTTTTTGCCACTGGATCAAGTCCCTCACTGTACTTTGAGAATGCTTTAGGATTTTTAGAAGATTTGTTTTTTTGATAAACATAAACCCCAATTTTCAGACGTACGAAAGGTGGTATTTGCTCAAGCCGTTGGTGGCATCTTTTTCTCGATATTTGGCGGCCAACCGATGATCGTTTTGCTCACAACTGTACCTCTTGCGATATACATAAAAGGTATTGAAATCGTTTGAATTTCATCCATATTTTACCAAAAAAAAACTCAATTTTTAAAAGGTTCTAATTTTTTGTTTTCAGTAATATATCGAATATCCGAATCGCTCAATTACGACTTCTATGCAATGTATGCGTGTGTTGGGTTGTCTTGTCAGATGTTTTTGATTATTTATGCGTGCACGGAGCTCTGTAGCTTCATGAAACTGGCGACTCGGTAAGTAAAGGAGGTTTTCGTCACTTCCTTGAGGTCTTATAAGAAAGATACCCCAATTTTTTACCTCAATTTTCCTAAAATTACATTAATAACCACGAATTTCCCCCTTCAGATCCGCCGAAGAGATGTTTTCGTTATTTATTGCAATAGCCTTTACTGTCGAGAGTTTCCGCGCCATCCACCACACATTCGATATCAACTACAATGACTGTGATGACACAATAGAGGGTTCCAAGGTCTTCACCAAGAACCACACCCTGCTGGATGGGCAAAAACCTTGTCATCGCGACACATCCATCTTGTACATTCTTCTGATGTTCGGCACAATGTGGCTGGGAATGTTTCTGTACAACTTCAGGAAGACGCCGTATTTGACAAGAGCGCGAAGGGAGTGGCTAGCGGATTACGCGTTGCCTGCCAGTGTGATGATCATGACATTCTTGGGAGCGGTGGGATTCAGCGAGATTGAGAGTAAGTGTGATTTTTGATGGCAACGGCATTTTTTCGAGAGAGCATGGAAAATGAGGAGAGTATGTCAGAGAAAAAAGTTCTTGGCTATCTCTTTTTGGAAGTTTCGGAGAAAACGTTGATTTTTTGCAAAAACCTTCGCACATGTTTTTTTCTAATGGACCTTGAAATTTATAGGGCAAAAATCAAAAAAATAGTCAAATTTTTACCTGTTATTGGAAATGAAAGTCTAGGTTTACAGTCAGCAGAATCCGTAAAAAGAACGCTACGACTGTTTCAGCATCATTATCAAATCTTGTGAAGATCTACGGCACATTTCTAGCCCCTACTTTTAATGATAATACCCACTATTTTTCAGAAGACATGTTCCCAGTCCGAACAGAAGTCCCTCTGATCGCGAATCCGGATATCTTCTCGCTGCCCCTCGAGGCCTACCCAATCTGCATTCTATTAGGGTTCTTTCTCTCATTCCTCTTCTACATGGATCAGAATATCACGAGTGCCATTGTGAACAACAGTCAAAATAAGCTCAAAAAAGGCAGCGCGGTGCATTTGGATATGTTCGTGGTGGCCATTCTCAACTGCTTCCTATCACTTGGAGGCTTACCTTGGTAGGTATTTTTTGTTTGAGAATGATTGCGATTGTAGTTGTAAAATTATTGTAAATGCTAAGTCTAATGAGTGTATGAATTAACATATTTTAATGATTTTAGGATGCACGGTGCTCTTCCACATTCTCCGTTGCATCTCCGAGCGTTGGCGGACGTGGAAGAACGGGTTGCTCAGGGACATGTTCATGAAGTGTAAGTTTAAGTCTTTGAAATAATTACAGTGGCGGGCCCGATCCAGTGGCAGAAAAAAGTACCATTTTGCATCCGGGAAGCATCAAAAATGTGGCAAAATGCTTCCCTCTCCAAGTGAAAATACTCCGATTTCAAAAGCGCGCCCGCTCTTTTCCCTTCAAAACGAAGTTTTTTCCCTTAAAGAGGGAAGCATTTTGCCACATTTTTGATGCTTTCCGGAAGCAAAATGGTACGTTTTTGCCACTGGATCAGGTCCCCCATTATACCTATCATATTTTACTAAGACACCATCTGCATTCCTTCCTCAACAAAAATTTTTCAGAATCATGAACGTCCGTGAGACCCGTCTTGCCAGTTTGATCGCCCACATTCTAATCCTGGTCTCAGCATTCAGTCTCCTCCCATATCCAATCCGATGGATCCCGACCTCGGTTCTGCATGGTCTCTTCCTACATATGGCATTCACATCATTGGCGGGCAATGAAATGATGGAACGCTTATTGCTACTGATCACTGAACAGGTTGGATTTTAAAAACATCAACGTATATCACGGCGTCTTTTAAAAATATTAAAATTTCTTTGTTTCAGCAAGCCTACCCACCCACCCATTACATTCGTCGAGTACCTCAGCGCAAAGTGCATTTGTTCACCGGTTGTCAGCTGGTCCAATTGGTTCTCTTGTGTGCCGTCGGGTTCTCGCCATACCCATTCGTGGAAATGGTGTTTCCGATCGTTTGCTTCTGCTTCCTTCCCATTCGGTAAGTTGAGGATTTCTAACAGACGAAGCGCTGCAAATGCGACCTCAGATTTTGATGCAACTGGGCACAGATTTAGATTAGTTTTTTTCGAACACACATGATACAACGCTAGTTTGCGCCTTTTAGAAACGACCGAGATTTTTTCGCCGAAATCTATTATTTTTGTTAACTCTCGGGCAGCATTCTGCGCGGTCTCTCGGCAGCCAAGATCGAAATTTCTCGGCCGCCGCGGGAAATCGCTTTGCTTTGGGGGTGCAAAGTTTGGCCAAAATTTTACGTTTTTGTGCCAGTTTGTCCTTGAAACGTCTTGGACATTTTTGTATCAAGGAATTCCTGCAAAAAACCGTTTTTTTACTCAAAATTAGCAAAGGTTAGGCTGTTTTTTCTCTCTAACTGCTCTCCACTTACTCCCCTGTCCGTCAAAATTGTCGAATAGTTCAATTCAAATTGCAAAGCGCGCGCTGAAATGTTCACAAAAAATTTCGACCCAAAATTCAATGAAAACTGAGCTCTTATTTGCAGACATCTTGTGATACCTCGGCTCATTGACTACAAGTATTTGGACGCGTTGGATGGACGTCACTAGCCCCTTCCATTCATCCCTTCTCAAGCCATGTATAGACACTATGAAAACAACACAACATGGACAACAAAACGGACAATAATTTGATTTCCTTTCTTCAACATGTCTTTCAGCTCAGCACTCCCCGGAATACACACAGATGCAAAACAAAAGGCTCACTAATCAATGCAGTTGTTTTCTTAAATTCTTTCAATTCAATTACAGTTTTGTTTATAAGACTCAAGTGGCATATTGTTCTAAGAGTTCTATTTTATTTGTAACTTTGACTTTGAATGGAAATTTTGAGGTGATTCTCGGAAAAACTTGAAATTTTAGACAAAAAATTGAATTTCTAAACTTCATTTTCACAAAATTACTTTTGATACTTTTTGACACCTTTTCCAAATGTTTCAAAATTCCAGTTTTTTACGTAAAAATTTCCTCAAAATGTTTAAACTTCTAGATCCCCGATATTTTCGATCCCGGCGAACGTCTTCAATCTCAATTCTCACACTCTCGAGTGAAATGTAAATTTCTAGTCAGATTCTCCATTGTTATCTAGTCAAACAGATCCCAATGATATACAGAGTTTTAATTTGTTTATCTTGCATTTTCTGGTTTTGAACATGAATAAATCCATAATGTTGAGACCGCAATATATTGAGTTTCACATAATATGTTTTTTTTGGTCTTCTCTACACAAGATCCAAATTTCAACGTAACATTTTAGTAGTTTCCCTTTCTAAAAGCCGCAACAAATCCAGGATTCCCAGATCTTCCGGTTCGAATTCCCCCGAGATGCCGTTCCTCCCAAATTTGGATGTAAACACAATTTCCTCCAAAGAGCTTTCCGTGTTTTTCGAAAAAAACACGAAAACCCTAGAAACGTTACCCTTCGCTTCCAAATAATTTCTTGTTTGCTTTTTTATAATTCACCAATTTTTCTTTGGGTAACCGTTAACCCCGTGATTCATCAAATTTTTGTTTATTCGAGTTGTTTTGTGAAATATCTTTACTGTTTTGTCTGCTTTTATCAAATTTAGATGATTGGAAAATGAGATTTTGGCAAGAATTTTTGATAATTGGTTTTGTGATAGCGCCGGTGGTTACAATTCGATGTAATGATGGTAAGTTTTTTTCGACTCACAAGAGGAAAACCTCAAGTGCGACGCTAAAATTACTTTAAGTTTTCAACACTTTCCGCATAGACTACGTATCAATTCTTGAAAACTTTAGCTCGCGCTGTATAAGCGAAGCCAAGATATTCAACGGTCTTGTGAGACCGAGAGAGTACAGTGAGGGGCCTGATCCAATGGCAAAAAACGTCTCATTTTGCATCCCGGAAGGGACCAAAATGACTCCAAACCCTTCCCTTCTCTAAGCTAAAAAACTCCGCTTTGAAAAGCGCGCCATTTCCTTCAAGGTTGCCCTTTGGGAACTTCCAAACATTATTGGTAAAAAATAAAAGTAAATTGCTGACATATATAAGTGAATAGTTCTGCTACCAGGCTGATTATCATTGTAATTTCAGGCAACGTTTACCACGGAAAGCAGGTCCTGACAAAAATGAAGTGCCCAAGGAAAGTGGAATGGTGCCTAAAATACGGTGATCAAAAAGGAGCAGACTGGTTTCTGTAAGTCAAAAAATAAGAACAACCATATCCGTCCCCGTTTAGAATGTGCGACTACGAAAACTTCTGCGGCCATCCGGAAAAGCAAAAGAAACCTTTTCAGTACATCTGCTGCAATATTGACTACTGCAACAGCTCAGTTCGTCAAATGCCACCGACATATTCACTAATCTTCGCCTCACTGTTTTTGCCGATTCTTGCTATGGGATTATGGTCTTAAGCTGGGGGAAATGTACAGTGTAAATAAAGCGTGCCTGCAAATCGGTTTTGTTAATTGTTTAGTAACATTCGCAAAAAATTCAAGCACAGGGTCAAAGGATAAGCAATTTGGCGAATCTAGGAACCTAATTTTACGTTAGAAACGATCCCCAAAACTATCTTTTTCCAAAAAGTCTACCAAAAGCAGACCAATTTTACCACCATCCGGGCGATCAAAGTCTATGCGTATGCCTACTATAACATCGATGCCACCAAAAACTATAACATCGATGTCACCAAAACACCAAAATTTCAGCCTAAATTCAAAAAACAATCAATGTAACAATCAAATGTTTTGAAAATTGTTAACCAGCTGGCAATGGGTTGAGATCACAGCCAATTTTTTTATGGCTAGGCAAAAACCTGGATTAGGCAGCAGAAGTGTTGGAATAGCTGTGAAGCCTCGAAGAAAGGTTAGCCGAAGGGTTGGATCAATGTTTTTTATTTCCATTTTCGGTAATTTCCGTGTTATTTGCAACTTTGTGAAACGAATTCGACTTTTTGGCAAATTTTTATGAGGCTTTCACGCCGTTCTGACAGTTTGTCAAGCTGGCTTAGGTCCTCAACTGGCCATTTAAAAATTTGGCTGTGATTTCAACTCATTGGCTAGCTGGCAAGGGTTTTCAAAAATGAAATGTTGGGGACAGAAAGGCTCAAAAAAGTGGGGAGAAAAAGCCCAAGCGTCTGTCACAAACCTTTTGTATGCGCCGAATTGCAGGTAGCCTATGCAGGAAGAAATTTGTCTTTTGGGTTCGGTAATACTCCCATGCTGCAGTAAAAGGAGGGAGGGGACACAGGTATCTTGTTGCTGCTATATATATATATATATTGTATATATTATTGTTTAGTTTAAAATTTATTTGAATTTTAATTTCCCCTGTGATACCGCGTAGGGTCATCGAAAAGTTAAAGTTATGGCTAGTAAAATTCTTTTATATCGGTGAGTCTGTACAATAGAAAGAGCGCGGGCACAAGACCTAAAAGGGGCATTAGGATCGATTAAACTGTTGTTCCAAAGTATCAGTCTGTCGGAAAAATAACGGCGGATCGTCGCAGCAAAATGTCTCGCCTCGCCGCTATCGCGCACCAAATCCCAAGTCGCGGCTTGCAGTCGCAAAGCGATGATGGGCGATTCGGAGGCGCGACGATCCGCCGTTTTTTTCCCGACAGACTGATATAAGGCTTTGCAAATTCCGCATCTGTGCGTTGGTTTAGGTTTTCTGCCCATGCGCATCGTAAAATTACAACATTCATTGCGAATTACTCATACTTTCTTTAAATTTTTCCATTAATTTCTACGTTTTACCTTGCGTTTTGTAAATTTCTCGAACATCTCCCCCAGTGGCTTTCATTTCAACTCACCGAACAACAGGTTTTACAAAAGGAATTTGGCTTAAACTTGAATTATTAAACTGGGGGCTTTTTGTTTCTGACCAGTGATTGAAGAGTTCCTTTCGGCCCAAAATGGGTTTGTAGACCGGTTCTTGTCGCTCATTCTTTCTCGATTTCCAATTGATGTGAAAGACGATAGCGAACAAACAGTCGGAGAAAAGGGCAGTAATAGCTCCGAAACTTAACAACAATGTTTGCTATGGGAAAGTGCAAGGGATAGTGAAAGTGAGATAATAAATCACGGAAGCAGTGCAAGGTGGAATAATGACTTATTTTTTGTTTTGATAGGAATTTATTTACTATAATGTCCTTGTTGTGAACTGATCAAAATTATGAACCTTTGTAGATGTTCTCTGATTTTTTTTGGCTTTTGTGTACGTAATCAAAATGTTTTTCAATCTCCGAGGTTTTTTGCGTCCGCTTGGCAATCGCAACAGACGAAAGGCCTGTTTTGTGGGAGAGTATGTAAAATGAGGAGAGACGGCCAAACGGAATCATTCGTTCGTCAATACCCGTTTCAAACCTGTTTGCAGAAAGCCATTTTTCGCAAATGTTTCAACAAACTTTAGCCTAATTCGTGCTAACTTTCATGAGGGGTTGACTGGCCACAAACGAGCTTTATGAAACAGTTCAAAAGTTCAAGGAAACATGTCAACAGTCCCTGATCTTATTCAGAAGCATTGACCATACAGAAATGCATCATAACATCGTTCAAACAAAAGACAATATCCGTTCTTTGCGTAACCATTCCCAAACGCAGCCATTATAAGGTTTTGCGTAAGTGCCTTTTATCTTGAACGGAAAAATGTTTTTCAAAAAAAAAACCCGCAAGGATTTAATTCCGCGTTGTTTACAAACCAAATCATAATTGCGTTATTATACATGTTTAATATTCCAAATATTTCAAACAAAACACACAAAAATGCCACACTGAGATTCAAAGTGCATGGAATCGATCAGCACCGGCGTTCCTGAGAAGTTACGCGACACAACGCAGCAAATACCGCTCTCTAATAGCCGGGGGCAGTACGTGGAGGTGGGCAGTGATCGCAGCCGCCTTGAGGGCCAGCCTTACCATCGGGGCCAGCATTTCCTGGGGCACCGGGAGCTCCGGCTTGTCCTTCGACTCCTTTGTCGCCTGGAGGTCCGGCTGGGCCGGCCTCGCCGTCCTTTCCTGGCCCTCCGGGTTGTCCAGGGATTCCTTTGGGTCCGGGTGGGCCGGCTGGTCCAGCTGGGCCTGGTGGTCCTTCAACGTTGTTGACGATTCCGGGCGGTCCTTTTGGTCCTGGTTGTCCGGGGGCTCCTGGAGCTCCTGGTGGTCCCGCAGGTCCTGGGGGTCCTTGGCCGGCTGCAGGGGCGGGTTGTCCTGGTTCTCCGGCATTTCCGGGAATTCCAGAGGGTCCTTGTGGGCCGGGAGGTCCGACAGGGCCAGCTGGGGCTTCTGGGCAGTCAAAGCAGTAGTCTTCTGGCTTGGGAGCGTCATTTGGTCGGGCATCTGCGCCGGGATGGCCGTCGCTTCCTGGGTTTCCGTCGCCTCCTGGAATCAATTATTACATAAGCATTACAAAACCCAAATCTAAACACAGTTGAAGATTAGCTTTCTTACCAGGCTGTCCATCACTTCCTGGAGCTCCAGGAGGTCCAGCGGGTCCGACACCGCAAGAACAACCGCATTGCCCGTTGTTTTCCGCGGCAGCTGGAGCACTCTTCACTGGGGCATCGGTTGGAGCGGGCGTTTCGTAACCGCTCTGTTCCTTCGGCTGAGAAACAGCGGATTCTCCGTAGGTATCTGCGGCTCTGGCCTTGGCGTGTCCAGTGGATCCCGAGCTCTTTCTGAACACCTCCCTCTTCAGTCTTGGAGCGGCCGGGATCCTTTGGTACTCGGCGTACAGACCGTTGGTGCGATGGCGGCAGAAGTCGATTTCGAGTTGGAGATTCGATTGGACATGTTGAAGGTAGGTGTAGATGGCGGGGACTGCAACAATGGCAGTGAGAGTAGCGACGGTGGAGACGCTGATGGCCAAGAAGGCCAGGCGTTTGATATTGTCGGCCTCTTTGAGCCGAAGTTTGTCCTCCATACCCGGTCTAAAAAAAGTGACTTAGCTTCGTGATTCTAGATACGTTATATAAGGCATCTAAAACATGCGATATGAGAACCGGCAAAAGGGAAAATAATAAGGAAGACTATTCTCTGATATTATGACAAAAAGGCCCAAGAAAAGGCAATGCTAGTCATACAGCACCCGCAACCCGAACGTGACCCCGAACGTCGATCGCCCGCTTTTCCCTCTGCTTTAAAGCCGCACCCACGGCTAATATATTAGGTGACTTGCGAAATAAACCCGACCTTATTGCAGCCGGCGGCCCCGCCTTGGTCGCCGGGCCCAATTACAACTTTCACTTGTCGCGCAACAGTCATCTTCGGGCAGTAAAAAACGACCAAACCGTTTCCCACATTTCGCATTCCCAAAAAGAAGAAGAAAAAGAGACCGTTCGATCGTCTTTACAGCGTTTCAATTGCAAGAAACGAGGGGCTAAGGTAAAGAAAACGAAACGACCGAAAAGGTGTCCAGAAACGCTTTTGGAATGTCAGGATGGGTAAACAGTCACCCGACCCGTTGTAAAGTACCTCGGAAGTTATGGACATGCTGTTGGGATGTATACAAAAAAAGTTTGGCGTCCCAGTTGAGTCATAAAATAAGACGAGGGCGGAAAATTTATTATAAAGATCAGAGGTAGGAGTGTGAAAAAAGAAACTTGATTAAGGCCGGGAAATTACAACAGAAAATGTATAGTGAGGTCATAAAATTGCATAGGGGGTTCCAGGGGTTGCAATGAAACATGGCGTAAATTAAGTATAGTATAGTCCGTTCGCAATGCCACAGTAATTTATGGTACTGTGAGAAAACAAATTTTCATTGGGCACTATGCAATTGTTTACTTTTTGGACCGTGCTAATAGCTTCTTCCGGCTGTTGCTATCTCCTTGATTTTTTTGAACAGTAAATGCCTCAAAAATCACTCCAGCGAGTTTTCCAACGGACTAATATGCGTGAAAGACCTTTTAATATGAGATATGCATAAACAGTCAGGTAAAGATTGTTTTTTTGTAATCTTTCTTCCGTTTTGCAACAATCTCTTTCTTTTCTTTTTGCACTTTTTCCTGATATTACACAACGACTAATAAGTTGAGTCTGAACCCGGTTTGGGAAAGCAAAGATCAAGCGTTACGTAGTCAAGGCTAATCATAAAAGTAACTCGTATTAGGCTTCTTACTGAGCGAGCGGAAATCAAATATCGGAAATCGCAGGTAAAATAATTATAATACGAAAAAGACATAAGACTGTATGATTGTCTTCTTTAATTAGCAATTCTCGATTATTTTACGGCAACTTTTTTTGATGACTTTACAAAACTTTGTTATTGCTAACGAAGTTTTGCAGTAGTCCGTGACCATTCGAATAATTATGTTTATTGTTCTATTGTCTAAAGAGCTGTGAAAAGAAAACTACCGGGTTCAATATTCTAAACTACATATTGATGATCGAAACACCGTAGGATTTCTAGGTAATTGCACAGCAGGCCGTCTGTAAACGCTCAAATAGCTCTTAACTGTCGGCTTAACATGGGAGATTTCTGAGTAATGGATCAAGGGGAATATTGAAGCAATTCTGTATTGTGGAAAGTAGCAAGCAATGGCATATGAAGGAAAAGTTACACCAAAGTGTCCACCGGCTACAGACTCCAACAAAACGAATTAAAACTTACCAAGGACAAACTTTATTTTAGGAAACGTTCTGTGAGGACACTTGGATTTATAATAAATAAAATTTGATTAGCATGGACAAAAAAGGAATCGGTTTCAACAACCTTTGCAAACGAAAGTCACGAAATATGATGAGATCTGGATACAGAAAGATTCTTTAAATGCTGACTAGGCTTTGCCGTATCCCTAAATGTCCAATATTCGGCAATTTATCTATATACTATTCTATTTTTTACAGAACATATCACAGGAAAGACAATAAAACCCTACGCAAACTGCAGACAGATACCTCACATATAAATATTAGTCCAGCGAGTTACAATTAACAATAGACTGATCTAGTCAAACAAAGGTTGGGAAAGATTTGTAAGGCTCCTCGAAGACACCTATCCACACAATTCCATCCCAAAACACACATATCCACACTTCTAATCGTCAATTCTCCGTATATCATTCCTTTTCCCCCAAACCCACCAGAACCAACAGCGGAAAGTAAAAGTTGTACCTCATAAACCCGAAACAGTAATTAGCCCAGCGCCCGATCTGGACTGTCACCTCCATGACCAGTCGGTCCATTTTTTGTTTACAAGCCCCCTACTCGATGCAAAAACCGGGGGGAGAAAGCCCATTTTCTTCCTGTGTAATCCGATTTAGGGAGTACATGAAGACGGTAATTGATCCGACGCCCTCCCTCGTTACGAGCGTTCGCTTCATCTCCCTTTCTCATTCTGAACCCATCGTATCTTCGCGCACATCTTGCCGAAAATGGGCGATTATTGGGAAGCGACGGAAACGTCTGCGGAAGGGCGGAAGACTGCAAGTAAGTAGTACGAAAAAAGTTCGGAATTTGGCGGGTCAAATGTTGAAAATATGAGCGGTGTATTAGCGCTTCTTCGAGGGGGTGGATGCGCTGTAGATGGGACAGAAACAAGCTAAAAACTTTGTAGTTAAGATTTCGTAGGTTAGGTGTTAAAAGCGTCAATTTTATCAGTCTGTCGGGAAAATAATGGGCACTCTGTAGCATCGAAAAACGCTTCGCCGCCAAGAAAATGAATCGTGTCGCGACAAAATCACTTTTTTTATTTCAGCGACGCGATTAGCGCAATGGCATTGTGCTCATTATTTTCCTGGCAGACTGATTACATCAGTGAAGTATATGGCATCATTGTTGGCCAAAAAGATTCGCTGCAGAGCAGATGATGTGCCTAGTTGAGTCTTTGTCCAATAAGGCCCGTCCGGAAAGTCGCTTGATTTCGGCGACATGCACTCCGCGAAAACGGAAGTTAACTTTGCACTGTGGAATTTTTGGCTTTTTGCACAGTGCAATAGGCTTTTTTGGGCTGTCGCCCGCACCCTGAGTTTTCTTGCACAGTGCAGGTTGCCGAAATCGTTCCAGCGACTTTACGAACGGACTAGTAGCTATTGACCTTTTTGGCAAGCGTGGTAAAATTTAAAATAGTAAAAAATTTGGCCGCAAACTCTTGACAGTGTACTCGCTCATCCAGAAGTTTTTAGGGTATAGACTTATTTGTTCATAAACTGAGTTATCAGAATCTTCAAATCCAAAGAAACTGAACTTCAAAATCGCAAGTTCGGCAAGGCAAGGCACTATTGTATTTGTTCGTTATAATTAACTTACGTGGCAGCGTAAATTTAATACCAAACACCAGATTCCTCGTAAATTCTTTTATGATTAGTGACACAAACTAGGCAAAAATCCACGTTCTCTCGACTGTCTGTCATTTCCAAATATGTCGCCACTCCCCGAGCAATATCATATTTCTATCTACAGTAATTTCCAATATTTTGCGCTTCTGTTGTCAACGATTATGGTGGTCCTAACATTGATTGTTGTGGCGAAAGCGTCGCCCAAAAATATGGGTGTTTATCAGTGGTTCATCTTCAACGAAGTTATCGGGAGCTACGCCTTCGACGCGGCCTATCTTTTGTTCCAACCAGTGCTCATATTGCCTTACAGCTGCGCATACACGGCTGGTCCGTTTCGCTATGCAAATTACAAGTTCACAAAAATGCTGGTTGCTATTGTTCTGTGTTTGGCTTATTACAAATTCGTCTCCTTGACGGCGGCGCTGTTCTATCGATATTTAAAGTCGTTGCCGCCGAATGGAAAGCGAAGACTCAACTTTTTGGATTACTCTAGATGGGTAAATGCGATGCTGATTGTTTTTGTCTGGCTACTATTGATTACGATCATGTTGGTAAGTGCAAACTGTAGCTAGACTGTTTTGTAAAGCGTTGATTTTGATGTCAATGGCCCGTACAGCTACTTTTAAATCCACTTTTCCTTGGGAAGCGAAATGCCAAAAAAGGTTTTTTTTGTCTCCTGCCACAAAAAAAGCGATAATGCCGAAAGAAATATCGTAATGATTGGTACTCGTGTAGATATTTTTTCTCCACCTTTATTGAAAAAATAGGCAAAGTCAATTTCTGCACGTTTTGTTGTGTAAAAGACGCGATTTAAAAATAGATGTACTGTCTATGTACTATAACCTTTTTAATATTATATTATATACGTATTATATAAATATTTATATGTATTGACAAACAAAGTCTGCTAGCAACCAACAATTATCTCTACAGCCGTTCGGAAGCCACATGACAAACATTACATAAATATAACACATTTTAAGGCGGCTCTCTCCAAAGCAGAGATAGGACAAGAACACGTCAAATTCTACGTTTCCTCCAAATCGCAAGTTTACGCTTTTGTCACGCATAACGAGCCATCGTTAATTTGCTATTGGCTCAACCTGGAAGCCGGGAAATTTGGCGAGAATGGCGCTTACGTTCTGGTGGCACTCCTCATCATCTACACTCTCTTCATTATCATCATCTTTGTGTTGGCCTATCTAACCGTTCAGAATTTTTTGAAATCAGAGAGCAGTGTAATGCACTTGTCATTCCAGCGGGTTCATCGAATTCTGCTAATCTCTTGGGGACTTCAGCTCTCAAGTCTCGTAATTTTCATTGGAATCCCTTTTGGGGTTTTAATTTTAATGTTGATTTTCCATCCATCATACGAAAACTATTTGTCGCTGGTCACGTTAAGCATGTGTGGACTTCATTCAATGGCGGAATGCGCAATATTACTAATTGTAGTCACTCCATTCCGTAATTACATCAGATGGGAAATCTTGAAACGCAAATCACGGCGTGATATTGCTGTACGGGTTGTGTATATTAGTGGGAAGGCAAGAAGTATGATCGATAATCGCAGTGTTCACAGTGTTATCTAATAAACGGCTTTGAGAAAATTTTGGTGGTTTTACTAGCGTGTATTTTCTAGTATAGGACAGGTTCTCCAAGAATGAGTCTACATACAATGTTCTTGAATTGAGTTTTTACACTTTTGTAAGAATGCCAACAAATAAGGGGGATCGAACAGTAAAAATTATGACATAACATGTTCTGTTTATTTTAACGGACAAGGGATTTTTTCACGGATTATTTGTAGTCGTGTAAGTAGAATCTACAGTGGCGGCCTGATCCAGTGGCAAAAAGCGTTTCATTTTGCGTCCGGGAAGTATCAGTAAATATCGAAAAATACCTTCCTCTCCAAGTGAAGAACTCCTATTCCAAAAGAACGACTTTCAAATCGGAAGTTTTTCACTTAGAGAGGGAGGCATTTTGCGACATTCCTTGATACCTCCTGGATGCAAAATGTTACTTTGTTGTCACTGTTCCGCTATTGTAAAGGGTTAAAATGAAAGGTCGTAGAATATAGCCCAAGGATTCTCAACCTTGGAACGCCTATAACGCTTATTGTTAGTTTCTCTGGCGGAGGTAACGGTCGTACATAGATTTGCACTTTTCGGGTACAATTTTAGCATGAAACCTTTGGGAACATGCATTATTTCAGATGAACCCAAAAATCATTTTTTGAATATGCTCGGCTGCCGCAGCGAGACATAATCGCCTTTTATGGATTGTATTACACATAATATTAAGTCAACTGACTAAGTGGTTCAATAAATATTCGAGGTTCATAGTACGATTCAATTAATGGTTAGCGTAAACCTAACAGTCCAGCTGCTCTTTGTTAATCACATCGCTTTTTTCAACGTCCCGTCTAGTGGTCTTTTAACTCTTGGACCATTTGTTCTTCTGTTTCTTTATCAACGTACATATGTCAGGGTTGCCAACTCCGAGAAATGTCGCCTTTTACGGTCATATTCAAGACCTCTCGCTGCTTTTGTCCACAGTTATTGTCGGCTGCACATTGTTCGTTGTCGCCAAGGCCTCTCCCAAAACTATGAGCGTTTACAAGTGGTTCATCTTCAATGAAGTTATTGGCAGCTACCTATTTGATGTTGCGTATCTTACGCTTCAGCCAGTGCCACTACTTCCATTCAGTTGCGTCTATTCGGCCGGGCCATTTCGACAGGCAAATTTCAAGCTGACTAGTGCTTTTGTGAAGGCCGTTCTCTGCCTGTCGTATTACAAATTTATTTCGCTTACGGCCACTTTGTTTTATCGATACTTGAAAGCATTGCCCCCTGTTGGAAACGGGCTACTAATGTTTTTGGATTTTCCACGATGGTTTAATATCTCTTTAATTGTACTTGCTGGCGTGTTGATGGATTTGATGATGACGGTAAGCCGCCAGAAAATGTTTCAAGAGCAAGTTGGCCAAAAGAGGCGCTTAGTTTTAAAATAAGTTATGAGCCGAAATATATAGATCAGGGCTTCAGAAATGGTCGAATTTGAGGTCAAGCTCAAAAACTATCGAGCTTGAATTTGAACTTGACCCTCAGCTTGAACTCGTGAAAGTTCTGGAGTTCAAGTTCAAGGTCTCACGTTCTGGACCTGAGCGTGGGCTTCGCTTTTGACAAAGAAAGAACTTTTATGGGGGCTCCTACTTTTAGACGGGACATACCTCAAAAAATCCGAAAAATAATGCTGATAAAGAAGAATATGGGTTTATGTAGGAGTTTCAGTCAACCTGCGATTGATTTTTCACCCCAAAAACATAAAATTGAGCAGCTAATTTTTAAATATTCTTGGTCAGCACAAGGAATTTTTGTTTCGTCTAAAAGTAGGAGACTCCATAAAAGTAACACTTTCCTTGTAAAAATTGTCCAACATAAGTGTGAACTAGGGCTTCTATTTTTGTGGAGCCCTGTCTAATCTCCATAATTTCACTCGACGGATATTTTTTTCCTTCATAAAAAAATCATTAAACTTTAGACATCAATAATCTTTGCAGACGACATTCGCGCAACTCGAGATTCCTCAAGATGAAGTGAAACATAACATCTCCCTGATTTCGAAAGAATTCGCCTATGTCGTCCAAAACGAGAACTCGCTGATCTGTTATTGGCTGGAAGATCAGAGATATGGCGGGCATGCGGTGTACTTCCTTGCCGCCGTTGTTCTGGTCTTTATTTTATTTGCAGCAGTGATTATTGTGCTTGCGTCGTTGACAATCCGCAGTTTTTCCCGCTTTGGGAATGGCTTTATGAATCCGTCATTTCAACGGGTACACCGAATGCTCTTAATTTCCTGGGGGCTTCAGCTAGCCAGTCTTTTAATTTTCTGTGTCATCCCATTTGTTTTATGGATTTTTATGTTGATCTTTCATCCACCATACGAGAATTGTCTTCTGCTGATTTCGCTGTGTATGTGTGGCGTCCATTCCATGGTGGAATGCTCAATTTTGGTGTTGGTTATCACTCCATATCGGAAGTATCTCTGTCAAAAGGTTTGGTGTTTTCAAAGACCGTGCTGTGTCCAGACCGATATCTCAATACGAGTAGTGTATATTAACGGAAAGACGAAGAAGTCGGTAAAAACGGAAAAAACAAGCGCTTTTCACGCCGTTTTCTAGATGGAATTGGTAAACTCAAAAATGAGGGAAGACCGGTTATTGTAATGCTTAAATTTTCGGTTGTAAAATTTATGCGGGCATAAAAATACAAAAACGTTTTTTGGGAATAGCAGCACTTTCAGAACTGTTGCTTTCAAAATACGTTGACATCAGAATGTGACAGTGTCGTGTTTGTTGTTGGCCTTGTTTGATAAAACGGTAGTCCTTTGTGAAGTTTGCGGCGAATGGCAGCTCAAAATAGACCGAAAATGTCTCCCGCCCACTTTTGAGTTTCGTCCAGACGAAGTGTCGCAGTTCACAAAAAAGATAAAATATAATTCGGAAAAAACGCTTTTCTTCTCGTTGAGAAAGCCTACGAAAAATTCATTTTTGACGTTTTGTTTGAGGTTAACCGGTATAAGGTGGGCGAAGTGACAAGATGGGACGGAAGACTCCGTGTGGCGATATTCTGTGAATGAAAAAACGATGTTTTTTCGAAAAACCCCATAAAATCTTGCAAAATAACGGTTATGGTCTCAAAAATTAAATTACAGCGACGGACCGGATCCAGTGACAAAAAAACGTATCATTTTGCATCCAGGAAGTATCAAAAAATGTAGCAAAATGCCTCCCTCTCCAACTAAAAAGAATCCTTTTTTGAAGGGTGCTCCCTCTCCCTTACAAAAAGGACGCTTTAGAAATCGGAGTTTTTTCACATCGAGGGGTAGGTATTTTGCTACTTTTTTTATACTTCCCGGATGCAAAATGGTGCGTTTTTTGCTCAGGTCCGCCACTGTAGAAGCAACTGACGTTTTCCGAAGACAAAACTATCATCTCACTCACATGATTAATTTAGCCGTTACTAAAACCGCACTCTAAACGTGATTTTCGAACGGTAATTAAAGCTGCGCTAATTACAGACTGGAGGAAATGCGCGTAAAAACATGTAATACAAGGCTACAATTACATGTTTTCACATCCTTGCGGCCGGGTCTGTTTCCCTTCCTCGTTGGCGGCTCGGGACTACAATCTCCCATTTCGCCCTCCCACCTGTACATTTGCTAAAAAATACGGTCAAGACGCATACCATATTTTGGCGGATGTGTAAATTATTTGATCGTATATGGTCTTTAAAGTCGTTAGAGTAATCGAGTAACTATACGTGTGCGTCTCAATTGTTCAACTGTTAATGCGTTTACGAAGGTTGCCCAAATTGGCAGGTGCTTTGTGAAAGTTACTCTAATTACACCCTCAGGCAATTGTATCAGTCACAAGGGACCGGTGCGCTTTCCGAATGGTGGAGCTTCCGGACCCGGTCTACATTGAATTCTACAGTATTTTCCAGGGATTGACCTTTGTTGTGTCCACTTTTACGGTATGCCTTACGATTTTCGTTGTGGCCAAGGTCTCTCCCAAAAACATGGGTGTGTACAAGCTATTCATTTACAACGAAATCATTGCCAGCTACGCCTTTGATGCCGGCTACTTGCTGCTGCAGCCGGTGACGCTGCTCCCATTTAGTTGCGCTTATTCGGCGGGCCCGTTAAGAGGCGCCAACTACACGTCAACCCGAACTCTGATTAATGTAGTTGTCGTCTTGTCTTATTATAAATTCATGTCGCTGCTAACGGCCTTGTTTTATCGATATTTGAAATCTTTGCCGCCTTCGTGGAGTGGGATTCAGCAATTTCTTGGATACCCAAAATGGCTGAATATTGCGTTGTTGGTTAGTACGTTTATCAGCATTGACGCAACGGTCCTTGTAAGTTTGCTTCGTTTTAATTCAATTTTTCATTACATTGCATGTCTCAGGGGTTGGAAAATTCGGCTAAATCAACATAAAACAAGCTTTGCGGGAGGCTCGAGATTGTAGGTATGCAGTAGCATTTTTAGATTTTTGGTTTTTGCTCTATGAGTGGCCCAATAGACTCCGGACCTTTTAGGACCGTAGAAGTGATGTTTCATAGAAATTTTTATATTGACAACTCTTTTCTAGGACTTCTGGAAGTATCCGATTCTATATACTTAGTTCAAAGTGAATCAAAATCGGTGCTTCAAAAATACATATTTTTGTTTCAACTTCATAAAAGTTTCGTCTTTAGTCTATGTCCGGAATAAGTGAGTAAAAAATCCTTGAATCTCAAAACAGCCGGTGACTTGAATTCATAAGGAAGTTGACATTTACATTCCACAAATTGTGAGAATAGTGCTGTTAGAAAACCCGAAAAAAGCACGTACTTTTGTTTGCTTACCTAGAAAATGGGGCTAAAAATCATTGCCCAAAACAAGTTTGTATGGCTTTCAAATTGGGGGAACTTCAATGGCTCCAGGAAACGTTTGATTCTATTATCGAAGAAATAAAAGTCAAAGCGTCATAAATTTTGTTTTCAGTGGACGCTATCCAAAACCGAAATACCTCAAGATCAGATAAAACACGACATCTCGCTCAACCGCCCCGATTATTCCGACATCATTCGTAAAGAAACGTCATTGGTTTGCTACTGGGTTCACGATGACAAATACGGAGGTCGAGTGGACTATTTCATTGCATCCGTCGTCTTACTGGGTATTTTCTTCACCTTGGGCGTGTCAGTGTTGGCATATTTGACGCTACGCAACTTTCTACGGACCGACAACATTGCTCGCATCTCCTTTCAACGAATTCATCGTCGACTCCTGCTCGCGTGGGCGCTGCAGTTGGCTAGTCTAATTATTTTCGTCGGCATTCCTTTCTTTATTTGGTTGTTTATGTTATTCATTCATCCCGCTTACCAAAACACGATAATTCTGGTGGTCTTGTGTGTAATCGGTCTGCATTCCATGTCTGAGTGTGCAATATTGCTGTTTGTTGTGAAGCCATATCGAATGTTCTTGCTGAAGCTCTCTTGTTTCAAGCGTTCGAATCCGGTGCTGTCCAGGGTCAAGTTTTTCCAGGGAAATTCTGTGGCAACGGACGAGATTTTTTCGTAAATAAAGAAATACTTAAACTTATGTCATCATTTTTACGTGTAACTTGAATAATTTTGTGACAAGTCAATTTAAAAATCAAAGCACAACGTATCAGAAGAGACTTGGTCTCAGCATATTGGTTCAAATGCAGTCGCCCGCTTTAAATCAACATCAAAGTGCAGGAGAATACGTAATGCTCAGTCCATAAGCCCAACAAATCCAATTGAACAAATTTCCCCTGTATCGCACAAAGTTCAAAGTAAATCTCCGAACAGCCGCAATTGCGGGCGTTTAACATTTGTTCTCTGTACTGTGCCGGCTGCACAAATATGGGTCACAAATATGACATGTCGCAAATGAGATATAAAACACGGATATGATAATGTTGACTCATTTAGTTTTTTTGTCGGGTTCCCAACACAATGAACGCCATCTGGGCATGCTTCCAGTTTGTTGTTTTTATCATATTGGTTAAAAAAACGAAGTCAGCAATGTGTCCGAATGGCGGGATACCTGGACAGCGTAAGTAAATTCTCTTTGTAGAGAAGATGTTAAAGTAACTTCTGTAAGGAAAATCTTTGCGGCAGGATATGGGCATACAGGCCACAATCTTGGGAGACCCCGATTCAGTAAACATTTCTAACATCAAAATGTAATTAAAATTAAGTTTTTTTTAATTGCTGATTGGGCAAAAATTCTAAAGTCTATGCGCCTAAATTTTCTTAACTCGACTAAATTTTATACAGTTAGAAAATTATTCAGTGGACATACCCAAGCTCATTTGTCATGAGAAGCTTTATGCCTGTTTCTACAGTAGAGGGTAAACTTTTCTCACAAAATTGACTTTTTTCGCATAAAACTGATAAAGATTTTGCTAAAAAGCGCTTTTCTCTGCGACCGCTTTCCGCTTTCCGCGTAGTCTCTTGAACGTAAACATTGTTGAATGTTTCCGCTGCGCTTGCAAAACCGAGTTAAAATCTCAAACCTATCAATACGTATAGCATACGCCCGAGGCGTTTAAAAATTTTAAAGAAAATCTGAGCGTCGCACTTGGGTTACGTTTCTTGTCAACTTCTACCTGGTCAAGACATGGCTCTGGGGCCGGGCTGGAAGAAATGAGCCCGGAGCAGCTTGGAATTCACTCGGCCTCACCCGGAGCCTGGGCGTCAATGTAAATCTTTATTCAGCAATTTTATAGATGTTACATTCTTGTTTTATATAAAAATTAAGAATTTTTTGTTGAAAAAAATTGCCAACGACCGTATGTCTCTACAGTATTAAGAGACAAATTGCGTCTGGGCATAGCGTTTTGAATTTATTGGCCAGCCCAATTTTCGCTTCGAGACTCACATCAGAATTATAACTATTAGGTGTCGGAAAAGGTCGGCCCGGCCCCCGGGCCGTCTTAAATTTTCCTCGGGCCGGCGCTAGAGCCATGTCTTGCCTGGCCATTTTTAAAAACTTAACCAAATTTTACAACCAAAGTTAAATACTACCGTATAATAATTCTATTAATTCCTTCACGACGAACTGTTCTACTGAAGCAATGTAAAAAACATTTTTTAGCATGCCCAACAGGAAGTTGTCTGCTGAGCAGTCAGGAGTGCGTCAAGATTGGCTGGAGCAGTTTTTGTTGTAAGTCGTTCCGCTTTGACTTGCTTCTTTTATACACCTACGGGCACATATAATTTCCCTACATATAATTTAGGTTCAAAGCTGGAAACGACAACAGAACCGCCGAAATGTCCTGATGGCAGCTCTGCAAACACGGGTATGTAAAAAACATTTGGGTCTTTCCGTTTGAACAATACATGTTCGGGCGTCTAGATTATAAATCGAGATCAAATCACGTGTTGGGAAGAGAACATATTTACCATATTGCATAATTATGCTATTATTTGCATAACCCAATCAATTAAAACAGTAATTTACAAACTGCATTTAGGATGTACCCTCGGAAGGTGCCCTCCCTTCAGTAACACAGAATGCGTCGATGTTGGTGGGAAGAAAGCTTGCTGTCCGATTGTTACCACTCCGACAACACCCTGGACCACCACACCACCAGAAACATGTCCAGATGGAAGCAAGGGGAGCGTTCGTATGTTTTTAATTCCTCTCTTTAACAATATTTTCAGCCTGTCCGTTAAATGTATGCCCTCCATTAACCAATACGCAATGTACAACAGTCAACGGATGGAAGATGTGTTGCCCAATTGTCACAACGCCTACAACTCCTTGGACAACAACGCCTCCAGCGACTTGCCCAGACGGCAGTCCGGTCGGGTCATGTTAGTTTTTCTTTTAAAACACGCCATAGGCATTTCCCTTTCACGCCAACGGTTCTTTTTCAGCTTGCGCTCTCGGCGTTTGTTCACCACTGAGCAATACAGAGTGTACCACGGTAGCCGGAAAGAAAGTCTGCTGTAAGTTTCTCCGTTGAGTAGTCTTATTTCTTACAGGTCCTATAATTACAACCACAAGCACTCCGTGGACGACAACTCCACCAGAAACATGTCCAGATGGAAGCAAGGGAGGCGTTCGTATGTTTTTTTGCCTCCAGTTTTTAACAGTACATTTTCTTAGCATGCCCGTTGAGTGTATGCCCTCCACTGACCAATACGGAATGTACGACAGTCAACGGTTGGAAAGTATGCTGCCCAATCGTCACAACAACTACAACTCCTTGGACAACAACGCCTCCAGAAACTTGCCCAGACGGTAGTCCCGTCGGATCATGTTAGTTTAGCTTTTGAAGCATGGGAATAACCGGATTTTTTTATTCACGCTGACAGTTCTCTTTTAGCTTGTGCTCTTGGTGTTTGTTCACCGCTAAGCAATACAGAGTGTACGACGGTAGCCGGAAAGAAAGTCTGCTGTAAGTTTCTCCGTTGAGTAGTCTTATTTCTTACAGGTCCTATAATTACAACCACAAGCACTCCGTGGACGACAACTCCACCAGAGACATGTCCAGATGGTAGCAAGGGAGGCGTTCGTATGTTTTTAATTCCTCTCTTTAACAATGCATTTTCTTAGCCTGCCCCTTGAGTGTATGCCCTCCATTAACCAATACGCAATGTACAACAGTTAACGGATGGAAAATGTGTTGCCCAATTGTCACGACGCCTACAACTCCTTGGACAACAACGCCTCCAGCGACTTGCCCAGACGGCAGCCCGGTCGGATCATGTTAGTTTAGCTTTTGAAGCATGGGGATAACGGGATTTTCCTGTTTGTGCTATTGGTTTTCTTTCAGCCTGCGCTCTCGGTGTTTGTTCACCACTGAGCAATACAGAGTGTACCACGGTAGCCGGAAAGAAAGTCTGCTGTAAGTTTCTCCGTTGAGTAGTCTTATTTCTTACAGGTCCTATAATTACTACCACAACTACACCTTGGACAACAACACCACCAGAGACATGTCCAGATGGAAGCAAGGGGAGCGTTCGTACGTTTTTTAGTTTCAAATTTTAACAATGGTCCTAGCCTGTCCGCTAAATGTATGCCCTCCATTAACCAATACGCAATGTACAGCAGTAAACGGATGGAAGATGTGTTGCCCAATTGTCACGACGCCTACAACTCCTTGGACAACAACGTCTCCAGAAACTTGTCCAGACGGTAGTCCGGTCGGATCATGTTAGTTTAGCTTTTTAAACATGTCAATAATAGGGGTTTCCTATACATGCCAACGGTTCTCTTTCAGCTTGCGCTCTCGGCGTTTGTTCACCGTTAAGCAATACAGAGTGCACCACAGTGGCCGGAAAGAAAGTCTGCTGTAAGGTTGTTTGTCCAGTAGTCTTATTTTTATAGGTCCTGTAATTACAACCACAACTACGCCTTGGACAACAACTCCACCGGAAACATGTCCAGATGGAAGCAAGGGAGGCGTTCGTACGTTTTTCTGTTACAATTTTTGACATTGTCTTTAGCTTGTCCGTTAAGCGTATGCCCTCCATTGACCAATAGCCAATGTACAACAGTTAACGGTTGGAAGGTATGTTGCCCAATTGTCACATCAACGACCACACCATTCACAACACTGTCAACGACACCGGCGACTACAAAAGCGCCCGAAACATGTCCCGATGGAAGTCAGCCTGGCTCTTGTAGGCATCATTTGTATTTATCGATTTTTTGAATGATTGATTAAAAACGTTCTCCTTTAGCCTGTGCGCTGGGCGTATGTGCACCATTCAGTAACACAGAATGCACCACGGTTGCTGGAAAGAAAGTTTGTTGTAAGTTACTGGAGCACTCACACTTTTCTGTAGGTCCTATCACAACAACAACCACAACGCCAGGAACTACGACAATGACCACGCCTTGGACAACGACGAGTTCCGAAACTTGTCCAGACGGAAGCGCGGGAACTATACGTAAGATATAATCCTGTTTTTTTTTTTATTATTCTATTCCATTTCTTCACCTGATGTCTTTAGCCTGCCCATTGAGTGTGTGCCCACCGCTAACCAACACCCAATGCACAAAAGTTAACGGATGGAAGATATGTTGCCCTGTTGTAACGACCCCTTCGACGTCATTCACAACCCCAACAACAACTGCTGCGTCTACCACAAGCCCGGACACCTGCCCGGATGGAAGTCCACCGGGAACTTGTAGGTTTTCTGCTGAAAATTCAAATTTTCGTATATTCATTCTTGATAAAAACCGAGTCCCTTACTAATCTTTTTCAGCATGTGCTTTGGGAGTGTGTGCGCCGTTCAGCAATACGAAATGTACAACTGTCGCTGGAAAGAAGGTTTGCTGTAAGTTTCTGACACTACTTTTGTATCAAGACCATTTACTATTTTAGGTCCTATTACAACAACAACGCCCCAAACGACCACACCAACAACCCCATGGACAACGACGTCTTCTCCGACTTGCCCTGACGGTAGCGCGCCGGGTTCTTGTAAGTTATGAGGCGTGATATGGCAACAGGCTTTTCAGCGTGCCCGCTTGGTGTTTGTGCACCGTTCAGCAATACACAGTGTACATCTGTCGCCGGAAAGAAGGTTTGCTGTAAGTGAAAAAGTAAATCTTTTATTTTGTTACCAGGTCCAACAATTGTCACCACCACCACACCCATAAGTACCACTTCATTGACAACTTTGTCCACAATTCCACCACAAACCTGTCCAAATGGTGGATCTGGAAATATACGTGAGTAAAATCTGTCCAAAACATGTAGCAAATTCTAGCATGCCCCATTGGAGTGTGCCCTCCTTTCACAAATACAGAGTGCTCAATGGTAAATGGCTGGAAGGTTTGCTGTAAGTGCTGCCCCTATTTTACATCAACACCGTTTTTAGGTCCTATTGCAACAACGTCGACGACACCACAAACAACCACACCAACTACCCCATGGACAACAACGTCTTCCCAGACTTGCCCTGATGGTAGCGCGCCGGGTTCTGGTAAGTTATGAGGCGTGCTATGGCAATGGTCCTTTCAGCGTGCCCGCTTGGTGTTTGTGCTCCGTTCAGCAATACACAATGCACAACAGTCGCTGGCAAAAAGGCTTGCTGTAAGTTCACAAATAACAAACGGATGTACCGAAATTTAAGGTCCAATCGTGTCAACTCCAACGACACCTTGGACAACCACACCGTCAGCAACTTGCCCAGGCGGCAGTCCCCCTGGCTCATGTAAGTCATTGTTTTCAGTCTTCTATTCATTTTAAGCATGCCCTCTCGGAGTCTGTGCTCCGTTCAGCAACACTCAATGTACATCCGTCGCGGGAAAGAAGGTTTGCTGTAAGTTGTGAAAATTCTCTTCATCTATTCATCGTTTTTTTTGCAGGCCCAATTCTCACGACAACTAGTACTCCTGTAACTACCACCCCAACCACTCCGTGGACAACAACCACAGCCAGTACCTGCCCAGACGGCAGTCAACCAGGATCTTGTAGGTTCAAAATCGAAGCCATTTCACAAGCTTTCAGCGTGCCCGCTGGGTGTTTGTGCTCCATTCAGCAATACACAATGTACAAGTGTCGCTGGAAAGAAGGTTTGCTGTAAGTTTCTGAACTACTATTATATCAAGGCCATTAATTGTTTTAGGTCCTATTACAACAACTTCGACTACACCTCAAACGACCACGCCCCCATGGACAACAACGGCTTCCCAGACTTGCCCTGACGGCAGCGCGCCGGGTTCTTGTAAGTTATGAGGCGTGATATGGCAATAGTCTTTTCAGCGTGCCCGCTGGGTGTCTGTGCTCCGTTCAGCAATACACAATGTACAACTGTCGCCGGAAAGAAAGTTTGCTGTAAGTGTCATTAAAACATTGTTTCGTCATCAGGTCTTACTCTTTCTTATTTGATAATTTGTAGGCCCCAAATCAACTACGACAATTTCAAGTACAGCAACTACTACTGGCACTACCGCTTCGACCGCAACTGGGACGACAGCAACAACAATTTCTACCGCCAGTACCGGATCAACAGCATCGCTTTCTACAGGATCTACGATTTCAACGCCTACGGGCTCTACAACTACTCCTGCCCCTACATGCCCGGACGGTAGTTTGGTGAAGCTGCGTATGTTTGTTATGAATACTATGTAGTTTGATCATTTTTCCTCTTACAAAAATACGATTTCAGCCTGCCCAACGGGTTATTGCCCAGCACTGCTAAACGCTGACTGTGTGAAGATCAGCGGCCTGCCTTTTTGCTGTAAGTGTTTTGAGATCTGTAGGGAGCGGCTCAAATGTTTGCCTTCCACTGTATTTTTTCAGGCCCACAGACAACTACAACCACGCCAGGGACTACGATAACGACTGTGTCGAGCTCTACAGCATCCACGGCAACATCAGGTTCGACCTCAACGCCTTTTACCAGTACCACCGGCTCAACGACAACGCCGGCGCCCTCTTGTCCTGATGGAAGCATTGTAAAAATGCGTAAGAGTAGCTATAGATATAAGATGAAATTAATATATTTCAAATCATAAAAAGTGTTTTCGTTTCTTTCAGCGTGTCCGACGGGATACTGCCCAGCAATGTTAAATGCGGATTGTGTAAAAATAAGTGGACTTCCTTTTTGCTGTAAGTTTAGTATTGAGAATCATTGTGCGTTTTCCATTTAACAGGCCCGAGACCCACAACAACCACAAGCGGAACGTCCACAACGTCGGCAACTTCACCGACAACGCCAACCTCGCAGACTACCCCTACAACGCCAAGCACACCGACGACTCCAACTACTCAATCCACTCCAACTTCGCCAACTACTCCGACCACAGCGAGCACAGCAAGCACGCAGACCACAGGGTCAACTCCAACCACTCAAACCACTGCATCAACGCCAAGTACGCCGACAACAGCATCCACAGGAACTACAGCAACTACACCGACCACACCAACTACGCCGACTACGGCTACAACTCCGACAACGGCTACAACTCCGACAACAGCTACAACTCCGTCTACACCCGCAACTCCCACAACGCCGACCACACCAACTACTCCGACTACACCAACAACACCAAGCACGCCGACAACACCAAGTACACCGACCACAGAAACAACACAAAGCACGCCGACAACACCAAGCACTCCGACTACACCAAGCACACCAACTACTCCGACAACACCAACAACACCAAGCACTCCGACAACAGCATCAACTCCAACAACTCAAACCACTCCATCAACACAAAGCACGCCCTCTACTCCATCTACATCGACTACACCAACTACACCAAGCACAACAGCATCAACTCAAACCACTCCATCAACACCAAGTACGCCGACAACTCCAACAACTCCATCAACACCGACAACACCAACTGAACCACAAACTCCTACCACCCCGCCAACGCCAACCAAACCTGCTGCCCCAACTACAAGTTCAGATTGCGTTGATCGTCGAGCCGAGTGCAATTCCAAGAAAGCCCTGTGTACGCAACCTTCATACTACCGACTTATGTCGGTGAATTGCGCAAAGACATGTGGTTGCCCGACTGGGCCGCCTACAACACCAGCTCCAAAACCGAGATGCGGCACCGCACCGGACAAATCCGCCGATTGTCAGCAGAAAAGCGGTTTATGTGGTAGAGCGGTACGTTCTGTTTTACAAGGTTTTACACTTGGTATCTTTGCTAAGAAGTGAAAAAATTCATTTCAGGAATATATTCGATTGATGAATAACATATGTCCGGACACTTGTGGTTGCGTTACAACTCAGTCTTCACAAAGTCAAGGCTGTTGGGATCGGATTCCAGAGTGCCCAAAGAAGTCCTATCAATGCTTTGTTGAAGTAAGTATGCCCATCGTAGACTTCGCTCTTTATAGTATTCTTGAACTCTAAGGAGCAGAAATTATACTAACTAAGCTTCACAAGTGGGCTTATAGGCTGGAATTATTATAGATTGTTGTTGCTGCCCTGAATATATAACTTGTATACTGAAACTGCATTTTTAGTCGTATTTCCGTCTTATGAAGCGGAATTGTGAAAGAACATGCAACTTCTGTGGGTTGAACGAATTTCCAAAAGACAGAAAGCCACCGGCGGATTCGAAACCAAAGCTTGGATAAGAAGCGGACAGCATAAAATATTTGTTTGTATGTAGATGGGAAGAGAATGAATAAAGCACATTTTTACAATTTTCATTAGGCGACTACGTTTTGCCAATTTCTCTTCCGTAGCTATTATAAACTACATGAGCATTCATAAATATCAGGCAGATTTTTTTAAGCAATTCATTATAAGGTTATTCAAACTGAACAAATATTATTTACGGAGGCAGATATTTGATTTGATATTAGCAAGTCTTTGAAGCCAGAAGGGGTTTCTGATAATGTTTTGGCGGGCCCACACTTGCGGGCAACCACTTTGCGGGCAGCTTGAAAAACCACGGAGATTGGGCGGACATGTTTTGAAATCAGCCAAAATTTGCTTACAGCTGGAAATTCAAACGATGGGCTTGACGATAAGATGTTGCGGATTAAGTTTCCAGGTGTATAAGTGGCTTGAATAGTTGTCATAAGCTTATGCAGGCATTTTTTATCATTTTTTGAAAACAAACTCCGATAACTTTCAAAGCTGTGCATGAATTTAATAGATTTGTGTAGTCATCGGTACCAGGGTGTTTTCAATGTAAAATTTCTGTCGTACTACTTAGATTACGGGAGGGAAATCGTAATTCTAATCAAAAGATGTCGGCTGCCCGCAAAGTGGTTGCCCGCAAGTGTCGCGACGCCAATGTTTGTCATCAGGGATCACATTCTGACAACAATTAGGTCTTCCTCGACCTCCCACGCAAAATATATAATATATTTTAGACTCCAAAAATTTTGATATTTTTACAGTAAGAGTCGCGGAAGTTTGACCAAATCTAACAATAATATTTTTCCTCGCAAAAATGTGGGCTTCTTATTTCTAAATCACACAAACACCCCGCAATGCCCTCTGATTCACAAAATCCATTTGTTTTCGCAAAATATCCGGCAAGTTACAAACCAAACCTCGTGTAAGACTATAAAAACAACTATTTACCCACGATTTTCATGATAATTGTAGTACAGTGAATCATGACTAGATATTTCTCTGAATTGTTCATATTTTTGACGTTGCTTTTGGTAGCCCTGTCGTGGCCAAACTGTTGGAAGTCAGAGGATTGCCTCGACAAAATCAAATGCCACTACAATAAAAGTCACTATTGCACGTGGTCGCTGAAATGCTCTTGTGTTCCTATAGAGTTGGAATAGTAAATGTGTTAAATTGCCCGATTCTGATGGTTGGTAATAAATTCATATCCAATTTTACACCTTTATTTATTTTTATGAGAAGTCGTCGCCGGATTATCGACCACCGCTGTAACAAAAGTACCTCAAACGTATTTAAGGTAGAAAAAAAGATGGCCGCAGAAAAACAACTCGATTAAAGAGGTCATCTTGGACGTAGCTGTACACGGTGCTCGTTGAAATGTGTCGAAAAGTTTTTCCCATTTTCTTGAGATTTTGATGAAACTTGGCACAAATTTAGTATAATTTTTTCTAAGACGTATGCGAGAATCCTAGCTCGCGCTTTGCAGAAACAGCCGAGATTTTTAAATCGATAGTCGGGGAAAATTTAGGACTTTTTGCCGAATTTCGGCAAGAAAAGTTTAATGCCTATTTCAACCGTCGGATTTTTCCGCACAAAACTGCCAAAGTTATGGCCAAAAAGCGTTTTTCTCTCGGACCGCTCTCCACGTTTAGCGTGCTCTCTCGGCGGCAAAAATCGTTCGATAATTCGGCGGCGCCCGCAAAGCGCGAGCTAAAACTTTCAGGAATTGAGGTTTAGTCCATACCCGACGTGTGTGCAAAATTTAAAGAAAATCTGAGCGTCGCACTTAATACATATTTTAAGACGCGAAATTGAAGGTTGGACCTCAATCAAGTGGTCGTATATTCCAAAATCCTTGACTTGACCCAAGGAGTCACCGTTGAAGTTCACTCTTGTGTTCATTAACTTTTAATAAAACAAAGCCGTCATGTATGCTCTTTATTTTTGAATTGATTGTAGCTTCTTAGTGTTGGGTGCATTTCACGCATGTATGTCAGACAGTTCGCTTCAATTTGTATTTCTTTTGTTGTTTTTCCATGGTTATCTGAAAAGTCTGGCCTGGACATTGTTGAGCTTTTTATAGCAGTTTTATTAATTAAACTACTAATTAAGCTATTAGGGCTATCAAAACTTACCAAAGCCGAAAATGAAGGTTGTTGATCGAATTTTGCCGCTGCAGATTCAATTTTACAAGTCCACTTTGGAAGCTTCGTTAATTCTTTCAACAATTATGTCGGCTTTATCTTTGTGTATTATAACACAAGCTTCAAGCCGATCAATGGGCGCTTACCAGTGGATTATTTGCGCCGAAGTTGTCTCCAGCTATAGCTTTGATATTGTCCTTGCACTCATGCAGCCAGTCACACTGTTTCCTCATCATTGTTTTTACCTTGTTGGGCCTTTAAGAAAGCTCAGCTACACGGTAACCAGCACAATTTTCAAAGTTCTGGCATGTGCTATTATCCTCAAAGGATATTGTTTGTTGCTAGCGTTATTGTACCGCTATATCATGTCGTTGCCGCCTTATAAATACGTCATAAATAGGCTGATCTCATGGAATCCGTGGATCAATGTTTTGTTGGGAGCCCTTGGATATGCGGTCGCAACGGGGTTTGTTTTGGTGAGCAAAGACTTCTTATTTTACAGTACTTGTCGGAGTACTCGTAAAACGATAGATTTTGATGGACTCCTATTTCAGATCGCCCTATTCTACGCAGAAATCCCTCAAGAACAAGTATCAAAGGACGTTGCTGATGAATCACCCGCCACGTCAATGATTTTCCTGCGCGAACCTTCATTGCTGTGCTATTCTCTCCATGGAGGCTACGGTGGCTCCGTGTGGCCGTTATACGCTCTGTTTTTTGTCTATGCCTTTGGATTTATCAGTCTTGTCCTGATACTCGGCTTTTTCACCAACCAAAACATCAACTCACTGCGCTCTTATATCAGCCCGCATACACAACAAAATCACCGAATGTTGTTGTACGCCTGGATTGCGCAGTTTGCTTGTCTTACCACATTCGTGAATTGTCCAATTCTTTTGGGATATGGAGCAATTTTCTTCGGCTTGAAAGGTCAGAATCATTGTGTGTTGGTGACGTTCGTGATGTGCTCGTTCCACACCACAAGCGACTGTCTTGTCCTTCTGACCGTGGTGAGGCCGTATCGAATGTGCGTCAAAAGAATTTTGGGCCGTATGGACATTAGCAAAAGCACAAATTTGAGGGTCAAAAGCCACTCCGGCTTTCCGCATCCCAACGTACAAGAATGTGTAACTGTGACATTGTAATTGATTCATTGCTGAAATAAATTCATCGAAAATTCAAGAAATATTATATAAGCATTTTTTGAAATCTTATGCAACAACATAACATAGCCGAGTATTTATAAGGTTTTGTCTCCTTCTCAGCTGCAAAAATTGTTACTTTAAGAAATCATTTCTTACGGTCTCTGCACCTGTCCACTAACCTATAAAAGCAACGAATACATAATGACCATGTGTGGAAAAGAAATTGGCAGCAGAGTAATAAAGACACAAAGTATTGATGAAGGACCAATGTCCGATGTTCTAAGCGACTTTGAGCTGCGCGTCTACAGCCATCTACACACTACTGCGCTATGCATTTCAACGTCGCTGCTTATTTTCACCGCGACGGTAATTGTCAAAGCGCCTAATAAAAATATGGGAACGTATCAATGGTATTTGCTCAACGAGGTTGTCGGTAGCTACGCGTTTGACGTGTGCCTAATGGTGGGACAGCCAGTGACCCTTCTGCCAAATCAGTGTGGATTTACATTGGGGATTTTGAGGAGCTACAGCTCAGGCGTGCTACAATTCATGCTGAAGGTTCTTGCTTCGGCTGCGGTTTGGAAGCTGTTGGCTCTGTTTTTGGCGCTATCCTATCGATATTTGAAGTCGTTGCCGCCAAACACCAATTTCACGCAAATATTCTTAAACTTCAATGTAAAAACAAACGTTGGACTGATAGTAGCACTATACTTGGTGATAGATGCAATTGCTGTGGTAAGTGGGGAAGCGTTGGTTGTGTATGCAGCATCATTTCTTGAGCAACAAGTAACATATGTATATAGTATTACAAGAACATTAGCGCATATGCTTTTTTATTATGTATTTGATGTTATACGGCCCGTAAAATCTCAGGTTTATCGCATATAGCAAGGACTAGGATGGAAGTTTTGCCTTGAATTTTGAAATTTTCACGCCAATGTTTTCAGGGATGTCTATCGCTTGCCGACATTCCACAAGATACCATCAAGTACGAAGTAACAAAAGAAACACCGATCTTCTACAATATTGTGCGAAACGAGCCATCGACCATTTGCTACACTCTGTACCCTTCGAAATACGGTGGAAGTTTGCTGCCGTTCTACCTATCGTCGGTTGTTGGGGCGTTGGTTTTAGCTGGAGCTTTGATCTATCTTGGTGTCTCAACTTACACCAATATTTCGGCTATGAAGAATTTCACAGGCTCAAGAAGTCAAAAAGTTCACAGTATGCTGCTCCTTGCCTGGGCGGCACAACTTCTATGCGTGATTCTCTTTGGGGGATTGCCTCTAGTGATTGGCTTTTTTGTCTTCATCTTTCTACCGCCATACACAAATCATATCATGATGGGATTATTTTGCGTCATAGCATTTCACTCCATTGCTGACTGTATTGTTCTGTTGGTTGTTGTCAAGCCTTACCGAGTCTTTATTCAACGGGTATTTTTGAGGAGTAGGGAGGAAAGCACTTCCATCACAGCTCGAAAGACCAGTCGAAGCAAAAGTCTGTTTGTTAGGAGTAGTGTGTCGCCACAACCGCCGCGGCTGTCGATAGCTAACCACGTAAATGTTTTCTAGCTGTATTTACGGTCTTCACACTGCCCTTGATCGTTTGAAATTTTGTGCATCATTCAGCCATATATGTACGTAACATGCTAATAAAAATGCCTTGCGAATAGAATGCGTTTCGCCAACAAAAACTAAGGCCGGAAGATGCATATCGCTGAAACAAATTAACATAAAATCATAATTTGGATTGCCGAATTCTCAATAAACAATTTCATATCTAAGCGTGTCATTTTTCATTAGAAAAATTAATTTTTGAAGCCGCGGAGTCACTGTTATTCAAGCCCCAATATGGAAACAACTCGAAATTTTTTACAAAGGTTTCGTACGTACAACAAGCTACAAGACAAATAAAACTTTGCTATTGAGATCTACGTTAAGACTGCTCTTGGCCGCAATGGCAGGAAGTTTTGGAACGAACGACTTTGAGGCAAACACGTCGATGAATTGTCAAAAAAATACCGACGTCTATAGTACAGGGTGTTCCTAGAATTATGGAAAAAAACTATTCATTAAAGGACCTCACCAACTACATTTGAATCGCATTTTTACGGCTTAGAGGTGCGCTTCGCCAAAAGTTGCGAAGATCCCGCGAAAAAACAAATACAAAAAATATAAAAAAATAATTGAAAATTTTTCTCGAAAATGCAAAACTGAAGCAGTTTCATGTTCTGAAGCTGTAGAAAAAGCTTTCTGGTCGTCTGAATAATGCCAACACCCATGTGGATGCTCCTCGGGAAAGGTTGATGTACGTTTTTTTCGGGTTTCGCTTGGTTTTCTACATTTAGGTAGGAGTGAAGGAACTTGTGCAATATTTCGTCTGTTCTTTTGAAAAACAGCACGAGCGCAATGTTGAGGAGCAGCTATTGGGCTCACGATTTGTGTGATGTCAATTTCTTCCCTTGTTCTAGCTGTTTTTGCCCATTTAGAGGTATTTTATATTGTTTTAGTCAAGGCTTTTCAATTTCAGAGTTGGCCAATCACCTGGAACGATCTATGAAGATGAAGGAACCGCCTTGACCACTAGGATCTGCGAATGTCATAAAGCTTCTTGATCTAAATCTATTTTAAAACTAAAGAATGTAACTTTATACGTTTTATTATCTAACACATTAATAAAAGATATTAACCATGCAGGTTTTGGCCGACTTGACGTTGTGCGACCCGTTTTCGTCTCTGTAACGGATCCACTGGTTCACGAAGACAAGTCCCAGTCTGAAACTAATTTCATAGAGGCTGAGAAATTACGTATCTAAATTTTAAACAACCAAGTAAAAATACACATTACCTTATACAAATATCCTATAGATGACGTCCCTGACTCAAACCTTGATGCTAAGGCGTTTCCATGAAGGGAATTCTTCTCCATGGGTCGTTCCAGGCGATTGGCCAACTCTGAAATTGAAAAGCCTTGACTAAAACAATATAAAATACCTCTAAATGGGCAAAAACAGCTAGAAAAGGCAAGAAATGGACATCAAACAAATCGTGAGCTCAATAGCTGCTCCTCAACATTGCGCTCGTGTTGTTTTTCAAAAGAACAGACGAAATATTGCACAAGTTCCTTCACTCCTACCTAAATGTGGAAAACCAAGCGAAAACCGAAAAAACTTACATCAACCTTTCCCGAGAAGCATCCAGATGGGTGTTAGCAGGATTCAGATGGCCAGAAAGGAACATGAAATTTCTTCAGTTTTGCATTTTCGAGAAAAATTCTCAATTATTTTTTGTTTTTATTTTTGTCGCGGGATTTTCGCAACTTTTGGCGAAGCGCACCTCCAAGCCGTAAAAATGCGATTCAAATGTAGTTGGTGAGGTCCTTTAACTTTGTGCTCGGTGGTCCGATCCGAAATTTTTTTCCTGCATTCTATGCAATTCGGCGGAGAAAAGAATGAACCAATTTTTACAGCCTCGTTTGTGAAAAAAAAAACACACCGCCCAATTCAAAGCGGATCGCGGAAGTATCCGCCGATAAAACAAAAAAAAAATTTTGATTCTAAAAACCCCACGTTTTTTTTTGCAAAATGCAAAAAAAAAATTGTCGGATTGGATCACCGAGTACAAAGTTATTAATGAATAGTTTTTCCCATATATCTAGGAACACACTGTCTGTCAAAAACCCTATCGCCTTGTCTAAAAAACGCGCTAAAGTGCAAAGTAAATAAATAATACATTCCAAGCTAAATTCATTAATCTTCAAACCTTTATTTACGTATATTAAGGCCGTGCTCTAAACATAGAGTATGTGCTCTCTAAACTTTACGTGGTTTCGTTTATCCGACAAAGTGTTGCCATCGAATAATCGAATCAATGAAAAAAACCGATGTTTCTAAGTAAACTCACGTCTACCTAGAGAACTCTATTATCCCAACATAAGATTAACGTTTTTGTAAACTCAAAAAATGAATTTACACAGACAAACTTTGTTTCCACCTGCAGTTCATGTAGGGCCAATTGGTCTTTCAACGGCGTTAACGGGTCGTTGCTTCCCGGCAGACCATGAAGATAGACCTGATCGAGCCTTCCGCTACATATTCCTACAATATTTTCCTTGATTTTATGCTGTTACTTTCCACAATCGTTTCTGCGCTTACTGCGTATGTCGTGTTAAAAGCGTCAACCAAGTCTATGGGGGTTTACAAGTTTTTCGTATTGAACGAAGTTATTAGTAGCTACTTTGTCGACCTCGTTGTTATGCTAGTCAAACCAGTCACACTGTTTCCCGCACAATGCGTCTATTCCGTTGGCGTCTTGCGCTGGGCAGACTCGGCAGTAACGTTCGCAGTTGCGAAAGTAATTGGATGTGTGGCCACGTGGAAATTTTACTCGCTGATGAGTTGTTTGGTCTACCGTTACGTCAACTCTCTACGGCCGGATTCAAATGCCTTATTACAGAGATTGAAGAGCAGCAATTGTTATCTCATACTGGCGTGCGTCTTACCTGGGATTGCCATAATGACTGTCGTTCAGGTAGCTTTTTTCGTTGAACTTGATGTCATCAAATAGTAGAGGCTGCTTTTGATTCGCCCTTTTTACAGCTTGAAAAACGAAGTGCCAAAAGTTTTTTTGTGTCTTGCGGGGAAAGCAAACTAACAGTTGAAGTACTCCAAGTGCGACGCTCAGATTTTGATGAAACTTGACACAAATTTAGAATAAGTTTTTATAAGATATATGCGAGAATCCTAGCTCGCGCTTTGTAGAAACAACCGAGATTTTTAGATCCAAAGTTGGCGAAAATTTTACACATTTTTCTCATAATTAGTTTACTTCCTTTGTCAATTTTGACATTTCGTTTGGACGGAACTCAAAAGTGGGCGGGAAACATTTTTCTTCTATTTCGGGCCTCCGCGTACCGACTCTTTACGCTCAATTTAGGCAAGTATTTCGGCAGCCGAAACTCCTCAATCCCAAATGAAAGCCGAGTTGGCAAACCTCTTCCCGGACCTCGCTTTACCGACGACCACGGAGCCCTCTCTCATGTGCTTCACGTTATTTGATTCCTCGCATTCTCATGGCGTATATATTCTCTATGTGGTCATTCTGTGCATTGGATTCGCTTACCTTTCCATTATTACATACTTGCTCCTCTCGACTTATCGAAACATTCGCACAACGGGCAGCCTCAACGGCCAAAAAATGCAACGAATGCTGCTGGTGTCATGGATGGTCCAACTTGGGTGCATTCTCGCCTTCAACACCGCGCCTTCGCTGATTGGGACCGCAATTTTTGTACTAAACCTCGTCTACACAAATCATTATGTAATGATATGCATTATAGTTTTTTGTCTTCATTCCGTAGCTGACTGTGCTGCTTTGTTGTTGCTTATAACGCCATATAGACAGTGGATAGCAAGGCAGCTTGATTTTTCCCAGAAGACAGACGTTCTGCCAATTGATAAAGCCGCTGTCCGTGTCTTTATATAACGATCATTATTTCCATATCAATCTTTTCAATTGTTACTATATACACAGATTTATTATACCTCTAAAACCTATGAAAGTTGTGCAACAAAAGTTATAAATTTTTTTCTGTTTTTGAGTGTTCATTTACTATATTATTATGGAAGTAAATACGTTGGAAAGAAAAAATGATTGGTTCTCTGAGACACTATGCAGTAATTTTGTAACACAATCACATTGTTTGCGCATCGAACAAATATCAAAGTATGCAGTAGCGAGAAAAGATTCCACCGCAGTTTGTGCTTCTTTACACTTATTGTGGCGTCGCATAGACGCCGTATTTGCATCTGAATTGTTCTTAACGCAGAGATTCGTCGAATTGAAAAATTCGCGTAGATAAATTGCTAGAACGACAGAGTGCTTTGTTAGTGTATTTTCCCCCGTATGCCTTTTAATGGTATATACAGGATGAGCCAAAACAATATACAAAACTGAAAGTCGGTGTATCCCGGCACGAATACCGTAATCAATGGAAAGAAAAATATTAGAGTTTTATCATTGTTAACTGTCCTGTCTTATTACAACTATTTAAAAAATTTTTGATGCCCATTTGTTTTGGCCCACCCTGTATACCATGTGCTTGGTGAAGCCTTCATACTCATCTACATATTTTTGAAGGAGCACATTGGTTATGACACGCAAGATAGATCAACCAAGACGATTCTTACCCCCTGTAAACATCAAAATCAGAAATTTGCTCCCGCCGACAAACTTGTTAAGCTACGTCACAGAATCAAGCGGGTTTGGCATTACGGAGTCAGACAGACTTGAATTCAAATCGGGCCACAAAGATAACACAACCCGCATGTTTATTACCAGATAAAAACAACAATACGCGGTGTAACAAAAACCATTCACAGAAAAAAATGACAAATGAAATTTTATTTCCTTCCAAGATTCCAGAAGCTTCGAAAGAATGCCAATACAGCAATCGTAGGTTTTTTGCCGGCTAAAATAAGGTCGAAACTGGGCAAAAAGTGGATGCCAAACGTCCGCCAAACCTTTGCCAACCTTTCCCACAGATTTTACACCCACTTTCTCCCTTTCTCTTCCCCTTGAACACCGAAAAATTTCAAAAATTCCAAAAATAAGTAAAACTTCAAAAAATCCCAAAAATAAGTAACTTTTCTGAGAGAAAAGAAGAAACTGGTTGTCAAATGTTTGGCAAAAGCTTGGGGAGAGTAAAACTTTGGCAGACGTGTAGTAAAACTTTTGTATATAGACGTTTCGTCGAACTTTTTGCCCAGTTTTCACCTTATTTTAGGCGGCTCTTGGGTAAACCCTTTAAGGTCAAAAACTGGGCCAAAAGGTCGACGAAACGTCGACAAAAGTTTTACTACACGTCGGCCAAACTTTTGCCAATGTTTTCCCAAACATTTGACACCCGTTTTCATCTTTTCTCCCCCCACCTTCAAGATCAACAAAAAAAAGAACAAAAAACCTACCGAAATCCTGTTTTGATGTGGCCGGGTCTTGAAAAAACCTGGAAAGAACATAATTAAAAAAGTAAAAAATTATGTAACACGAAAAAACACGAAAGGAGTTATGTATAAAATTACAAAAGCTCATATGACAACATTCTCTTGCGGAAAAATAGACTCCCTTTTTTGGGGAAACAAAGCTGTTTGGGGTGCAGGCTGCGCCCGAGGAACTGCAAATAAATTTGGATAAAATACTTTTAAAGCAGCGGGGAATGATGAGATTATCAAAATATAATTGATTTATGATATTTAGAACAAAGAATCGAAATTTTATATGAAACTTGATGCGAGTTATATCAAAAATAAGATTTGTATTATACATGACAATTTGACAAAAGAAACTGTTTTTAATGAAAGAAAAGGCAGGAATGAAATAGAAAATAATGTAGTAGATTAAATTTGTGATTTTTAGAGATCATGCCGATTCATTTTTATGCGATTTGACCGAAGTTACAGCCGAAACAAATCTATATTATACTTGACTAAAACTGCGAATAACTTTCGACCGGTCGATAATTGTCAATAGAAATTTGCGTTCAGAAGGTGAATAGCAAGTAAGGTTCAGAAGTCGAAGAATTTTATGCTGAACACGATGCAATGAAAAAAATTTCAGAAAATCCGACGTATAAAGAAGTTACGGCCAAAACCAAATTATATTACACATGGCAATTGAGAGAAATTTTGAATTTCGCTGATGAATGAGATTTTTGCTTTTCGTCTCAATTTTGAATTAACCTTGCTTTTTGTTTTCCCATCGTATAGACTTTATCTACCTTTATGTACTTTATGTTTATGCCCGGAATCAAAACTAAGTAGCTCAACAAACTGTGCTCAAAACAAGAAATCTTAACATTACCCGTAGATTCAGCAATGAACTTTAAGAATAAAAAATTTTCAAATTAAAACTCGCTGCTAAGTCAATAAAAGTCACTACTCTAATTTGTGAAAATTTGGCGAACAGAAAAAAGCTCCGGAGCCGTTTTTCCACCATTCGAAGTTTTATGGGTCTGCATACCGCTTTGGAAATACGTATAAAGTTTTGAATGTTTTGTAGTTAATGTTTTGTTAGCTGATTGGAATCTTTTTTTCATACTTACACTCACTTTGTTTTCTTATCGTCCATGTCGAGAAACTAATCGTTGTGACAGGCCGCTGATAAATTGGAAAATAGCGGTGAGACAGGCAATGGAGGGGAAATTAAGCAGGTTTCTGACAGCGACCGGTGAGGCTGAAAGGTCTTGCCGACCATGCTGGCGACCAGAACTATTTGTCTGATTTTACTTGCATTCTGTGCTGGACATGTTGATGGTGCTAAGATCATGTTCTACAATGGCGCCAGAATTGCGCATTCTCATATGTTGTTTATGGGGAAAATTGCGGATATTCTGCACGATGCCGGGCATAACGTGGTAAGTAGAATACAAGGTGATTCATGTCTGGATTCTCTTGACCTTGTTTTGTCAATTACTTGGATTGTCTTGAACAAAATTTATACAAAATATTACATACTACACCCCGACTCTGACACGTTCTGATTACTATTTACTCAGATCGCTAAGCAGCCGCTGAGGATATGTGCGGTTCGATTGTTTGGGGGACCTCAAAACAGGTCTTTCTGACTTTTTTGATTCCAAATACCACAGTTTTTACGCTCGCGAATTGAATCCTTGTCGAAACGTTGGCAACACGGAGTGGTTACCGATTGTGGATACTATCCTTGGCTTCCGGTGATAGTGGTTAAAATAAATTTGTTTGAAAAAAAAACAAAAAAGGGGGAAGACTTTTGTTCCAACCTAAAACATATATTCTTTGTGCCCAGCAGATACGATTTTTTATCAATCCAATTTTTACGATTAGAAGCCCTGCGGCAAACTCAAATTATTTGTTTTCCTCGTACACACCGAATCAAGAAAATTGGATGTTTTTGAAATGAAAACTAGATGGGTTTTGGAAGACTCTATGGGGTTTAATAAAGGTGGCACACCTAGAAAATTCGTCACCCAACCGATTCCACGGACACGTTGATTACAAAACTGGGTCTTTCACTTCCAAAGTTATTGGTAAAATATATTGGCAAAACTTTTTTGACTAAATGCCCAAGTATATACCCAACAAAGATTGAGTCAGCAGCTTGAAAATTTATAACATCAGTCTGTTGAAAAAATAATGTGGATTTGTCGCATCAAAATCTCTGATCAGTCGTGTACCAAAAAAAGCGGTAATGGGCGATTCCAAAGCTTAACAAATCCACATTATTCTCACGACACACTAATATTTAAAACAGCTAACTTATCATCATTTTTAGACATTCTACCAGCAAGAGACCTTCAAGAGTGTCAATGTCGTTGGCGTTCGCAAAGCCAAAGCGATCGTTCGGCCGGCCGCTGAGGATATGGGCGAAGAACCGCATCATGACGTCTGGCATCCGGACAAAGGGCTTGTGGCAAATCTGGAGGTAAACTGGAAAGCCGTATAAAGGTTCTAAAAATTTTTTCAGATGTTCAAAGTGTATGCCAATGCACTTTACAAGGCCTGTGAATGTAAGGGCTTATTTAAAATATTGTAGCTTAACTTTTTTCTTTAGCTCAATTACTTGACAAGGATCACATTGAGCGGATAAGGTCGGAAAAATACGACATGGCAATACTCGAATATTTTGATGTCTGCGGATTGGCGATCACTGAAATGGCCGGCATCAAAAAGTTCATCACGACTTCTGCGTTGATGGAGCAAAACGAAATGCTAAAGGCGCTAGGACATCCACTCAATCTAGCGTTTGTTCCGAGTAAGTTTAGGTATGGTCTGTCGAGAAAATGATGAGTTTGATGTGGCATCGAAAATCGTAGCTTTGCACGTAAAACTGAGATAAGCTAAAAGGATCCGGTGAATGGATTGGCATTTTGCCACAAAAAGATGCAAAAAAACTTTTCGTTGCGAAAGAAATGGGGAATTTTTGGAGCGAGAGAGTACCTTTTTGCGCGTCTTTTCTCTGACTTCTCTGTAAAATCAAAACGAAGTGTAAAAAACCGATAGCGAAGGGTCTATTCCGGTCATCGGGCTGCTCAGTTTGTCGTTAAGAAAGTTGTAACATTTTAATTGATACTGGCTAAGCGAATCAGGCACTAACTGGGTTGCCTTGCGACGCAATCGAAAAAACCGCATGTTAAGCGTATGCAATTTTAAAAAGCATGCAGCAGTACAAAGATACTATTATTTGTCACTTGAAGGTATGGGTGTTGAACACGGCTCTAGACTGACCTACTCCCAACGAGCACAGGCCCTCATCGGGCATCCAATCAAGATTATGATCTATCGGCTAATGTTTGGAGGCATCCATGCACTCATTGACGAAAAGTTCGGAAGGCACTTTGATTACGAGGGAACGCTAGCCAGAAGCTCATACGTCCTAATCAACGTCGACGAACATCTGACTTTTCAGATGCCGTTGAGCCGGAAAATTGTCCACATTGGTGGACTTGGACAGGATGAGCCTCCGAAACCGTTGCCCAAGGTATGCAAAGCGCTTGTTGGTATATGCCAAACTTTTTATTATACTATTACAAAATTTTTGATTTTTTAGGACTTCAAATCAATCGTTGACAAATCCAAGAACGGCGTTGTGATTATCTCATTCGGAACGATTGCGCAAAGCTCCATAATGCCTCCGGAGAAAAAGCAGAGCATCCTGGATACGGTGAAAAAGTTCTCTCAGTACGATTTCATCTGGAAATACGAGGTCCAAGATGACGTTGGAAGCAATCTCACAAATTTGCATAAAGCTAAATGGATCCCACAAACTGACCTGCTCGGTGAGCAGCGTAAACTAAATCAAGATTTTTTTGCATTTAGCTCATCCAAAGGTCCTGGCCTTCCTCACTCACGGCGGGTTGAACAGTGTTAGTGAGACGGCTCATCGAGGAAAGCCATTCGTTTGTGTTCCATTGTTTGCCGACCAGAACACCAATTGTTTCGCTGGAGAGGAGAAAGGCATCGGATTGGTCGTGTTGAAGGATAAGATGGCTGCAGACTTGTTGATAAATGCGTTGGATCAGGTGTTGCATAATCCGAAGTAGGTTTTATATTATATTTTTGTAAAGGATTGAAACCCTCGGCATTGAATCGCCTTCAAATCTTGACTGGGCTATGCAGAACATTTCTGAAGTTTTTAAAAAACTAGCTGATAAGTAATCGAACTTTGTCACCAAACACCAAGAACTCAAGTTTCAATTTTAGAAAGTTACAATCATCATTTTTTTCTTTGAAAAAAACTCAAAACCCCTCATCTCCTGCATTTTTCCTATCAGTTTTAAGTTTTTCAACGTATTAGTCATGCTAATCGCTCTTTAAAGATTTAAACTCCGCGCCCAACATTTGGCAGGGATGATGTCGGCGAAGCCCTTCCAACCTCGCGACAGAATTGTCGGCTACGTCAACCATGCGCTAAGGTTCGATGTCCACAGTACGCTAGACTTGCCCTCCCGACATCTGACCTTTGTCCAGTACCATTTCATTGACGTCATTGCACCACTCCTCCTGTCGGCGACGATAATTCTCTTTGCTTGGCTCAAATTTCTAGTGTTCGTTTATCGAAGGGTCTGCGGCTCGAGGAAAATAAAGAATGAGTAATTTCAATCGACGGCGAGAGTTGATAACAGCGTCAAAAATAGGGGCTGATACTGGAGCAAGTTCAGGAATTCAGGAATGCTGATTTGTAGTTTCTAGGCCGGGTTGTTAGCCATTGCAAAGTGGTCTTATCATTGTTCGGTCACAGGCGTCACACCGGCCTATATAACGAAACACAGAGCAAATTAAAAACGGCTTAAATCTGCAAGCCTCACGGAAAAAATTCGGTCGGAATCAAAAAAAATGATAGTCGCGTTCCTTGGGTTTTTCGCCTTGGTTACTGTAGCCAATTCGGAAAACATTTTGGTCCTAAACTCTGCCAGAACCTCACATTCGCATACCGCTTTTCTAGGCAAGATTGCTGATGTATTGGCGGATGCCGGACATAACGTTGTAAGTGAGAAGCGAGCTGGCTTTTTTGTCGGTATTTATTTTTATCCTATTGTATTCAGACGTTCTTTCAACAAGCCACTTGCCAAGGAATTGGCAGAATCGAAACCAAGAAGGCGATGGTTATTGAGCGGCCATGTGTTGACGGAAAATGCGACGAGATCCCTGAGGTCAACTTGTGGAAATCAGCGTTGACTGCGGCTGAAGATTACAAGGTAAGTGTGTTACCAGCTGGCTGCAATGTCAGGAAAGGCCAATTGATCCGGCATGGTGAAGTGGAACAGCGATCTTTTTAACAATGAAGTGCTCCAAGTGCGACCCTTAGACTTTGATAAGACTTGTCACAAATTTAGAGAGCTTTTTTGCAAGGCATATGACAGACTTGTAGCTTGCGCTTTGCAGAAACAATCGAGATTTTTAGGTGAAAATTTTGAAAAAACGTATTATTTTTTTGCGAATTTTGGCAAGAAAAGTTTAAGCATATTTTTACGGTAGAGGGCAATGTTTTCAAAAAATGTCACTTTTCGCGCAAAACTGACAATACCTTTTCCGGCCGCAAATGTCGTTGGATACTTCGATTGCCGCTGCAAAGCGCGAGCTAAAATTTTCAGGTAAATTTTATAAAAAAATAGGGCTATGTCCAAAGAGTATCTTTTTAAACTTCAAGAAAATTTGAGCCTTGTTCTTCGGTACTTCCTTTTTAAATATGGCTTTATGCTGATGCCACTTATACAAACCTCATTTCCAATCTTTTAGATGTTCGGTCTATTCACAAGATTGATGGCAAAGAGTTGTAAATGTAAGCTTATCGTGTTTCTTTTACCCCAAGCCTTCTAGCGCAACTACAAGATGAGAAATTCATCGATTCGATACGTTCGGCAAATTACAAAATAGCAATCATGGAATACTTCGACTTCTGTGGCTATGCGATTGCGGAGAAAGCTGGAATCAAAAAGTTCATTGCTGCCACCGCAACATTCCCTCAGCATTTGGCACTGCGGCTGTTTGGGCATCCCGTCAACCTTGGTTTTGTACCGGGTAAGAGAATCGACGTAAAACTAATGTTTTTTAGGCATCAGCGAGAACCACGGAAGCAAACTGAGCTATTTACAACGAGTCAAGGCGTTGCTTACCTATCCTCTGAAGGTGTATTTGCAAGAAAACTTTGGAAGGCCAGCTCTCGAAGTAATAAGAGAGGTGTACAGAAAAGATTTTGACGCCTACGACGTTGTGCACAAGAGCTCCTACTTCTTTGTGAACGCGGACGAACAATTTGCTTTTCAACAACCGCTCAGCGAAAAATTCGTTTTCGTTGGGGGAATTGGGGAAACCACGGAAGTAAAAAAGTTACCAGAGGTAGGAAGACCGGAGATTTTATTGTTCAACTTTCTAAAACTTATCAAAAAAATACAGTGAGGGACCTGATCCAGTGGCAAAACACGTACCATTCAGCATCCCGGAAGTATGAGAAAATCTAGCAAAATGGCGGGCGCACACTTGCGGGCAACCAGTTTGCGGGCAAATTTTTTGCGGGCAGCCACTTTGCGGGCAGCCGACATTTGCGGCCAACACCGGCATTTGCGGGCAGCCTGGGACATTTGCGGGCAGGGTCGACAGTTGCGGGCAGCCTGGAACATTTGCGGGCAGCCGACGTTTGCGGGCAACCGACACCTGATTGTGAGGGTAACAGGGTGGACGTGGAAAAATTACTATGATATTATATTTTGGAAATTTGCCGACATTTGCGGGCAGCCGACTTTTGCGGGCAACCGGCAATTGTGGATAGCAAGGTGGAGGTGGAAAAATTACTGCGATATTTTGGAAGTTTACCGACATTTGCGTGCAGGCAATACTTGCGGGAAGCCGACATTTGCGGGCAACAGTTCCAAAAGTACCAATACAGTCTGTGTGATTGTTTTTTCCTGTTGCCCGCAAATGTCGGTGGCCCGCAAATGTCCAAGACTGCCCGCAAGTGTCTCAGCTGCCCGCAAATGTTTCGGCTGCCCGCAAATGTGACCCCCCAAATTTTGCCCGCAAAGTGGTTGCCCGCAAAAAATTTGCCCGCAAACTGGTTGCCCGCAAAGTGGTTGCCCGCAAGTGTCGCGACGCCTAGCTAAAAAAACCCTCTTTTTGAAAAGCGCGCCCTTTCCTTCACAAAAAGAGCGCGCGGGCCTTTGAAATCGGAGCTTTTTCACTTGCAGAGAGAGGTGTTTTGCTACATTTTTTCGACACTTCCCGGATGCAAAGTGGTACGTTTTTTGCCATTGGATCAGGTCCGCCACTGTATCATTTTAGGAGTTTTCACTCGTCTTCGAAAAGCCCAGTCGTGGAGTGGTCTTTATTTCATTTGGAACTACATCCAAAAGCTCCATGATGTCAGAAGAGCTCAAGTTGGAGATTGTTAGAACAGCCAAAAGTCTTCCAGAGTACGAGTTCATTTGGAAGTACGAAATTGACGACACAATCGGGCAAAACGTCTCGAATTTGCATAAATTCAAATGGGTCCCTCAAGCGGACTTGTTGGGTAATTTTTGCTGATATTTTGAACACCCTTATCGGCCATTTTGAATGAAAAACGAAATACTTTTTTTTTTGAATTTGAAAATTTTTAGGACATCCTCAAATCCGTGCCTTCGTTTCTCACGGAGGATTGAACAGTGTTTCGGAGACGATCCGCAAAGGAAAGCCGTTTATTTGTATTCCGTTATTTGGTGATCAGTCCAACAACTGCTATGCAGCAAAAGAGAAAGGGTTGGCCATTATTTTGCATCGCCATGAACTGAATCATCAAAATCTGGTCAAATCGTTGAATGAAATCCTGACGGATGAAAGGTAGACCATTTTCTTAGAAGTTGTTGCCTACAAACTCCTAGGCATCGTTCGCAAGTGAAAAGAGAGAGTATTCGAAGTACGACGGTCATATTTTTATGAAGCTATTCACAAATTTAGATCAGTTTTTTCTAAGACATAGCAAGCAAACTCGCGCTTCGCAGAAAAGACGAAGAGTTTTACAATTAGATCGAAAGTCGACAAAAATTAGGCACTTTTTTGTCATGAAAACTGTCATGCCTATGTCTTATTTAGAGGGTAAGGTAATGATTCTCAAAAATTACTTTTTTTGGCGTAATCTAGAATGAGCAAAGTTATAAGAAAACCTTATTCTCTCCGTGCTCTTCGCGCTTTGAGTAGTATCTCGACTGCAAAGATCTTTGAAGTTCTCTGGTGCCCCTAAAAAGCGCAAACTAAAACTTTGACAAATTGATATGTGGCCTATGCCCAACATGTATGCAAATTTTAAGGGAAATCTGGGGACCCCTTGTGTCTGATTGTTTTTCAAGCCCTCTAAGATTCTTTGTTTTGGACAGGCTTCGCTGAAAAATGATTGTTATGAAGATCTCCATTTCGATTGAAAAAAGCAACCAATAATTGTCATCTTTTCAGTTACCAAGAACGAATCCAAGAATTCTCCAAGATGATTGCTTCCAAGCCGATTTCGTCCAACGAGCGAGTTGTGAAGCACACTGAATATGCGATAAAGTTTAACCTCTCGCAAGTCTTTGACCTTCCATGTCGAAGCTTATCAACGATTCAGTATTACTTCATTGATGTTTTAATTCCTGTTGCTATTTTTGTCTTTGCAAGTTTGTACATTTCAACTTGGCTAATCAGAAAATTAGTCTTGAGCATGAGAAGTGTTGAAAAGCATAATAAGAATGAGTAAACGGATGAGTAGTTGGTTGGAATGTGGAGTTGAAATTATAGCATTGTAAACAATAATGGGAAATTTTTTGTAACACCAGTAGTAGGCTTCATGAGTCTCAATACGATAGTCTTAATATAATATTTAATATGTTTAACTTACTAAGGGAGATCTTGATTTTGAATAGTGGTATCATGGGAAACTCCTTGGCAAAAAATGATGATAACCAAATTCATAATATACAAGGATACAAGGCTTTGCTACGGCTTGAAGGGCACTTACCACAATTCCAATATACCTAATGGTTACTAGACACACAATAATTCCTGTTGTGGTTCGAAACACTCTTTTATGAAGACAGACGTCAAGCTGGAGCGTTTCACGTTGGGAGATCGAAGAGGAGATATAATAAATAGTTTGTGTCCATCTACCCTTGTGTCCACCTGTTTTATTCATGCCCTACGTATTCTGATTTTTGCCCGTGGTGTTAAAAAAAACTTAGGATGAAAAATTTTCATGTTAATTATGATGAAATTTTGAAAAATTGCATCATAATAAAGAAAATCCAAAATACATAAAACTTTGCGAATTTTCGCAACGTTGGCGGAATTCTAATGTGTGAATGCATAAGAAATGCCTGGAATTTTGTGGATGGAGATTGTAGATCACCGTGGAGTAATGTTTTATTAAAAAATTATTTTTTTGCCCTTTCGTGAAGCATCTTCTAATCAACATACAGTACCTGGTGCGTACTTTGTTCGCTTGTAATCACAAAGAGAGTGCGAGGCGTTACGTCAGTTTTGTCATACCAAAGAAAAAAAATTACTAATAAGAGAAGTACCTTTTTTCTAAAACCTATTCCAGATCCTTAGCTCGCGCATTACAGAGATTCTTGGATTGAAGTTTGGAAAAATGAAACGAGACCTTTTAGGTGATATTGGTATGAAAAATTTCATGCCTATTTCTACCGTAGATAGTATTTTTTTACACAAAAAAAAAACAATTTTTTCCACACATAACAAGAAAAGAAAGATACCGTACAAAAAGTTTTCACAGAGAAAAAACTGTTTGGTTTCTCTGTGACCGCCCCCGCGTTTTGTGTGCTCCTTCGGCCTCCAAGATCGCCGGATATCTCGATTGCCCTTAAAAGAGCTAAAATTAATAAAGTTTCTATCTGGAATATGCCCTAAGTGCGGGCTTGTTGAGCAAGTGTTGGAGTAAAATTCAAGGAAACCCTGAGCGTCGCACTTTAACAACTTCCGTTGTTAAACACAGCAGACAAACACGGTAATGGCGAACGGTAAAAGGGCAAACCGCATTTAAAATACCGTCTGAAAACAACGAAAAATTAGACTTTGACGTCTGATCTTGTTGACATCATGTTTGCCGACTCCGCCAAGATCGCACTTCAGCCATCACAGTACAGTTCAATACGGTCTCAGCTTTCTAGTTTGAGTTTTCGTTCGCTCTTCAAAAATCTCATTCATCAAAAACTTTACTCTCTTCATAGTCTGTGACATTACTTCGGACGACCGTAGTATTTTCCGTCGCCTTTCACGTGAAGAATCGAAGACGAAATTTCAATCGCATTTACCGACGAATCTGCTAATTCCAAAATTTTAATCGTGAATTAAAAAAGTCTCTAGGCATCCTCAGCAATGTTATCAGCTTTTTGTTTTGGACTTTGTCTGGAAACTGCACAATTAGAATGTTGACAAAGTCAATGTGGAGGCGTCTTCAGAACGGGGAAGTTGCGTCTCCGTCTAAGTTCTTGGAAAACTGCCATGGTGTGATCAATCTGTTGGCGCTGGCTTTGAAGCCCAAGCTTCAAAGAGTGTTGCAAATAAGCAATGTTTTCGCTACGGGACTAAAGAGACATTTTATTCTCTTCAATGGAAAAGGCGATTTTGCATAAAATTACAAGTTTTTTTGTAATACTAAAAAATGCCAAAGACGTGTGTCTCAGCCCGGAGAGAATGAAGCAATCTTTATTTGGGCACGATAATCAGCAAACAGAGACTGTAGCTTCTTGACGTAAATACGTGAAATTTCTGCTGGACGATGATAGGGCTTGTGTAGCCTAAAATAATCATTAAAATGGCAAGTATCCACAGAAAAACCTTTGCCCTACAAGGAGTTGAGAATTGAACAAGTTGCAATTTTCAAGAGTTGCCCGAGGCATTACAGAAAAATTTCGACCATTTGTGATATCTGTGATATCTTTGCGCTCTTCAAATCGTTTCTAAAAATTGAGTGACCTCCTGGCTCAATGCGGGCATCACTTTGTTTCCGATCGTATGGTAAATCGCATTGCGTCGCCGAGAATTCTCCAGCAGGTCCAAGAGAACCGCACTCAGACCTGATAAACAAAAGATAATTTGAAACCAGACCCCCGACCTCAAACTACGGTCCTGTTGATGCGTTTTTTTCTCTGCGCTAGCCGTGATTTCAATCCACAACAAACTCCGAGGCCCCTTTGTTCCCACCCATTTACAGCAAAGAACTCTGCGCGGTTAGATCGCCGTTTTTCATAGACATCTTCCCGCCGAGTAGGGAGTATAAAAGGAATGTGTTGAGGATGATTTAGTAACCCTAACAATTGTTACGGTTGTTTTCAGTTAGTGGTCACCTATAATACAGTGCTGCGTGAATAGGGAAACTTCAGGAGGTTTGGGAATTTACGATCGGCGATAAGGGCGGTTTGCGTTGATGATAAGGCCATTAAATGAAAGCTAAGTTCAAACCAAATTGTGGGGGTAGAGGATGAACTTTGGTGTGGGTTTGAAAGTTAAAAACGTAAGCCCCGGTCGAGGGTATTTAAAGGGCGTCTAGAGCATCCTTGGCGCCTGTTTTTCATGCTCAAGGTGTTGGCTAAGAAGTAAGATTATTGAGTTATTGCGCGACGCCTATTATATACGCAACGCTTCCAGAAGAAATCAATTTTCTCGGAGGAGATTTCTAGAAATGTCGCTAAGAATTTCCTTCTCGATGATCGTTGTAAATGCAGCGAGATTTGACATCATCCCCGTTTTCAATGCGTGTTATTATGCCTCTCTTACAGTACTTCGACTCTCGTCAATTTTATTGTTTCAGACTTGGATCAAAATGAAAGCCACACTTCTTTTGACTACTGTGCTTCTAGTGCTCTTTCATCAAATCACCTGCGAGAAGATCCTGTTATTAAACTCTGCCCGCATCGGACAGTCGCACATCTTCTTCATGGGAAAAATTGCTGATGTTCTCGTGGAAGCCGGACATAACGTGGTAAGCTCAAAACTCAGACTGTGTTAGACTTTGGGAAGTGAAAAAAATAACGGTAGTCTTACCGAAAACAGTCGTTCATCAAAACAAATGAATGTATCTCTAACTTTAGACCTTCTACCAACAAGATGCATTCACGTCAATCACAAAGGTTGGCACCAAGAAGGCTCACGTGATTGTCCGACCGTGTGAGTTGGGTTGTCGTGATCAGCCCAGTGACGACGTCTGGCATAATGGAGATGAGCTTCTGGACAATATTGAGGTGTACAAGATCTATGGCAAACTTATGGGAGATGCCTGTGAATGTAAGGGCCTTTACCTGCAAGAATTTCTAGCGACTCCATTAAGAAATTCTTAAGATAATAACGAATTCTTTTAACTTTCAGCTCAACTAAAAGACGACAGCGTGACCGACATGTTCAGAGCTCAAAACTTTGACTTGGTCATTGCCGAACATCTCGACTATTGCGCGCATGCGTTGGCCGAGAAGGCGGGTATCAACAAGGTGATCAGTGCCTCCGCTGTCATGCTACAACCAATGGTTCTGGAGGCCATGGGAAACCCCACCAACATCGCTTTCACATCAGGTAAGATAATCAACCACTGTTTACAACTCTCAATCTAAATTTCAGGCCTCGACGATGACCATGGAAGTCAGATGACGTACTTGCAACGAGCCAAAGCCTTTCTGATGTATCCAATCAAGCGATGGATCACTTGGCACACCTTCGAAAGCTACCCGGTCGAAGCCATTCGCAAATACTACAGAGCCGACTTCAACCACGCTGATGCGATTGCTAAAAGCTCCTACGTTTTTGTCAATATTGATGAGCATCTGGCCTATCAGCAGCCTCTAAGCGAGAAGTTTGTCTACATTGGAGGAGTCGGTGAGCACATGGGAAGAGATCATGTTCTGCCTGAGGTGAGCTGAAAAAGCTATAGGCTGAATAACAAAACGTCTTTTCAGAACATCAACGACATCTTGGAAAAGTCCAAAAAAGGAGTGATTCTGATCTCATTCGGAACGATCGCAAAGAGCTATTTGCTCCCGCAGGAGAGGAAACAAGAACTTATTGAGACCTTCAAAGCTTTCCCCGAGTACGATTTCATCTGGAAATATGAGGTTGATGATGATGTTGCCGCCAACTTGACGAATGTCCACAAGCTGAAATGGACTCCACAGTCCGACCTTTTGGGTGAGAATTTTTTTTTACATCTGCCAGGCATTGTTTCAAGTAGTAATGATTTGCTTTTTTAGCCCACCCAAAACTCCTTGCTTTCGTCACGCACGGCGGACTGAACAGCGTTAGCGAATCTGCGCATAAAGGAAAGCCTTTCGTCTGTATCCCCGTCTTCGGAGACCAGAACCACAACTGTTTCTCAGCGCAAGAAAAGGGCTTGGCTGTGATGATCGACAAGCACGAGATTACCCAGAAAAACATGGTGCATGCGTTGACGACCGTACTGCAGACCTCGTAAGTAGAATTTTTGGAACTAGTGTCTATAGTTTTACTTTGCTAGAGCTCTTGAGTTTGCTGAATAATCAATTCTAAAAAAAATATTTTTTCAGATACCAAGAGCGAAGTCTCCAGTTCGCCCGGATGATGGCCGATAAGCCTTTCCAGCCTAAGGACAGAATTATTGGCTTTGTCCAGCATGCCTTGAAATACGACGTAAGCACCGCGCTGGACTTGCCAGGCCGCAAATTGTCGATCATTCAATACTACTTTGTTGATGTCATTGTTCCTCTTTTAGTTGGAGTTATTCTCTCTTCTTATTTATCTTACAAACTTGTTACACGGTCTGTCGGCTTCCTTCAAAGCTCTGTGAAAAGGAAGGTAGAGTAGGATTTTTAATTGTACATATAATATTACTTGGTCTACGAAAATAGGATAGTGAGTTACGGTGTCAGAAATAAATGGCTTTAATTTATGATTCTTGGACATTGAAAGTAATGAATTTAGCGAAAGATCAAAGGAGATAGTCCAGACTGAAGTTTGGTTAAGTAAAAAACTTAGCGCATTACGTTAACAACTTAATCTACATTTTATCGAAACAATCTCTTGTAGTGGGGGATCGGATCGAGTGGTGAAAAAACTCCGTTGTCAAACCCGCTCTTTTTCTGAGGGAAGGGGCGCGCCCTTCAAACCGAAGATTTTTCATTGGAGAGGGAAGCATTTTGCCACGTTTTTAATACTTCCCGGATGCAAAACGATACGTTTTTTGTACTGGATCAGGTCGCTCACAATGCAGGCATCATAGGTCACAGAACCGTGAGATAATATTGCTAGATGCTGGAAAACTCAAAAAAATCATTTATCCGTGCAAAAGTTAAAGTTTTTGGAACTTATCAGTTCTTTGTCGTCTTCAATGGCTCAGCACCGGAAAGCATTGAGGCTGGCTGATAGCAGCTATGTTTATCAGGTAAAGAGGAACGTCTTTTTGCTACAATTTACTCGCTTCTTCCTCTAAAACGAACTGTTGTTCAATTGTTTCATTGCTGAATAAACTTGACAACGATTGCATCTTTTAGTGTTTTTTGTCATTTCTGGGTATTGCTGTACAACAAAAAATGGCGATTTTGCAATTTTTAAGTGTGTTATTTCTCCTCTTATCCGGCAGTCATGTATGGGGAGAGAATATTTTGCTTTTAAACTCGGCGAGAATTGCGCAGTCGCACTTGTTTTTTATGGGCAAAATTGCTGACGTTTTGGTGGATGCTGGGCATAATGTTGTAAGTACTATACCATAAAAGTAACAACTCACTTGAATTTTTCATTACCCACAAAATTCAGAGCTAACGTTTTAGACGTTTTACCAGCAAGACGCTTTTACATCAATTATAAAAACCGGCACCAAGAAAGCCCGTGTTATTCGCCGGCCTTGTACGCTGGGTTGCCGCGAGCAGCCAAGTGGAGATATGTGGAAACTTACAGATGTCATCGAGGGCTATAAAGTCTACGGCAAGACGATGGCTCTTGCCTGCGAATGTAGGTTCTTACAAGACATTGCATTCGTCATCGAAAAATGAAGGAATTTTCGCTTACAGCCCAATTGAAAGACAACAGTTTGACAGACATGTTGAGGGTTCAAAACTTCAAATTGGTGATAGCCGAATCCTTCGATTACTGCGCGTTTGCGCTCGCGGAGAAAGCGGGAATCAAGAGGTTTATCGCTGCGTCGGCGACAATGATTCATCCATTGTTATTGACCACTTTTGGAAACCCGAACAATATTGTTGTTACTCCAGGTGAGTAAAAGTTTGATTTCATAATTTCTTTCACCTCAAACGTTCTTTTGATATCAATCAACGAAAATTTGAGGTCTAATATAATAATTCGTTTGCAGATTTCTAGCTTGTAAAGGAGTGTTTTAATGATAAGAAGAAAACGATTTTTTTGCTTTGCTTTTCAAAAAAATACATAAAGTCTTTCTAAAAAATTTTGAGAAGCATGTCGCAAAGCTGGAAAGCAATTTTGTCAAAATCTTTCAGTGGCGGACCTTATCCAGTAGCAAAAAAGTAACATTTTGCATCCGGGAAGTATCAAAAGATGTGGCAAAATGCCTCCCTCTTGAAGTGAAAAACTCGGATTTCCCTAGCGCGCCCGCTCTTTCTGTGAGAAGCCCTTCAAAACGGAGTTTTTTAGTTGGAGATGGAGGCGTTTTGCCACATTTTTTGCAACTTCCCGGATGCTAAATTATACGTTTTTTGCCACCAGATCAGGTCCGCCACTGTAAACATTGAAACTGTCTAGGTCTCGACGACGACCATGGAAGTCAAATGAGCTTCTTCCAGCGAGCCAAAGCTTTCCTGTTCTTCCCAATAAAGAAATGGTTCACCTGGAAAGCGTTTCAGGAAGGCCTTGTGACGGCAATACGGACCCATTACAGAAACGACTTTGAGAGCGCGCAAATAACCGCACAAAGTTCCTATGTCTTCGTGAATATCGATGAGCATCTGGCTTTTCAGCAACCTTTGAGTGCAAAGTTCATCTACGTTGGCGGAGAAGTTGATGGCACAAAAAATATTAAATCTTTGCCTGAGGCACGTGCAGCTATCATTCATTAAAACACATGTCTTTTAGAACGTCGATAAGATCGTCAAGAATTCCAAGTATGGGGTAATTTTGATATCGTTTGGGACTATCGCTCAAAGTTACTTGTTGCCGGAACATACGAAACAGGAGCTCGTGAAAACATTCGAAAAATTCTCGAAATACGATTTTATTTGGAAATACGAGGCCGATGATAAAATTGCAGCCAACTTGACAAATGTCCATAAAATGAAATGGACACCACAAGCCGAGCTTCTAGGTAGGCTCATCGAATTTTGACAGCATTTTGAGTAATTTAGCTCATCCAAACCTGGTGGCATTTGTTACTCATGGAGGAATCAACAGTGTAAGTGAAGCGGCTCAAAACGGAAAACCGTTTGTTTGCATACCAATCTTTGGCGATCAGAGTCATAATTGCTTCGCCGCACAGGAAAAAGGATTGGCCGTGTTGGTGGCAAAGACCGATATCACTACGGAGAATATGGAGACCGCTTTGCGAACTGTCCTAGAGCCTGCGTAAGTCAATAAACATTATCAAAAACATTATAGTCTAGCGGGAAAATACTCGAATTGCGACGCTCAGATTTTGATCAAACTTGGCACAAATTTAGGACTTGCTTTTCTGCACCGTATTTGGAATTTTCAGGTCACGTTTTGCAGAAATGACCGACATCTTTTGAGTTGAAAATTGGCAAAAAATTGGCACTTTTTTTTGAATTTTGGTTTAAAAAATTGATACCTAGATTCACCATCACCGTACAGGGTATTGTCTGCATAAAACTAGTCTTTTCCGGCTTCTTAGAAGTAGCCAAATGCATTGCCTAGAAACGTTTTTATGACCGCGGCGTTAAAACAAACGTAAAACTTCCTCTTTAGTTTCCAGACCCACGCTCAAACATTTGCTAGAATGATGGCCAAGAAACCGTTCAAACCGAGAGATCGCATTGTCGGCTACGTCAATCAAGCCTTGGAATTCGATGTGAGCAGTGTTCTCGATTTGCCTGGACGTAAACTGTCTATTATTGAATATTATTTTATCGACGTGATTCTAGTGTTTGCTGCATGCGTATTGCTGCTGGTATACGCTTTCAGGAAAATAATGTCCGCCGTTATTGCCCAAATTATGAGGCCGGCAAGGGTTAAGGTCGAATGAGACGAATTGTATATACATATGTAGATACATATACATGTATCGGCAGACCTGACCCAGTGACAAAAAACATATCATTTGCATCTGGAAAGTATGAAAGATGTGGCAAAATACCTCCCTCTTGATGTGAAAAGAATCCAAGTTCAAAAGGCGCCTGCTGCTTTTGTAAGAAGCCCATCAAAACGGCGATTTTTTAGTCGGAGAGGGAGGCATTTTTCAACATTTTTTGATACCTCCCAGATGCAGAATGGTACGCTTTTTGCCACTGAATCAGGTCCGCCACTGTGTATTCTGTTCTGTTAATAAAAATGTATAAAAACACTTTTCAAAACGACGCTAACTTGACGGCTAAATGACAAAAACCCCCCTACACTTTCTAGTAAACTTGAACGGCTAAACTTTTCCTTGGAGGATTCCAAATCGATAGAAAAAAACAGCGCGAAAAATCTCGAACGCCTGTTGATTTTGTTGCGAAAAATATCGCAAATGTTGGAGACCATTTCCTACACCAAGACACCTGTATTTACAGCGAGAGAGCGGACCCTACCTAATTAGACGGGTCCTTCTGTAAATATCGAGAAGCCGTAGTGTGTGACCAAACCGACTTCAGCTGAAGTCATTCTGCAGTTCCAAAAAAAACGTATATTTATTCTTCGAATGATAAGAAAATTATTAAACTCAAAGTTCGTTGCGACCGCGGCTTGACCGCTACGAAATGTATGTTGGTTCTTTTGCTGTTTATGCCTTCAGTTCGGGATGAGAAAAGTTGAAAGGCGACCCAGCTCAGAGAACTTTCTGTTGCGCGTTGTTCATTGTGGTTGTTCGTTTGAACTCATGGCTGTAGAGGCTGTGATTTGGGGTAAAAGTTGCAAAAGGGTTCTAAATTTGTTAAAACCACGCCTTAAAGAACGATGTCAGAATTGGATCTAGGTGTAGAAATGACAAGATTTTCAACGCTATTTTGTTGGTCTTACAATCAGTCTGTTTGTCGCTACAACACATCATTTGTAGGCTGTCAAAATCGAAGTTTTGATAAATCCAAAGTTGAGTAATTTCCATACGTAAACATCAGTTTTTCTGCAAACTAACGGTGGGTTGTAACATCAAAACAAAAATGTTGGGCCTCGTCGAAAAAAGGGCGCAGTCGGGCGCCAAACTTTCAACTGCGGGCGGCAATGCACTATCCCGCAGCTCGGAAAACTGGCTCGGGCGCAGCTCGCATCTCGAGGGCAGCTATTAAAACAAGCTTTCAAAACTCGCCGGAGGGGCTGCGCACGTGTAAGGTCTCCGAGCTGCGCCCTATGATTTTCAGCAAACTTTTCAGATAGCGCATTGGCCCCGGCTAGTCCTTGCAAAGCGGTGATGGGCAATTCAAAGGCCCAACGACCAACCACTATTCTCCCCACTGACTGATGGTATGATTATGTAATTTATTGATGAAAACTTCACAAAACAAACTACAGATTTTGCCTTTTTTTGATACCAAAAAACCGTGACTTTTCCGGTACACAGGTTTATCACATGTCAACTTGAAAAAAAGGTCCTAATGACGCTTTTAATGATTAAAACACAACGGTACCACGTGCTGCTCCACGTGGAAATCACAGCTAAAGCTGACCCAACACAACAAAGATTAATTTTCTCGCCTAAAGTTCACTCATTTACCAAACTCCTAACCTCAGCAAACAGTGAAAACCCAAAAACGTCGTCGACAAAATATATTTATGAATTATGAAGCTCGTCATTGCAAAAACTGAGAATTCCGGAGTTTGTAACCAAGCAAATTTCAGCTGAAAATCGAGCATTTCAAAAAAATCTGTTTACCCTCCGCATCACGGTGAAAGTTATCAAGGCCGTAGTTTCAATTGGCGGGACTTTCACCATTACGAAGCGTGTGGTTTGTTCTTATCTTTTCTGTGCTTTAATTTTCACAGTAAGCCGAGGCTGAACTGCGGCTATAAGAAAGGCGCTTTGCGGATAGCTGGTCATTTATATGAACGGGTGAATGTAGGGCGAATGGGTAGCCTTTTGAGGAATGTAAAAATCTTTTGATATTGCTGTGTCCACATGCAATGTTCTAGAACTTTTCAATGTGTAGCATATAACGGTCATAGGCTCACTGCTCTTCAAAGAATTTTCTGCGAAGCTATTGCAAGATGGACAATTTGCATATTTCAAAAAAAATCAGCTGTCGATTTCCAATCATTTTCCCAGTAATTTGAGTATACATTGTGCATTTTTATGACTACCTGATATCGTTGGCACTGCTATAATCGCTTTCGTTCATATTTCAAAAAAAAATCCATAATTGCAAAATCCTATTTATTTCAGATAAAACAATGAGATTCACACTTCTTCTTCTCATCGTTTCTTCAACGTTATTCCTCCATCTAAAGGCTGCGAACATTTTATTCCTCAACTCAGCTGTGATCGCGCAATCGCACGTGTTCTTCACGGGGAAACTTGCGGACGTCCTGGTGGATGCGGGACATAATGTGGTATGTTTTGTCGTGCTCAAAAAACGCTTGTCGATCAAAAAACACGATTTAATTTCGAGATTTTCCACAGGTCAACAATAACTAGAAAAAAAATTTGCTAAAATTTATGCGTTCCCCTAGACTTATCCAATCCATTTTTTTCAGACATTTTACCAACAAATCGGCTTTACCGACTTGACCAAAGTTGGAAGCAGAAAGGCTCATATTATAGTACGACAGTGTGACCATGCGCATTGCCGAGACCAACCGACGGAGAACGTTTGGGCCAGCGGCGATGAGATGATGGACAATGGTGAATTCTTTTCTGGGATGGCAAAGGCAATGGCATATGCTTGCGAATGTAAGAAATAGATACTATATTTTGACAACCATCAATGACTACCTAGTCTGTTAAACTTTATTTCTTAATGGTTTATTTTTCAGCTCAACTAAACGACAAAAACTTGACCGATATGTTCAGAGCGGCAAAATTTGACTTGGTTATCGCCGAGCATTTCGATTATTGCGCACATGCTCTGGCTGATAAGGCCGGGATCAAGAAAACTATTACGGCGTCGGCTATCATGATTGAGCCACATATTCTGAACTTGATGGGAAATCCTACCAATTTGGCGTTTACTCCAGGTACGTATGAAACAAGTTTCAACATAATATATATTGCAGTTTATGAAGCTCTAAAATCTTCCTGTTATAGGCTACTCCGACGACCATGGAAGCCAGCTGACTTATCTTCAGCGAGCCAAGGCTTTGCTGTTGTATCCCATAAGGGACTACTTTATGCATAACATTTTCTACAAATACATTGAAGACGCCATCGCCAAAAATTACCGGCCGGATTTCCATGCTGCTGACGCTATTGCCAGAAGCTCTTACGTGTTTGTGAACATCGATGAGCACTTGGCCTTCCAACAACCGCTGAGTGACAAGTTTATCTACGTTGGCGGAGTTGGAGAGCACATTGGAAGGGACCATGTTTTGCCTGAGGTAGGCAATAATACAGACTTTTTTACTGACTTTTGATTTCCAGAACTTAAACAAAATCCTGGAAGAATCCAAAAAAGGTGCCATTCTGATTTCTTTTGGGACCATTGCTCAAAGTTATTTGTTGCCTGAAGAGACAAAACATGAGTTTATTGAGGTCTTCAAGACTTTCCCTGATTACGACTTTATCTGGAAATATGAGGTTGACGATGACATTGCAGCCAATTTGTCAAATGTCCACAAAGTAAAGTGGACTCCACAGTCTGATCTATTAGGTATGAGAGATCTGTTTTCTTACAACTTTCATCATTTTAAGCTCATCCAAAGCTTCTCGCTTTTGTCACCCATGGCGGACTAAACAGTATGAGTGAAACTGCTCATAAAGGAAAGCCATTTGTGTGTATTCCACTGTTCGGAGATCAGAATCGAAATTGTTTCTCGGCTCAGGAAAAAGGCTTGGCAGAGATGGTGGAAAAGTTGGAGATGACGACGGAAAATTTGGTTCATGCGTTGAAAACTGTCCTTCAGCCGGAGTAAGTTCTTTCCGATATTCGTTGACGATGACAAGCGGAGAACTCGAAGTGTGAGGTTCAGATTCGTATTATTAGGGTGTCCCATAAGTCTTGTTTATTTTTGGGTCGTCGATTTGTGCGAATTCCTGTGAGCTTTGAGGGGCATTACGAGAAAATCGCCCCAACATGAATTTGCAAAAGGCCCAAAACAAAGTCCGCCGAAATCTGAGGTCTCCGCCGCGCCTCCGCGGATGCGCGTAAAATCGAAAACGCAAAAAAAACATGCCGTAAAATACACGGAGGTGTAACGGAAACTTGATTTCAGCCGTTGCAACGGCGTTTCCGCCACGTAATACGATGTGATTTTTTAAAAAGACCCTAATTGTCTCCGCCGAGAAAAGAACCCTCCGCCGACGAAAAAAAATTTTTTTAGAGATTCTGAAAACGCACGACGTCAATTTTTGGAAGCAAAAGAAATTTGTTGGTAGCTGAAAAGAACACAAAGATATAAGCAAATTATTAGGTTGGGACGAAAGTTTTCCCCTTTTTCTTGTTTTTTTCCAAACAAATATATTTTGATAGTTGTAACGGGAAACCAAACATAACATCCACCGTCGGTATCCACTACGTATTGCCAACGTTCCGACAAGGATTCAATTGGCGAGCTTAAAAACTGGGGTATTTATAATAAAAAATGTCAGAAAGACCTGTTTTGAGGTCCCTCAAACAATCGAACCGCACATCTCCCAAACGGTAGCTTAGCGATCTGATCAAATGGTAATCAGAAGGTGCCAAGGCTGGGGTGTAGTGTGGGTAGGGCAGCAAAGTCCATGCATTCTTCCTGAATTTTTTGCGCGCGATTTTTGCAATGTGGTAGCAGGCGTTGTCGTGAAGGAGGAACATTTGTTCCACTTTTATCTAGCATTTTCGGCGACGCGGTCCAACTGGCGATAATAATGTTATTTAGTGACAGTTTTGCCATCAGGGAGCCATTCCTAATAAATACCTCCCATACAAGTCCACCAATCGCAGAACATGACCTTTTTTGGGTGAATTTTGGTTTTGGGGTTGGTTCACCGTCATGGTCGGGTTCAAGCTACTGAAGCTTGCGGGTATGGTTTATATACATCACCCATTTCTGGTTCCCTGTAATGATATTGGTCAGCCAAGTCAGCGTGCGGCGGTACGACAAAAATTAGGAGCAACAGTATAAGCCGTGACTCCGAAAGTTCGTGCGGAACAAATTAACCACACTTCCACACTTTTCCCAACCGATGTAGATGGTCCATAATGGTAGTATGGGGGAACCCAAAGAGCTCTCCAAGTTCACGTAATGGCAATTTGGGATAGCTCACGATTAAGCCTTTTAGGGCGTCATCATCTATCTCAGATGGCCGCCAGAACTTGGTCGTCTAACTCCTTTTTTTGAACCTCTGGAACCAATACTTGGCCACACCATAAAAGAGGACGTCCTTGCCTATAACATCCTAGACTTCGGTTATATCTTACATGGATTTTGGTATTCTGCGATAGTTTTAAAATTTGACGCATCGAAACAGCAACTTTGGGACGGAAATTTTTCCACGTTTGGAGAGCGCTATGGGGACAAGTTACATATCAGTCTATATGCTATCAAGTCACCCTTACATAGTCACATGATAGAACTTTCCAGGAAGTTCCACAACTTCCATAACTTTTCCCGAAAATTAAGGGGAAAACTTTCGTCCCAACCTAATATTTGTGCCAAATTTCTTGAAACACCCTGTACAGTAATTTTTTCTTCAGATATCAGAAACGAGCTTTTCAATTTGCCAAAATGATGGCCGACAAGCCATTCCAGCCTGCAGACAGAGTTGTTGGATTTGTAAACCACGCCTTAAAACACGACGTCAGTACTGCATTGGATCTTCCTGGTCGGCAAATGACAACGATTCAGTACTACTTCATTGATGTCATTGTTCCTCTAGCCATAGTTGTCATGGTATTTTTATATGCATCTTATAGGGTCGCAAAAGAGTCTCTGAAAGTTGTTCGAAGCCTGTTCAAGACAAAACTAGAATGAATTTGTAAATATTTGCTGTCATTGAATCTACACGCCCTTAAATTTAATAAACAGCTTTAATTTTTGTACAAAACTGATCCTCCGTCACAACCTATAGATGAATTTTAAGTTCAGAAGACTGATTCCGCTTCTTATCGGACTCTGATCAGACCAACACTTCCATTTTGTGGTTTGAAGCTTCAAATTGCCGAAGAATGTACCCTGAGGTTGAATTCACCCGTTTAAAGCGACGATCTTTTCACGGCCGCCCTACTGTTTTTCACAGACAAGTTGGGGAAAGACTGTTTGGTATAAAAAGGGAGCGGAAATTTATTACCATGTAACTTTGATTTTCTTTGATTTACAGCTATTGATCGAGCGCCCGTAATTGCGGTAGCGCACGTCAAATTGAGACGTTCCGCAATCGGAATGAAGCCTTCGTTTTTTGACCCTTCCTTTTAATTTGGCACAGAAGACAGAGAAAATGCTAAAAAATGTACTCTCTCGCTCAAAAATCTCCCCATTTTTTCTCCGACGAACCGTTTTTTTTTAAGTTTTTTTTTGAAGTTTTTTCCGCATACAGCTATTTGCAACACAAATCATCCTGTAAAAACTACGGTCAATATTTCCGAGAAGACGCTGCGATTATCTTTTTAATCAAAAAAGAAAGATTTTATGCAATATTACTGCGCCTCTTGGATGCCTGATTTTTTTACGCGAAGTGATAACATTTCGCCAGGCTTCTTAGCACACTTTATCTTACGATTTATTCTTTTCTTGTTCAAAGTTGCCGTTCTTTTTGACGACTTTACCAATTTAACCAACATAATATGTTGGTATATTATACATATATCTTTAGGTCCAATGCGCGCCTTTCTGCTGCTTACTTCCGTATTAATCGCCTTATATCAACAAGTCAATTCTGAGAAGATCTTACTCTTAAATGCGGCGAGAATCGGGCAATCACATGTGTTCTTCATGGGGAAGATCGCAGACGTCCTCGCGGAAGCGGGTTACAATGTGGTAAGTTCGTTTCTTGCGGGTTCGATTTCGGTGCGCCTTTCGATCGCGAACTTTGGAGCTTGTGAGGAGCTTGTTTCCTTCAACGAAAAAAGCGAAAAAAAAACATTTTTAAAGCTTTCGTATTTAGACCTTCTACCAACAAGATGCATTCACATCAGTGACGAAAGTGGGTGCTAAAAAAGCCAAAGTGATTGTTCGACCATGCGAACTTGGGTGTCGCGACCAGCCGGTCGAAAATGTTTGGGCGCACGGCGACGAATTGCTGGATAACTCGGAAATGATGAGGACTTTTGGGACAACGATGGGAGAGGCTTGTGAATGTAAGAGATAAACCTATCGCACGTCAGAAAAATTCTCTCTGAAATGTCAAAAAACAAGGGATCTCGGATCATTGATTTTTTGCAAAGTGCCACAGAAAGTGGCACAGAATTATCGAGTTCGAAAAATTATTTTTCTCTGGGAAAGATTCCTTCTATGACTCGATAATTTGGCGACATTTCGAATCAGTGATCCGGGATTCCTTGTTTTTTGACTTTTTTACATGTGTCGGTTCATTACACTATACATTTTAGCTCAACTAAAGGACGATAGCCTTACTGACATGCTGAGGGCTCAAAATTATGAGCTGGTCATTGCCGAGCACTTCGACTACTGCGCTTATGCAATCGCAGACAAGGCCGGTATCAAAAAAGTAATCACGGCGTCGGCAATTATGATACAGCCGCCTATCTTGGAGCAGTTGGGCAATCCAACAAATCTTGCGTTTACCCCAGGTACATCAAGATTTGATTTAAAAAAATACACCATTGTGATTCTAGGCATGGACGACGATCATGGAAGCGAGATGACTTACTATCAGCGGGCCAAGGCGTTCTTGATGTACCCCGTGAAGAGATTGTTTATGAGAACGTTATTTGAGGGATATGTTATCGATGCGATACATAAATTTTATAAACCTGACTTTGATGTAGCTGAGGCTATTGCAAAAAGCTCATACGTTTTCGTGAATGTTGATGAGCACTTGGCTTTTCAACAACCTCTCAGCGAGAAGTTCGTCTACATTGGAGGCGTTGGAGAGCACATGGGAAGAGACCATGTGCTTCCTGAGGTAAAACCTTTGTCTTTACATTTATCTTCTTGCTTGTAGAACATCAACAAGATCATGAAAAACTCCAAAAAAGGTGTTGTCTTGATCTCGTTTGGAACCATTGCTCAGAGTTATTTGTTGTCAGAAGAAACAAAGCAAGAATTTATCGAGGTCTTCAAGGCTTTCCCCGAGCACGACTTTATCTGGAAATACGAAGTTGACGATGATATTGCAGCCAACTTGTCCAATGTCCACAAAATGAAATGGACTCCACAGTCGGATCTGCTCGGTAATAAGGACATTGAATTTCTTGGAATGCAGACTTTTAGCTCATCCCAAACTTGTGGCCTTCATCACACATGGCGGCCTTAACAGTATGAGTGAAACTGCCCATAAAGGAAAGCCATTCGTTTGTATTCCGCTGTTTGGAGATCAGAATCACGACTGTTTCTCGGCTCAAGAAAAAGGGCTGGCCGTGATGATCGAAAAATCGGAGATGACGAAGGAAAATTTGGCACATGCATTGAAGATTGTACTCCAGGAATCGTAAGTAGAGTAATTTTTTCTCAGCCATTTTCTTATGAAATTATTCATTGGGGCAATTGCAGATACCAGAAGCGGGCACTCGAGTTTGCCAAAATGATGGCCAACAAGCCCTTCCAGCCAAAAGACAGAATCATCGGGTTCGTCAAGCACGCGTTGAAACATGACGTCAGTACAGCGCTGGATCTGCCTGGTCGACAGCTAAACATTATTCAATATTATTTTATCGATGTTATTGTTCCTATTGTCATTATTGCCGCAATATTTATGTATTCTTCTTATCGAACTGCAAAAGCAGTTGTGGTTTATCTTCGGAGCTTTGCCAAGGTCAAAGCGGAGTAATGTAATTGGACTCGCTGTTATATGTCTGAATAGAATTAATAAATAGCTTTAACTTACAGTGGAGGACCTGATCCAGTGGCAAATAACGTACGGTTTTGCATCCGGGAAGTATCAAAAATGTGGCAAAATGCTTCCTCTCCAAGTGAAAAAACTTCGTTTTGAAGCGTTTTCCCTCACAAAAAGGGCAGTCGCACTTTTGAAATCTGAATTTTTTTCACTTGGAGAGGAAGGTATTTTGCCACATTTTTTTGATACTTCCCGGGTGCAAAATGGTACGTTTTTTGCCACTGGATCAGGTCCCCACTGGATAGTCAGTAAGAACTTTTTCTTTATGTAAATAAAATGCACTTTTTCCCACCGTACGCCGCTACATGATCACTTCACATGTCAGAAAAACGTAGTCTATGACTTAGGTTTACACAAACTCAGTTTGATGTCAATATGAACAGGAGTAGAAGAAGCAATGGAATACGGTTCCTACAAGTCGGATGAGTATAAAAGACTGATCGTCATCTTGTTTCCACTTTCTGGCAGTTTGATACATCTACAGGCTCTGTCTCGGAACATGATAATAAGCACGGTATGGCTAAACGTTCTTCTTCTTGGACTATCTTCATGTGTATTTGGAGATAAGATTTTGCTTTTGAATTCGGCAAGAATCGGACAATCCCATATCTTTTTCATGGGCAAGATTGCCGATGTTCTGGTGGAAGCAGGCCATAATGTGGTAAGTTAAGATCAGACTTCCTTTTTAAACTTTTAAGGCGTTTTAAAGTCTGCGAGCTTTTTCTGTCTAGGGTCTGAGAACTTTAAAAAAACATCCGGTTTTCCGTCACACTGGAATAAGATTCACACCGGAAAATAAATAGTCAAATTCACTTTGTAGACTTTCTACCAACAAGCCGCCTTCACCTCACTGACCAAGATTGGGGCCAAGAAAGCCCAAGTAATTGTCCGACCATGCGAGGTCGGATGCCGTGATCAGCCGGCTGATAATGTATGGGGACATGGCGATGAGATGCTGGAGAATGGGGCTTTCCTCGGAGTGTATGGCATAACAATGGGCTTGGCTTGTGAATGTAGGAAAAAATATATCAGCGGATAAGACCATCGTTTTTAGCTCAACTAAAAGACGACAGCCTTACGGACATGTTGAGGGCTCAAAATTACAAGTTGGTTATCGCCGAGCACTTCGACTTCTGCGCGTATGCTATCGCCGAGAAGGCAGGAATCAAGAAACTGATTACGGCCTCTGCGGTTATGATCCAGCCGCCTATCTTGGAGCAGATGGGAAACCCTATAAATCTGGCGTTTACTCCGGGTATGTCTATTTGTCATATTGGGTCGAAAGTTCCGTCGTTTTTCTTATTCTTTTGTTTTCTCCTCTACAAAACTGTGTTTTTAGTTTTTTGTGAAAATTTAATTTTTTATTATTTTTTGTGATCAAAACTAAACCATCCAGGAGGCAAAAATTTGCGTTTACGGCCCTGCTTTTTTGCTGGGCAGTATGTGGACACAAACAGCGATAAAATTATGTCAATTCCAGGTTTGGACGACGATCATGGAAGTGAAATGACCTACCTCCAAAGAGCTAAATCTCTGTTGATGTATCGAACAAAGAGAGAATTTTGGCACGAATGTTTTGAACGGCCCATCATTGAGGCCATTCACAAGTTCTACAGGGCTGATTTTGACATTGCTGAGGCTATTGCAAAGAGTTCTTACGTGTTTGTGAACATCGACGAGCACCTGGCTTTTCAACAACCGCTAGGCGAGAAGTTCGTCTACATTGGAGGGATTGGAGAGCACATGGGAAGAGACCATGTCTTGCCTGAGGTATAATAGTATTTAATATTCCTTTTGGCTATAAAAACGGTTTGCAGGACTTCCAAAGGATCGTGGACAATGCTCGGAAAGGAGTCATTTTGGTCTCATTTGGGACAGTGGCTCAAAGTTATTTGTTGCCTGAAGATACAAAACGTGAACTCATCAAAGTCTTCAAAGCTTTCCCTGACTACGACTTCATCTGGAAATACGAAGTCGATGATGACATTGCAGCTAATTTGTCCAATGTTCAGAAAGTAAAATGGACCCCACAGTCCGATCTATTAGGTATACGAAACAATGATTCCTACAAATATCATCATTTTAAGCTCATCCAAAACTTCTCGCCTTTGTTACCCATGGCGGACTCAACAGTGTCAGCGAATCTGCCCACAAAGGAAAGCCTTTCGTTTGCGTCCCCCTGTTTGCGGATCAGAATCACGACTGTTTCGCGGCGCAAGAAAAAGGACTGGCCGTGATGGTGGAGAAGACCGAAATGACCAAGGAAAATTTGGTTCATGCATTGAAGGTTGTGCTGCAAGAATCGTAAGCGCACTGTAGAGACCTCTTATAACTGTTTTGGTTTAGATATCAACAAAGATCTCTGGAATTTGCCAAAATGATGGCCGATAAGCCTTTCCAGCCAAAAGAAAGAGTTATCGGATTTGTCAAACACGCTTTAAAACATGACGTGTCCAGTACGCTGGACCTGCCTGGAAGAAAATTGTCAATCCTACAGTACCACTTTGTCGATGTTATTGTTCCGTTAACCGTGGTTGTACTAGTTGCTGTTTATATCGCTTGTGTCGTTGTTAAGCGCGCAATAATCGCAATACTGTATTTAAACAAGAGTAAAGTGGAATAAAAAGTGGTCGTCGTTTATGTAAAATTAAATTTTCAAGCACACAGATGTACTGTCAAAGCCAACGTTTCAAAGAAAGAAGTCATGTTTTCAACGCGAAGTTATCGATGGTCTGCTAACAAAAAAGTTTTCGACTGGACGCCTTTTTGCGAATGACTTTCCTTATGAGGCAGGAACATCGCTAAATATACGTTGACATACCTGTTCATAGTAATCTGGCGCACTTTCAGTCTGAAAATAACACATGAGTTGGTCTTATTTTCAATTTTTGGTTTTATTAAATTAAGGTTTATCAATCCCATTCTCTTTGAGGACAAAATTCATAATACAAAAGTTAGTTGAAGACACACATTAAGGGTGTGGCAATTCGACAATGCTCACTTAAGTGCCCCCAGCGTATTATCTAATCCCCACTGATAAAGTTTTCATATAAAAGTTAGAACAAAAGTCATTGAATTTAATAAAAACGTTACTTGAATTTCTGATTGTAATTTAAAATGCGTCTTTTGCTGGTTGCCCTTTTTATCGCCTTGGCCGTCACTTTGGCCTTCTCTGATTGTGCTGAAGGACCATGCCAGAGCTTCTGCGAGAACATTTGCCGAGTTTTCAGCCGCAATTGCACGGATCACGCTTGCAAAGGAAGAATCTGTGAATACCACTGCTCGAAGCCGGGATTGACCGACCTGCCCAGCAATGGAGGATACTTTCAGGTTCAATTGTAACGCATGACAAACTTTTTTTGGCTTTATGTAGAATAAATTTTCTTACAAAATGGATACTACAAGTGCGATGCTCAGATTTTGATAAAACTTATCGCAGCAGGAACGTCTCGATTTTTCGGGTCAATGGGAGTTCGGGTCAACACAAAATCCATCGAAACGGTGGATACCCAACACAAAGTTGTAGCTAGTGCCTATGAGGCCTGGCAAAACCATAGGGTGGTCGGCGGACGCTCGGCGGAGACTTGGCAAACGCTGGCAATATGTCTTAACTTCAGCAATTGTTAATGTTAGTTTTATTTTGTAACATACAAAACATTAAGATTTACGGCAAAAAACGAAGATCCGTGGTTTGTTTTCTTGATATACGATTGATGTGAGCACATGTAAACTACCTCAAAGTATGTGATAAGCTATCATAGGACCCAATAAACCTATTGTTTCTACCAAAGAAGCCTTCTCCTAGCCTCTCCTATGCATTCAACAACGAACCGACGTGATCCATACAGGGTGATTCAAAAAAATGGACATCTTTCTTTCTTCTATTTCTCTTGGCTTTGATTGTCTCTCGAAAAAGAGGTACACACGTCATGAAACTACTACGTTATGTGTACATATTCATTTCAAAAATTATTCACTAGCTGCAAAAGTTGCCGACATATGGTTGCTTAAAGTTGCCGGGTCAGCGCACCCATTCCCGCGTAGAAGTTTGGAGTATCGTTGATCCAAGCTGACCCAAAAAGACGTAGCGCCGCAGGAACTGGAAGGTTCATATCTCATTACCATTGCGTATATGTACTCAAATTACCCCCACAAGAAGCGACGCGCAACTTCTTTGAAGTTTGATTTAAATCCGGTTCAAAAACGTTCTTCGGAGATGGAAATCTACGAACCAGTAAGCGTACGTCAGCTTTCTCATCGGTCTGTTGGACACTGATCGACGTAAGACCAATCTTTAAAAGCGCTTGTGAACGGAACGATCTCGAAGAATCCGGCTCGCTCTTTGTTGACAAAGAAAAAACTTCGGAACATGTTCGGCATTGGGAACTCGGCAATGAGTCGTTCGCCGTCGGTGATTGATTGTTGTGATAACAAACATCTTGATGGATTTGTGGGGTAATTCGAAGCGGCGGGGATATATCTTGTTTATTTTTGGATGCAGCTTGAACAAGGGGCTAAACAAGAAATCCAAAGGTTACTGGACAACACAGCCGCAGGAAAAAAGCCACAAATTCTTTGTCTATGAACCTATGGACAATCAATTTTTTAACATTAATCGATAGTGCTGTACAAAAATTTTAATAATATTTTAAAATTGTATATTTATTTTTTGGCTCCACTCTTCAAGAGGAATTAACTGCTCTACCATCAATCAGAAGTACATATACCCCTGTCAGCTCCTGTTTACGAATTCCCGAAAGTTTGAGTCATTCGAAAAGCCATAAACCTTTGCACGGGATTTGGGCAGAAAGAAAACGCAGAAAATTCGTGAAGATGGCCCTCGAAAAGAATGATTGATCCGAGGCCCCGTGGCGATTTGAAACAAATCACTTTTCTGTTTTCAACAAATTTTATAAATAGCCCCCGGTAAAGCCCGGAATTTGTGCGGCGTTGGGTGGTAGTTGAGGGGTTAAAGGTGAACGATCAGATTGAGGATGATCACCGGCCAGGAATTTACGAAAAAATGAGCTGGCGTACTTTGAAAGCAGCCGAAAATTCAGTGTAGAAAAAATTGGTAGAAATTACAGCTAGAGTTCTGGTAAAATCTTTGAATATCTCGATTATACCGTCGAAACATAAGCTGCAACATTTGATGAGTTTTGAATAGCCTATGGAGAGTATGCATGCAAAATCTCAAGCACGTTCAAAACACACTTCAAGCATTTTTTCACGGCAATGTACTTCAAGGTTTTGCGAAATTCCGAATTGTCTTTTTGCTTTTACGGAGAGCTGAACACGTAAAAATAACAGAGTGACTAAAGGCCTTGGGGTTATGCTAGCGGAAAGCTCGGAAGTGAGCGTTCTCTGGGACCTGAAAGAACATCATATGCCTTGCTTTTTCAACGTGTGGGTTAACTTATTTTTTCAGCCAACAGGGCTTTGATTTATGCTTTGCAAAGAACGACTCTAGGCTCTAAATTATCTTTAAAGCCATGTCTATCCAAACCTTTTTCTTCCATCATCGTCTTGCCTGATCCTTGGCGAACGTGTTTGCTGCGCGTAGGAAATCCCCGGGTATTTTCCAGCGGCGCGCTGACCCAATAACCTCTATGATAAAAAAAGCCGGAGAAAATATCCTTTCCCGTATCACCGCAAAACAATGGAAAGAAAAACAAACGTATTTTTCATGATGATCGAATGAAAGAGAAAATCGCCCGCAGTCATCATGAATTTTCGCTCCGAAAACCTATTTATCCTGGACGAAAGACCACAGCGTTTTGACATGACTAATGTCGTCGGCGTAGCGGCTTCTGTTTCAACACCTTGAAAGGCGACAAGTTTCGATGACAAGGAATCACGCAACAATGCTTATATGTGGTTGATTTCTTATGCTGTGTGTGAAATTCAAAGACAATATGGTATGAAAGAGAATCTGAAAGTTGCAGCCAAACAAAAATTTAGTCATGTCGCCATGGGGCAATCAGAGGGGTATAGCAAGTACTCCAGGCGTTTTTGGGTATCAAAATGCTTATAGTTAAAGACCAGACATTAAGAATGATTATTTGCAGGAAACGTGTATAACCTGTGATGGTAAAAATCCGCCGGTTTTTGTCTTTTATGTGTGCTTGGCCCAACTTTCGTTGATCCTTTTCAAATCTCCGTCTTCTTAGATTTTAGGATCGCCTCAAAAATGCACAGACATTTAATGTGTATAGGTGTAAAAATTGGCACATTTCCTCGGCCTCAAGTACCGAAGAGACTCGACCGGACAGCCTCAGCCGCAGGGCAATTTCGGGCCCAAAATCGAGACCTCACTTTTAATTGCCGTATACCTTCATAAAGCTCAGAGCGATCTAATTTTATCACAATCAAGTCTTCAACATGATGCAATTTCCTTCACTATTCCATAGTTATCCCCCAAAGGATCCAAACTCTTCAAGATGCCCTATTGTTTACGTATTTTCCATTTCTTCCAAGGCTACTGCAAAAATCCCCAAGATTGAGCGCTTACAAAATTGATAAACAGCCCTTGGTATCTGCGACCGTGATACGGACAGTTAGAGTGTTCAAACGATTTACACTGAAAATTCAAGTTGTCAACGGGAGCCCGCCCACTTTTTAATTGTCATTATGCTTTTTACCCGCTGGAAGAAAGATCTTGCAAGGGGCGAAACGACTCCGCCTGTTTCATATTTTAAGCGTTTTTAAAGCCCTGAAGAGTTAGCGGACTGGATATCTAGGGGTTTGCTTGTCAGCCGTCTTGGGCATAACAAATTTTTGGAGGATTTCTTGGCGGCTTTAGGACAGGGTGTAGATAAAAAGCCAAGCTGTGGAGACTTTTAGAGATCATAGGACTTTTAGATGCCGTTTTTGCAGACCTCAGAAGTTATTGGCCTGAAAAAAAGGTATTTTTTAGCCAAGAAAGCTCACTAACTACCGCTTTTCTCAATATTTCTTACTTTTTATAGCTAAGAATACAATAGCCACCTAGTTAAATACTTTTGACACAATTTCATGTCATTATCTCTTCCTCCTCCTCCATGCACTCACTCCTCATGACCATCGGCTTTGCTCGCCCCAATTTACGCACTTCTCACCCCGAAAAACGACTAATCATTCTTCTCCCGTTCGCGGAGCAGCTGATGATTTTTAAAGGTGGAAGGCGTAACGTAACACCCAGCACGCGAACATTGCTCATTGCGTGATTTGCCGGTTAACTACGACCACCCAGTATCTGCTGTTGAGTTGAATATTTACTTTTCTAGAGAATGAAATTGTTGTGGTTTGCCCTGTTCGCCCTTTTGGCTGTATCAGCCCTCGCCGCGCCACTCCCAGAATCCGAGGCCAAGCCCGAGGCTGCCGTGGTAAGATTTTTGGTTTTTTTACGTCTTAGAGAGGAGTTTATGGTTAAAGTTTTTTACACGCAACTTTTCTAGGAAGAGAAGAAAGAAGAAGCCGCCAAGCCAGAAGAGAAACCCACCGAAATCACTAAGCCCGCCGAAGAGCCCAAGCTAATCGCCGAGGAGGCCAAGCCAGAGGAGGAAAAGAAGGAAGAGGCTAAGCCAGAGGAGGCCAAGCCAGCTGAGGAGGCCAAGCCAGCTGAGGAAGCCAAGCCAGAGGAGAAGAAGGAGGAAGAGGCCAAGCCAGCCGAAGAGGCCAAGCCAACCGAGGAGGCCAAGCCAACCGAAGAGGCCAAGCCCGAGGAAGCCAAGCCAGAGGAAGCCAAGCCAGCTACCGAAGAGACCAAGGCCGAAGAGAAGCCCGCTGAGGAAAAGAAGGAGGAAGAGAAGCCAGCCGAAGAAGCCAAGCCAGAAGAAAAGAAGGCCGCTGATGAGCCCCTAGCTGAGGAGAAGAAGACCGAAGAAGGCGAGAAATTGATCGCCAAGGCCGAAGAAGCCAAGCCAGAGGAGGAGAAGAAGGACGAAGCCAAGCCCGCCGAGGAGGCCAAGCCCGAGGAGGAGAAGAAGGAAGAGGCCAAGCCCGAGGAGAAGAAGGAGGAGATCAAGCCAGAGGAGGAGAAGAAGGAAGAAATTAAACCAGAAGAGAAGAAGGAAGAGGCCAAGCCCGAAGAGAAGAAATCCGAGGAATCAAAGTCTTCCGAGTCCAAGGAAGAGGCCAAGCCAGAGGAGAAGAAGATCGATTCCGAGTCGAAGTCGGAGGAGAAGAAATCCGAGGAGCCCAAGAAGGAGTAGACACGACCGATAATATCTTGGAAGATTTGATCTTCCCAAAACCAAGCTTTCACAATGTTGTATTTTACACCAAAATATTGCCTGTACACACTAATCTATTCGTAATGAATGTCTCCCAACTTATGTGCAATAAACTTTATAAAAATTCGAAGACACAGCTCAAATCATATGAAACTTGACATAGACGGCTTGAAAGTTTATATGAAGCAAAGAAAAAGAAACTCGTTGATGTGGGTGAATAAAAAGATTATCGTTTTTTGACTGCTTGACTAAAGTCGGTTTTTTACACGAGATCGTTTCAAAATCCGTTCCAAATCCTAGAAAATGCAAAGATGAAGGCAGTAGCTAATATGCAAAAGGTTGTCTCGCAGATAAATAATAAATATAAACTTGGGATTATCCTTTGGATAAGCCGTTGAGGAACTCAATCTCGTCTTTGATATTTTTTCGCGCTTGGGCTTCGTAGATGTCGCGCATCACCTTTGTCGCAAAGATGTTGGGGATTTGCAGGAACAGCTCTAGGACCTAAAATACAATTTTTGGATAAGTAACTCAACTTTACATACCTTTAACCGCCTCTCAATGTAGTCTTTGTCATTTAAATTGCCAACCTCCGATCTGGCGGCTTCTCGAAATTTCGTATATTCGGCTTCACCAACCCCCATCCAAGCCGTGTCAAAGTCGATTAGGTAGTGCAAGTCGTCGTCACCGTACTTATCGGGGTTCAAATGGGCGTCAGTGCAGTTATTTGCACTTTCCAGCAACAGCCTTGATACATAGTTGGCCTGGAAATACGGTCATTTTATGCGATGAGCTTAATGATATTTTGAGAAAACCTATTTTGATAATAAAAGCCTGAGGACCTGATATTGACGTTCTGAATTTTCGCTCGAAAAAAGACTTTTGGGTTGAATTTGGAAAAATTGGGCTTTTTGGAATTTTGGCACGGAAAGTTTCCCGCTCTTTGTATAGTGGAGATCAATGTTTCCACAAGAAATAAGTTTTTCCCCTAGTAAAAATACTGAAGAAAGTGCATTCACTTCGGACCGCACAGCATATTTACTCTTTTTCGTCTTTGGGCTAGCTAGTTATCAGCCGAGACGCGCAGCCCTGTTGTCATTTTGAGCGAAAATCGGGACCGATCGGTGGCGGCAAAAAACCTCGGAATGCTGTGGACCGCTTTCCACGTTCTACATGCTCTCTCGGCCACAAAGAACGTCGAATATCTCGATGGCGCCGGCAAAGTGCTGGCTAAAATTTTCAGAAATTGATGCGTGGCCTATGTGTAACACGTGTGCAAAACTAAAAGAAAATCTGAGCCTCGCACCAAGGGTACTTCTATTATAATATTATGAACCGGAAAAAAAGATAACAGTTGTTGCGTTCTTTTTCATTGTAAGAATTTTTGTCGTAAAGCTAACGAAAAGTGGAATTAGTAATTACAGTTTAAAAAAAGTAGTTTAAAAAAGATCTAATAGATAAGTTGTATACATAGCTGCTCATAGATCATAAACCTTTCATAACAAAGAAAGAAAGAAATTATGCTTACTTTTCGTTCTTGAGCTCTTAATAAGTTTGTCAAAACAAAAGCAAAGACTCTCACGTCTACTCTACATAGTGTTTCTAAATTTGCGGCAGGCGGAAATAAAATTCAAACGTTCCATTTTTAGCCACAACTCTCTAAGAAATGACCCTTTCCCGAAAGAGTCACGATCTCTCACCTGGTCAAAAGTGGTTTCGGCCGCGAACTCCCGAAGCCGCTCCTCGTTTCGCTCCGCTTCCTCCGCATTCAAGGGATCGTATTCCAAACTAAACGCGAAACATATCATTTACCGCGTGCAACCTACTGTTTGAAGAAGATGGCGAACGCGACCGCATATCGGTCCTTGAGCAGGTCCTTGTGCGTGTCGAACAACTGCATCATGTGCTCGAGGTGGGCTAGGCCGTGGAACGGCCGGGGCGCGTACCGCTCGTCGATCATTGCCCACCATTTTTCGCGGATTGCGTCCGACACGAAGGAGGTCAGGTCGTTCCAGCGTTTCGCTAGGTCTTTCCGACATTTCTCGACGTACGCCGGGTCTGTGGTCATGGCTGGAAAAGTGATGAGTTGTAGGTGATTTTGGGTGTAAAAAACGGAAACATTGAGAGATAGTTTCGCGCCAAAAACTGCATAATTTTTCAAAGTCCCCAAAAACGGATGACAAATTGAGAATTTTATATACTTTTTTTGATATACTATAGATGCTTACTTTAACTTAATATTTGCAGAAACTACTGAGCTTTTCCTCTTCTACGACGTATTTTACCAACAAAAAATCAAGCATCCATCCAAAATGAGCCTCTTTTCTAATCGAAAACAGAAGCCAAAAGAGTTTCTAAATAAGGCAATAAAATTGGCAAATAAACAGTCAGCAAACGTTTTTCGCAATTTACGATGGCTCCGGAAGCCACCCCTTTCCGGGAACGATCGGAAATCTGATTACAAACATTCTATTCGAGTCATCAAAACCTAGTTGACATCATCTCAATCACGAAAACGGATTTTTTTACACAATAGCAAAAATATTTGTTGATCAAAAAAGTGTCAGTTTGCAAAAAAAAATCTTCCGGTTAGATGAGTTTTCGCAAAAAAATGAAAGCCGTCTCAAAACGCGGAACTGGGGAAAATGAAAAAAAAGTTTGACCTCCGGCCTTTACACGTGAATTATTTACCCAGCTCGTCAAATCCGTTCCTTACGTTTTTTTTTGGGGAGACTGAGTCGGACAAATTGTCTGTTGAAACGATTTGAAACCATGAGGAAACATTTTATATGTAAAAAATGAAAGTATAAAACTGATGAGATACAGGCAAATTTGGCTAAAAACAAGTGAAAAAAATGTTTTTGACTACGTTTATGTTGCTTATGGGCGTGAGAATGCATTGAAATTACTTTGGGAGTAATGAGAACGGCTGAGAGGGGATTTCGAAACAGACATACAAAATTTGGCGCACATGAACGTGAGTTTTTGAATTTTTCAAAAATTTTACAAGATTACGTCATAAAATTAATCAGTAGTTTAAAAAAATAAAATTATTTATGCTCCGGGACCCAGAAACCCCAGTATTTGCCTCCCACCCCGAAAGGGCCCACCCCGAAAGGAATGCTGTAAAGGGCTTTGGACAACTGCTTGATCTAATAGAACGTAGGGGTTGGATGTACAACGTTTCAGCATTTACATTTTTCTCTAATTTGCATTTTTTGTATTATTCTAATTTTTTAATTATGGGGGGTTCGAAACGGGCAAAACAGTGGGGTTTGAATTACCTTTCATGGGGGCTGAACTCGGAAAGCCCCGAATTTGCTAAAGTTGTTTAGGTTCTGCTAGAAATAAACTAAAAATTTGAGAACCGCAACGATATAATATTACAATAGAGTCTGCAAAAAATGGGAATGGAACGAAAAATTTTTTTTTTGATAATTTGAACTAAAAACAATAGGTTTTTTCCGAAGCAATTTGCCCTTATCTTTATACAAAACATGAAATAATCACGCAAACATTGAACAAAGAAGATATCTTTGTTATTCATACACATATATACATATATGTACATGTAAATATACGTACTAAAACCCCGATGACTTTTGCTAAATGCAAATAATTCCCTTGAAAATTCTATATACTCATTTGAAATTTGAATTGACCCTAATGAGAGCTAAAAAAAATTAATTTGTTATTTCGCAAAATGCCCGCCCCAAGAGGCGTCCGCCGCCAACATCTTACTCGCCTTTACAGCCAAATAAACCGACAAAACTGTGGTCAGATTCCTTCCACGCTGCGGCGGAAAAACTCAATTTACCCGCTTTCAACTCTCTTCAAACAAAAAACAACAATAATAACCAAAGATTGCAGGGGAATGGCGAGCCTTCCCCCCACATCCGACTTGTTGTGCTCCTGCCCAAGTGAAGCGTATGAAAAAAAGGAAAGAATGCCCCCGTCCTTTTGCGGCTTTGAATTTGCCGGAGGGCTTCTTTTTTCGCGGCGCAAGAGGCCAAACTCCATGCGAAGGCCGGCCCCATCTTTTGGGGCCGGTGGAGCGCGGCGCGCATGTAGATGCGGGGAAAGGGAATTGGAAAAGATTATTCGATAAGAAAGGAAACATGTGCAGTGGTGGGAACAATTACACATACGTTGGCGCGCGTTGGCTGGGGAATATAACATTTGTGTTCTTGGCATAGTAAAAACGAGGAAAAACAAAATTTTTAATTCGTATGCACTTGACATTCTTTGTCTTGAAAACGCCCACCAAAAATTGAGAAAAACAAGAAAGTAGAAGGAAGAGTTTAACTCCGACTGACATAAATTAACAACAGACGAACGATTATAAGCCCAAATGTCAAGAAAAGGCCATTAGATGATTCTTAACCCCTTCTGTTTATGAATTTTTAATTAAAATTTTGTTTTTTTTCCGTAAGATGATTCTGGAAAGACGAGGAAACGGATTGTTTCCGACTGACCTTCAAAAGCGCCGTTTAGAAAGAGCATTGTCAAAACATCGGCCGCGCAGAAACTTTTTTAATACCCGCTGAGCATAAAAAGAAGCTTACAAAGGAAGTACTCTAAGTGCAATGCTCAGAGTTTTTTAAACTTTGCAACAGACTTTGAAAGAGGCATTATATCAATCTTTGAAAATTTTAGCTCATGCTTTGCAGCGGAGATAACAAGATCATTCTTTGCAACTGAGAGAGTACGAAAGACGCGGACAGCTGGAGAGAAAAGATTTTTTGACCATCGTATCTGTAAGTTTCGTACAGAAAAAATGTTTTTTTTTGTGGAAAAATTGCCCTCTGCGGTAGAAATAGGAATGAAATTTTTTATACAAAAATTGTCAATAAACGATCACATTCTTATCAGCTTTATTTCTAAATATCTCGGCTGTTTATGCAAAGCGCTGACTAGAGTCATATAGAAGATTAATAGATATAAATTTGTGCCAAGTTACATTCAAATCATAGTGTCGCACTTTGAGTACTTCTCCTGTGAATTTGAAAGATGACGAAACAAAAAACAAATAATCAGTAGCAACTTCTTCTACGTTTACCTGTAAATTTTGAAACTCTACTCCTTGGAATTTCAAGAATCAATAAAGATGACTTCGAATATTAGCGTCAAGTACCACATCTGTTCCATCAATTTTCGCTCTGTAACTTGTAGTCTTATCCAAGATGAATATTGCTTCACATTCTGTTTTTTGAAGGCATTTTTTTACTTTTTCTGATTGGCAATCAGCTGTCTCATTCCTTCCTTGACATTGTTTTTTTCTCCTTGTTTACTGCATTTTCTGGCACTTGCTTTTTTATTCACACGCTCTTTATCTCAATGCATCAAACCTTTTTTTTATTCGGGTTTCCATCAGCTTTTTATTGCCTCATTACTTGCAAGATATTTTAAGAATTAAAGTGTTTTTTGTATGCTGGAAATATGCAATGCAAGTCCCAGCAAATCAGGATTTTTTAATTGTAGCATTTTTGCTTACCCAAAAAACAATTTTTTGATGATTTTTTAAAGTTAACCACAACAAAGTTTACTTCTAATGCTCCCAACTTTTCTCCCTCTCGTTTTCCTCTTCTAATCAGCTTGAAATCCGGTAAGAACGTTGAATGTGTCGGCAAGAACCGGCAAAAATGTCTGTCAAAGCCCGGGAAAAAAAGGTTCGAAAAATCTTCAGGCACAAATTGATAGCGGCCCACGTTTTGGAAAAGAGAATGGCGAAAAAACAGCCAATTTATGTATTACTAAATACCTGCCTTTTGTTTACCTCTTCCGGGCTTGATCCGTCTTGCCGTTGGAAGGTGTGTTTGTGTGGGTTTGGTTGGTTGATGGAGGATTTTTACGAGAGGTCTGGGTTTTGGTGGGATCAAGGAAGGTGGTCTTTATTGGTCTTATTTTTTAAAGTTCTGCGGTCATGTGTTCTCTTACTGAGGAAGTTTTTTCAAGTATTCATATTTTCTCAAAAATTACTATATATATTAGGGTGGTCCAAAAGTCTTTTCGTTTTTTCAGGTGTCTTTTTGTCCAATTGTTTTTGTACAAAATAAAGACTTTTAGATGAATGTATTATATATATTTTTAAAGGTCTTGAGCTGCTTTATCATAATATATATTAAAAATTTTAATTGGTCTTTTATTTAAAATCTGTTAAGCTGTAGAAAGAACATGGAAAAATCCGAAATTCGTGTTTTTTTACGTTATTACCGAAAACAAGGCTTCAACGCAACTGCAGCAGCAAAGAAGATAAGCGAAGTTGAAGGCTACAATGTAGTCTCAGATCGTACTGCGCGATTGGTTCAAACGATTCAACGACGGCGACACGGACCTCGAGGGCAAGACGTCTTAAAAAACAATTTTGAAGGCGTAATTCACTTCGAGTTGGTTCCAAATGGTCGGACTAGCGACGCAGACCTCTACTACGCTCCACTCGATCGAATGTATGCAGCGATTGGCAAAAAATATCCCGCTTTGATCAATCGAACCCGCGAACACCTGCAACAAGACAGCGCAAAACCTCGCACCGCCAAACAAACGAAGGAAAAAATCAAAACTCTCGACGCCATTGAACTTCTTTCACATCCAGCGAATAGTCTGCACATTGTGTCACACGACTATCACCTTTTTCGCTCCATGGCACACTTTCTGCGTGGTCGTAGCTTCAATGATCTGGACGATGTCGAAAACGGGTGCCGCGAGTTTTTCGCCTCTATGAACAAGGAGCGGTACCGCAGCGGGATCGCACAACTTGCCGATAGATGGGTTCAAGCTATAGATTCAAATGGCCTTTACTTCGAAACTTAACTAGTTTTCGTTTGTTGTAAAATTATGTTTAAAGTTTTAACAAAAAAACGAAAAGACTTTTGGACCACCCTAATATTTCCTAGCCGCCCTAGCTTTTTGGTGTATCAATCTGTCAGAAAAAATAGTCAGCGCTATGCCGCATCCAACATCGCATAGCTGGTGAAGAAATGAATTATGTTGCGGCAAAATCAAATTGCTTTTCACTTCAGCGACGCGATTGGAGCAGCGTCATTTTGCTCACTTTTTTCCCGACTGACTGACAAATCTACGGTAGAACTTATACTCAAACTATAAATATACTCAACGTTTACCTTTGCTAGAGAGCACGGAAAATCAGGAGAATCGGCTCGACGATTGATGATTTTTTTGTCCATAACTTTTTCGCTTTGTCAAACAAGCGCCGGTTGTTTTGCAGAAACATAATACGCTACGCAAGCAATTCAGCCAAAGGCTGCCTAACGGAAAGCTTTCAAAAAAGATTTTTTTTTGTCCAGCGCAATTTTAGAATTTTGCGAAGGTACAGCAACTTTTATAATGTTTCATATCTAATCAAGTTTCATCCAAATAACTTTTTTCTTTGTCGAAGACGTCTCTTGTGTCATACACTTATCGTTATTCAAAGTGGTAACAGGCTATCTAAAGATCTTTACCATCTTTTTTTCTATTTACAGCCCTTACTTGCACTTTCCATGTGGCCCCCAGCTTCCCCAAAGAAAATGGGAATATCATTACGTACTAATTAAATTATCAGCTATTATTCTATAGATTTCTATTATTAATATTGAACACTCCTCGTTTTCTCCCAAATCATACCATGTTCCCCACGTCCATCTGGTTCAAATGATCTCCATCTTCATCTTTCTCAATCCTCAACTTTTCCTTTTCTTTCTGTTTTTTATTGGAGGTCAAGGAGTGAGATTGGGGCCAGAACGAAATGCATGTCATTCCACAACACCTGGGGGCGAAAAACACATCTTTTGGGGGGAGATCTTAAGTCGAATCGGAGAGAATGTTTGAATGTTTTGGAGGTTATTCTCGTCCGATCATCTGGCTAATCAAGAGCTGACAAGCCGATTGAGAGCTTGTATTTGAAACTCTACAACCTGCTTGTGGCTGTGATAAGTGAATGAGGCGATTACTTTGGTAATTTACAATCTAATTCTACAATATTTTCTCAGATATAGCTAAGATTACCGGTATCAAGCATATTCAGACAGATTTGTCATCTAATTTTGCCCTCGCAAGCTATACTATTGTCTATTTATTACTCACTACGCGGTCTAAAAGCTATGCCGGAAGAGATATTGCGTTGGCGTCCGAATCAAGGCGAAACTCATCGAGATTTTTATGTCAGCCGGCAGAAGAGCCCTGAAAAGTCGATCAGAATGGAGTTCGAGACCATAAGTGTCCGACTTCAACGATCGAACCCCACGATTCCATGGGGATTTCAGCTCGGACAAGTCGGGAATTATGTCATCGTCGGAAAGGTAAGATTTTTGGCCATTTCAGATGGTAATTGAGAGAGCTTTTTTTTCAGCGATTTTAACTTCACTATAAAATTCCAGGTAGAACCAAACAGTATGGCGGAAAAAGCCGGGTTATTTTCCGAAGACATTGTTGAGGAAGTTTTCAACAGCAAAAACGTTAATGTGGCCGACGCTAACTCCAAAATTGCTCAAGCACTGGAAGTGATAATGCTCCTCAAACGGCCTGTTGATGAGAGGGCCCGTCCGTATGGCCTGCCGAAGATTGGAACGTACGAGAAATTCGAGGAATTCGATAAAAGCGGACAATTACTGAAGGAGTATGATAAGGTAGGAGAATTATAATTTTATTTGACAAAAGACAAGCGTATTTTAAAACAAAATTTATTTCTTTTATTTAGAATTCAAGCGATATTATCTCCTCCCACACCGCTGATACAAAATTCCCGACAACAGCCGTCGACTATCAAAGAAATGGGCAGCCCAGGCCTCAGCAAGGCGCTAAAACCCCTCCGGCTACGTTGCCAAAACCGAGGACACCAACGCCCTTGCAACAATCAGCTAGCCAAAGCTTTGTCACCAGCGACTATGGAACATTGCCTCGAGAAAGCGCTCCAACTCAAAATGTTCAAAAATTCGTCAAAACAACGACAACGCTCAGTGGAACTCCCGACTTTGTCAACAACACAACAGTTCAGAATTTGAGCCCCGGCGGTTTGCCGTATAATAGCACAACCGAGCACAGCGAAGCCAAGTCGAATTGGAACAAGGACGAGGGAAATGTCCACAAACATTTCGAGAGCACACGAACCTACACAAAGACTGAGAGCTGCACGGTAAAGCCGATTGAGCAGCATTTTCCGCAGTTAGCGAACGGAAAACCTTTCCATGATCATTGGACATCAAGCCAGCAAGTGAATTACAGCCAACAGCCAGCGAATGGAAGTGTCCAACGGCAAAATGTGGGGCAATATAGCCAACAGATCCAAGGGCTTAATCTGGAAGGTCAGCCGGCCAGTAAAACGTACGTCACTCAAAGCGAAACCAACTTCAGCCGGACAGCACCATTGGGAGCGGTGCAGGGTCAAGTTCAATTTCAAAAAAATGTCCCACAGCCCAGCCAACAACCACGTCCGGCTTTTACTCAGCATGTGTCCCAGAAATCGGTTTACCAGCCAAGCCAGGGCTCTGTCAGTCAACCAAGGCAAGCCAGTGGACAAAGCATTTCCCAGCAAAGCCAGCAAAATGTTCAGAAGCCCACTGAAAGCTACAGTCGTTCCCAGGCCCAACAAGCCGTCCCTCAGCAGCCTCTCCAACATCCACAAGTATCTTCAGTGTATCATCAAGAAACTCATCAGAGAGTAAGATCGCCACCAATTCACAGAACCAGCAGTCATGAACCGCAAGTCATCCAAAGCCAAGCAAACATTCTCGTTAGTGAACCGGGAACCTATGCGCAAGCCCATGTAAACCACCCACCGAACGAGTCGATTCGTCCGCAAGGTATTCATAGGACAACAAGCTATCAACCACAAGGCTCAGTGCCGCAGAGAGCTCCTCAAGTCATTTACAACAAGCAATACATCAGTCATCAGCCGCCACCGGGAGACAAATTTTACAGTTATCAAACGCGTTCACCCACGCAAACAGTTGAAGTTTATGAATTCGAAAGTCAACAGAATTCTGGATATGATCAGAGGCAAGAACTCTATGAGGCGTATCAAGATCAACCGTATCAAAAGAAAACCGAGGAATATGTTGGACAGCCAGCGCAGGTGCGGCAAGCTCCACATCAAGCTGAGGTCAGAAGGGGCCAACTTAGTACGTCGCATGGCCAGCCTCAACAAGTGCCAACCTTTACTCAGCAATCGCGACCACAATTTCAGCAACAAGTTAATGAACAGCGTGTGCAGTACGGCCAGCAAATGCCAGCCAAATTTCCGGTTGCGCAGCAGGAGAGCCGATATGCCCCTGAAACGTTACAACAGCAGTCGAGACAAACCTATCAAACTCAGGGTCAGCTCAGTGCCCAAAACAATGTGCGACAGCCCCCAGTTTCCCAAGGCATTCAGCAACAATCTGAACTCAATAAAAATGTTCAACGCCAGACATCGCCATCCACTGCAAAGGCTGCAGGATCGCAAGGAATTGAGCAGCGGCCAGCTCCACCTCCACACCAGAATCTCCGACAGCCACCAGCCGTATTGCCAAAGCCGGCTTCACCGCAACCTCAAGCTCAAGTTCAACGAAGTCAACCGTCCCAGCCAGTTGAAGCCGTTCCTGACAGCCTGCAACGCTCTGACTATTATGACAATGAAACATGGAACGGCTATAACGGCCATAGAGTTCCATACGATCCGAACCAGCAAGCTGTCGAACAGCAAACCTTCCAGCAGCAGAAAATCGCAGAGCATCCGCAGAAATTAGCACCAAAGCCAAGCGGAATAGATCCAAGAATGATTACCTCAGACACTACCGGCTACAACAGTGCCTATGTTGAGGGCCAGCCCGAGCAAAGAGATAGCCGGTATTCGGCGCACAGAAGGTTGCTGACGGAGAATAAAGGACCTGTTACTCGATTCGTTCAAAGTCCGTTTGGCACATGGGTGGATGAAGCGACGGCAGAGTCATTGGGAATCAACTACAATACAAATCCTAGGACAAGATCGGGTAGGGGAAAAACAAAAATAGAGAAAGCTTTTTTACACAAAGCAATTTCGGTCTAATTCTAAAGACAATGTATCGTATGTTTGCAGCCTTGTCTTACTCACCTGTCCGGTGGTTTGTTGATTCAACAACGAACATGATCAGTGAGCCTCCAAGATCCTTCTACTCACCGCCCCCAACTCAAGAGTTTGTTCAGCAGCGCCGCCAAGCCTTCAGTCAATCACCTATAAGATATCGGCCAGGTCCCGGATACAGAGAGCGAAATGGACTGGCTTATATTCCCAAAACAGCAAATCCAAGTCAATTCCAACAAGGATATGGTAAGAAATTTTTCTTCAAATCTATAATTACGTGTTTCAGCAGGTCCAGGCTTCCAGCCAAATGTTAGGGCCATTCCCAGGCAAGCTGGCAGTCATTTTCGGGCATCCGGCAATGTTAAAACCGTACAGTTTGTAGAGCCGGAAGAAGCCCAGCTCGAAACCGATGCAAACGTTGCGCACTTGCAATATAACTCTCCGTTAAACTTGTACTCCCCAGCATCGGCCGCTGAAGCCTATAAGCAGCAGATTGGGAAGGAACCTCCCGGAGTTCAGTAAGTAATTCATTCAGAGATTGAAATTCTGTCCGCTTAGGGCATCTCAGCCTTCCCAGCCATCCTATTTAACCTCCCCGACGCTGCAATTGATCGCTGAAGAAGAAGCTGGCGTTCAGCGGCGGCCGGCAGCGCCTCAACAAAGTGCTAGCTTTAAGAGGATAGCTCAAGGAGTTGGGCAGCCATTGTAATGCCATTAGTGTTTAGATTCGCTTTTCTACTTGCTCAATTTTGTTAAATATTACTGTAGAGATCACTACTGGTTTTGGCATGATAAAATCATGAAATCAAAAAAATCGTAATAGTTATTTTTTGGACAGTGCTTACATACATATATTCATTTATTTCTATACAAAAATATCCGACAAATACTGATATGTGGGCGAGAACAAGTTGAGCAAAACGGGAGTAATCAGTCAACGAGAGAGACGTATTATGCAATAATTAGAGGATCAGTTACGCCACGGTTTATAAGGGCAAGTTCGAGCTGTTAGAATAGGTTCTGAAACGGCTGAAAATTGCATTTATCCATTGAGATTTAAAAGTTTGCATAGTAAAATTCAGTATAACAATTTTATTTACCTTGAATGGGAATCGGACTTGGCCCATGCTCGATCAACCATTTGTTCGTGGGTAAGTTTTCTAAACGAATATTAATCAAGCCAATAGGGGTTATGATGTATTCAGGATTATTAGCATGGCAATTCAGGGTTAAAATGTGGAGCACCGGTTGTGTTTATGGCAAAAGCAGTTACATATTTAAAGGACAGGTTGATGTTTGCAAGAAAGAAAAGGCATTTGAAGCTTTTTATCAAAAGATTTTTTCAGCGAATCATCTCGCAATTGCTCCCCAATGACAAGCAGAAGGCAAGGTCGCGCGACAATAAGCCGTATTTCAAAACAAACTTTTTTCGAAACTAAAAAAGCTTCTAAAAAACGAAAAATAAGAAAACAGGGGAGTTCTTCTACTGCTAGGGAAGAACAGTCTCCTCGTCCGTCGGCTTAATCGTGCTGGCCCGGCTATTAATGTCCGGGTACTCCAACGGCTCGTGGCTGACGTCGACCACCACAGGCAAGAGTTTCTGGTCTTCGTGCTTGTGCCGAATGATCTTCAACTCTTGCGGTTTTGCCGAGTTTCTGGGCCTGAAATCAGTGGGTGCCGAAAATCAAAGAAGCAGCGGTGGAAAATGAAGCGGAAAATGTGAAAACAACATAGCGAAAGTGTGGAATAACAAACATGGATGCCAATCAAGTTCTGTGAAATTGACTCACCGTGTCTCAATATTCTGCTTGACAGTGTCTCTTGCATTCTTCACCACAGGCGCGTCCTTAATGCAAGCGTTCCAGGCGTACGTGAAGATGAGGAAGATGAATGGAACTAGGCAAATCACTATCATCAAGATGACGCACATTGCCGGGATCAGCCAGTTCTTGATCTTGGGGACACAAGGATCCTTGAAACGCAATAAAAAGTATAGTTCAGAAAATTCAAAATTCCTAAGATCATGCATAAGAAATGTAAAGGTTTAGGCTTACTTGTTTGTTGAACTCAACCAAAATTGGATGGTAGTCGAAATCGCAGGCGAAAGCCTCCTCCAAATCGGCCAGCTCAGCCTTTGGCCTTGGTGTGCCCTCAAGGAGAACTCGATCAACTTGCTGAGGCATGTTATAGGCAGTTCGAAGCAGTGGCTCAATTAGGAAGTAGATTTCAAACAGCAGGAATACCAGAACTACGATCAGGAGGACCTTAAAATATTTTACTGTTAAGAGCCTTTTCAAAATTATGGAAGTTATTTTCTGACCTACCCTGTACAGAACTTTGAAACTGCTCTTATCATGGTAAACTTGATGGAACAAATATGCGAACGGAGCAAAAAGAATCAGAATTATCAAGTTCAAAGCGGCTAGCATCCACAATACAATGTGTTGATGCTGAATGTCATCGGAGAACTCTTGAAGCTCCTTTTCTGTGAGATTCCTTGGGTCGAAAGGCAAGATGAACGTCTGAAAAATTGCTAGAGAATTATAAACCCTAACAAAATCCGTTGTAATCCTATAAAAACAAACTTGCCTCTGTAGGGTTCGTAAAGTTTCCGTCATCCTCATCAGTGGCATTCAGAACTCCAAAACTCCAATCCTCTTCGGCCGAGAAAGTACTCGACTCCTCAGATGAATCATGCTCAACTACAACAGGCGCAATCGAGCTAGATGCCGCTGAGACTGTACTGGTTTCTTCACGGGCAACAACGACTGGGACAGCTGTAGAGCTCGCTGAGCTGGTTTCGACCGCCTCAACTGTCGTCTGAGCAGTTGTTGACGTCGTTGTTTCGGCTGCAGCGACTGTTGTGGCGGCTGTTGTTGTTGCCTCTGTTGTTGTTGCTACAGTGCTAGTAGGGTCCGTTGCGGCTACAGTTGAGTGCTCTGGAGTTTGAACTGTTGTCAGCGAAACATCAGGGCGATGATCAACGACCTCCGGCTCGATCTCGGCGCCAGGAGGAACATGACTACCTTCTGGGAACAAATCATCAAGGGCTTGCTGAAAACAAGAGTAATAAAGGTAAGTCAATTATAATAAAAAAGGCATTGAAAAAGGTTTGCTAAGACCGATAAAAAAGCTAAAACTAGAAGCGATTTTGGGCGCACTTTGGATAATTTTTTGATAAAGACTTGAATTTTTCGGACGGCTGAACAGTGTGCTTGAAATCGATGCTTTTTTTCACCCCAAAATCTGTTGCTTTTATGCGTTTTGATGCAATATCTGTCTACAATAAGCCTGCCAAAAATCATGTTCCAAAAACTCTGTGCCAAGCCTTGTCTGAGAATATTGCCTTATGTTAATTAATTTAACTACTCCTTAACTTCTGTAATGTTTTTCGCCTTACTCGCTTAGCCCTCTCCGTTTGCTCGCCGGGAGCCTCCTCCTCTTCTCCGTCCTCATTCGACTCATGCGTTCGGTCCGCCGGCTCCACTTCGAACTGCTCGCTCGAACCTATTTTTGTGCACTCTTCCACCCAGCCATCGTCTGACTGAACCTTGACGCAAGTTCGGTGTTTGTTTTGTTTCTAAAAACATGAACCGAATAATAAAAACGCGCAAGGTTACCTTGACAATTCCGAGAACTCTTTCGACGTAATGGCCAAGGTCATCGTTGACTTTTAACGAGCCGAACGCGTAGATGCAGGTGATTGTCGTCAACGTGAGAAGGCAGAGAACGATAACAAAGCTGATTCTGTTGTCCACCTTCTTTTTGTACTCCTTGAACGACTGAAATGGAAGAAAATTAAGAGAATTGGCCGATATGACCCTTTAAAAATCAAAAAAAAAAAAAAATGAAAAAAATATCAACTTACCGGTTGATTGTAGACCTTTTTGACCCCGCCACCTTGAAGCCGCCCGGTCCCTTGATGATGAGCCATATTTGGCGGCGGCTGAAAACCCACTGAATCCACCGACTCCGTACTCATTTCTCTCCCTTTACAACAATATTTTGGGGGAACGCCGCGTTTGTTCAAAGCCCGATCCGCTTTCTCTCCGTTTTTGGTTTCTAACCTAGACAATGGCAAGTTAGAGGTGTTGGGTTTCGGTTTACTTGTTTCGGCTGCAGATTTCATACAGGTAAAAGTGAGTAGTAGGGGTTGCTTTAGACTATACTATAGAGTAACTTATCAAATATCTAATATTCAACTTTATATGAAAAAAGTTTTAGTTTAAAGCTAAATAATCAAATTTGGAGTAGCTAAGACCCAAAATTATTTAAGCAGAAAAAGAATATGTAAAAAAGAATCTCAATAAAAGCGAAAACTGTTCGTATCGGATATTTATTATTACTTCTTCTCACTTAAAATCCACACTCCTATGATCCGTCAAATTTTTTTTGAGCTGTCGCCTCGATGGAGTCAAATAGCGGGATAATCTTTTTTCATTCCTACTATTCCCTGCAAGTCCACTCGCATTAGGGTTTCATGGTCATCAAAACGTCATAATGTTTAAAGCTTTCTAGGATTTTGCGGTTAGGGCTTTTGAGCTGAAGTAGGTGTTATATAACGAGCAATGCTATGTACAATATGTGGTACAAAAGCTGTATTTTGATCTGGCCAAACTAGATTAGTTTTAGACCATAATGATCTTACATTAGCCAAGAAAAAATCAAATTTTTAAAAGTAGATTTATAATTTTTTGCAGAAAGGCACTTTTTGACCTTCTTTACTTTCCTATCTTCCATAAAAAATGAATATCTCAACAGCTGCGTCAAATATCTAACTAAAATTTTTTGGGATCAATGTCAGGCCTATTTATAGTACGTACGCAAAAACTGATGCAAATTGAAGAGTCCCAGACTGAAATTTTTGACTTCAAACTTAACGACCCTGCTAATTTTTCAATTTATATATGTTAATTTCAATTAATCAATTATTTTCTTTCCGATCCCTCCTTTTACTACATACATATATACTTGAACGATTACGTCGTTCTTCCCTAATCAGTAGTAACAGGTCGTATTGAAATTTAGAAAAGACAGTTTGAAAGTTACCTTCTAATTGACTTTTCCCAACTATCCTGAACACTTCGACCGTAAAGGAACTGGAGAAAAACAGTAACAATCAATTTGTTTTTTCGCATTTCTTTCTCCAAAATACTCAACATTACACTCTGGGGTAAGGGTAAACAACGATGAATTTTGGTAAGACATTCAAGATCATGAAAAAAATGTTTTTCTAAGCGATTTTGACAATTTACAGAAATTTTATGACAGATTTTTTTAAATTACCTTTACTCCAAGGTCCAAGCTCGCGCTTTGCAGAAACAACCGAGATTTTTCAAAAGTTGGCGAAAATTAGACACTTTTTGCCGAATTACGGCACGAAAAATTTCATGCCTATTTCTACCACAGAGGTAATGCTTGCACAAAAAAATCAATTTTTTCCGCACGAAACTATCAAAGTTATGGCCAAAAAGATTTTTTCTCTGTGACCGCTCTCCGCGTTTAGCGTACTCTCTCGGCGGCAAAAATCGTTCGATATATCGGCAGCAAACCGCGAGCTAAAACTTTCAGGAATTGATACTTAGTTCACGACCGACGTGTGTGCAAAATTTAAAGAAAATCTAAGCGTCGCATTTGGGGTATTTCCCTTGTAGGAAAAATTGTGATTTTTGCTGATTTCAGAACCTAGGATTATCAACTTGTCTAACAGAAGGAGCAAAAATTTTCCGAGCGTGTCTCAAATAGCTCTTTTCTGAATGTAAATGTACCAAATTCTGAAATACCAAGCTTCCAAAAGATTACCTCAACAATAGAGTTGAAAAGAAACACTGTTGAAAAAAAGTCAGCCTACGTGCAAAAATCAGACAAAAACCTCACAGTATCCTAAAAATACCGGTCATTCAGATCTCCTCTGCTACCCATGAATCTTTACCCCTCCCTTACCACTTCATTATGAGATGCGCGCGCTTAATTACGGATCATTTTCATTTCCGCCATCATAAAATTTACGAAATTATTTTTTACCCACAAAAAACCTTTCGAACGTGAAGAGAAAACGGAATCGGATCTTTTTTGCGCTTTTGTAAAAATCATACAAAAACCAAGGTAAAGAGTCGAAAAATAAATAAATATACTATATATACTTGAAGTCGGTGTTTCCGTGGGATTGTGAGTGGAGAAAGAACGTATCAAAAAAGAGTTGTAATTCACGGGAAATGTTAATCGAGTAAGAAAATGGGAGAGTAATCAAGTGTAAAAAGGGGAGATTACGTAACCTTTTCAGGTAATTGATTGGCGATTAGACTGGCTTTTGTTATTTCTGGGGAGGTAATTGATGAAAAAAAGGTAAAATACGAACTTAACAATAATTATTTTTATATATAGGCAAGTCAAAAAAATAAAAAATAAATAAAAAATCATTGTCCAAAAATATTCATTCGATTTTACAACAGTCAAAAAGCAAAAATTCCAAGCCAAAACCATTCCTTTATACACCTTATAGTGGAATGACAATAAAATCAAATTGAATAAAATTGCTGGAATTTAAGTTTGACACGGAAAACAAGCTGAAACCAGTGAAAATAAACAATTGCATAAATCACGAAATGGGTGTCATAAAACGACAAAAAAAGCAGTTTGAAAATGTGGCAAGAAAAGGAAAAAGCAAGGCCTACAAGCGTGGTGAAAAAGTAATTTGCATACAAAGCGGGTCTTTTTGTTGGTCTAAGAAGCGTTTGAGAAGAGAGGCTCTTTGAATTTCCGGCAGGCTAATAAAGGGAATTCAAAGATGCAATCGCCTCGGTGGCTTCTGCAAAGCAAAAGATAAGGCTTTCACAGATTCCGTATAAAGTGCCATTCCAAATTTTTTGCTAGACTTTAGCCAAACTTGTGTGTTGGGCCACATGAATAATGACCATCAGAATGTCATCAATTCTTATGTAAGTCAAAAATTCCTATAGCGAACCCAGGTACGGCGGAATCCGCCTATCACAAGGTATTTTAACAGTGCTGGTCTTTCCGAACAAAAAAAGCCTATTGCACGGTGCAAACAGCAAAAATTTCACAATGAATAAGAAGCTTTTGTTTTCGCACAGTGCGGGTGGCCAATTTCAGTCCGGCGACTTTTCTCAAAGGCCAGGAGCAAAAGCCGACTTCAGACCAAAATTGAAGCCTCTGTTTAACAAAATCCATCTTTTTTCATACCTTGCAACTCACTGTACAGAGGACTGACTATAAAGCGAAACCCGTGGGTGAAATCCACGTTGAATGGCTAAATCTTTCCTGCCAAACATCACCTACCATAATATCCTCTTCAGATGACGCTTCCCCCGCAAAAAAGCCAAGCCTTATCTGTCATGACCTCGGAATTGCAAGTCAATGCAAAAGCCCAAACAAAGTATTACCTGAGTAAACGTTGTGATTCTCTCCTCTTTGGTTTCGGGCTCAGCGAAAGTAGCTTTTACCGGGTGATCAAAGCGCACAAAAAAAAGATTTCCCTTTTCCGAGTTTACAAGTAAATTGCACAATGTTTTCAGCGTTAATGGAGAGGGATAATAAGCATTCGCCCCCGCGGTTATACGAGGGGTTTGTAAAATTAAAGCCGAGGTAATACCTTGAGTATGGAAATTAAAGATTTACAACGCGCTTTGTCTGAAAGGGAAAACGGTCCTACTAGTTATAACAAAGCTCAATTTGTAAGCGTTTTATGACAACCGCAATGTCGTAAAGGGTAATTGCGGTTGACAAGAGTTCGAGTGGGGTCTGAAGGTCGGCTTGAAACATGTGGAAACAAGATGTGGGCAATGGGAAATTTTCAGAGAGAATTGGGCAAAATGAAAATTGAATGTGCTCTCTGACATAACCAAGTTATATTTCCACACTCTTACCTGATTTTTCCAGACTTACAAGAAAGATATTCAGTGATCTTTTTGGTCGAGAGAGAGTACGCGAAACGCCGAGCTGTCAAAAAGAAAGAAAATTTGGACATATCTTTGCCAGTTTCATTCAGAAAAATTTTTTATGTGGAAAAATCTTACAGGGGAAGTACTCCAAGTGCGACATTCAGATTTTCTTTAAATTTTGCACGCACGTCGGGTATGGACTCAATATCAATTCCTGAAAGTTTTAGCTCGCGCTTTGCGGGCGTCGCCGAAATAACGAACAATTTTTGCCGCCGAGAGAGCACGCTAAACGTGGAGAGCGGTCAGAGAGAAAAGCGCTTTTTGGCCATAACTTTGTCAGCTTCGTGCGGAAAAAATCGATTTTTTGTAGAAACATTATCCTTACAGTTGAAACTTTTTGTGCCGCAATTCGGCAAAAAGTCCGAAATTTTCGCCGGCTTTCGATCTAAAAATCTCGGTTGTTTCTGTATAGCGCGAGATAGGATTCTCGCATATATCTTCGAAAGAATTGTTCTAAATTTGTGCCAAGTTCCATCAAAATCTGAGCGTCGCACTTGGAGTACTTCCCCTGTTATTCTACGGCAGAAATAGCCGTAAAACTTTACATGCCAAACTTCGAAAAAAAGAAAAAAAGACGAAATTTTTTCTACGTTTCTGCAAAGAGCGGGCTAGGACTCCCGCATATTTCTTACAAAAAAATTAACCTAAATCTTTGTCAAGTTTCATCAAGCGTCGCACATGGAGTACTTCACCTGTTTTCTCTCACAAAACGCAGCCTGCTCTGCTAAGATTCTACCCAAATCTTCTCAAAAAGGATTTTCGTAAAACTGAGAAAGGAGTAAGAAGTGATTCATAATATCTTCTTGGAAGATATTAACATTCACTTCCTCTCCACAGCCCACCGACCCAAGCCTTCTCAACCTCCCCTATCCGACCTTCAAGAATCCCAACCGTAACCGAAGAAGCCCAGCAACGAGTGATGGCTTCGAAAGTCTCGAAAACACTCCGTTTTGACTTCCGCATGCAAAAAAAATAGCAAAAACTTAATTGACTGTGAGATTGTAAGCTAATAAAAAGAACGGAATTAGAGGTCGAGGAACGGAGAAACGAAGGGAATTACGCGTCAAGACTGCTCCTGTAACAATGATGGATTAAAAAAGGTTAAAAAACGTTTCCTAATTTCTGTGAAAAGGGTTAAAGTCACTCAGTTTTTATGGCAAGGTCAAGGGAAAATGTTGTCAAGTATCAACCGTGGATTAAGTCTGAATATTTTGAAGCAACCTTAAAGTGCTAGTGCAAAGTCATCAAGTCCATATCCCCGTTATCCCAGCTCTTTGCAAGCTCAATAGAAGCATATTAACCACACGACTTCTTACCTTGGAGAACAGAAAGATGGATTATGCATGAAGAACAAGTTTCTCCCCAAAACATATAATCAAAAGTAACAAAACGCGCTTTAGTATATCCGACAAATTTATGGGTCGACGGGAACTGTGGAGGAGAAAAGGATCCATCGGTTACGTAACATAAGTTTTAAGATAGAAATTATGGCTCGCAATATGTTGATGGATACATGGGCTTTTACTTTTTTTCATGACCGATTATTTGCTGTAAGATCGAAGCTGTGGAACATAGCGATTGTGCTGCATGCCAGCAAATCTTGAGATTTCTTCAAAAAGGCTGAGTAATGTTTCAAAGAGGACAAATACCAGTTTCCGTTTGCTTGTCGGCAAAATAATGAACAAAATGTCGCTGCGCCAATCGGATGGCTGAAATGAAAAGAATTTGATTCTGCAGCGACATAATTCATTTTCTCGACAGTGATGCGATTTTCAATGCGGCAGAGTGCTCATTATTTTCTCGACAGACTGGTAGACACTCCTCCTAAAGAGATGTTCTAATTTACAGCTTTTGAGGATCTCATCTTTTCCATACCATTCTACCCCTTCCAATGCTCGTACTTTGCTCACACCAAACACCTTACCCACTTCCTCAAACTTTCTTTGCGATCTGCACATACGATCGTTATTTCCTGCCGTTCCCCAATTGCAGCACTTTTCCCGGACTCTCTCATTAAAATTTGTTTGGGTAGGAAGCACTTAGAGCCGGCTTCCGAGAACCATTTCCGTCTGGAAGAGGATCGCACGGTACAAGCGCAATTATCAGCAAAATACGTCATTAAAAAGTTCTACTATCAGAATGGACAATTGGACGTCACTGACCACGTTGTTTGTTTCAATTTGTGCAAATAATATGCGTGA